TTACTGTACGATCAGGGTACCTACTCATTCAAACAAACTAAGGAGAATTCAACCACATATATTATATCCCGTTTAATTCAGCCCAGAAGAAGTACAAATCTTCTCGATCTCTGGAAGTGGTTCTGGACGATAACGACCTAACAGCAGCCAGCAACACATCCCAACTCGTCCAGACGGACTCCTTTTCCCGACCTCCGGGTAAAGGAGTTCCGCGGGCTCTGAACGGAGGCATTCCTCGGGCCCTGAACAAGACTGTGAGCGCACGTGTGATGGGCAGTGCGGGGCGCGAGAAGTGCAATATGGCGCGCGTCCAAAGTACCGTGTCGTGTGGTGTGTGAGATTAAAGAATGATGTGAGTGGACAGCGTTATTATCGAGGAGCTATAGAGCATTATTCTTATAAATTTACTGTACGATTTTGCATGAATATCATTTTTTCACTTGATGTCGAAAGAAAAAGGTCTAAATTATCCTTTTCCAAATTCATTTTATTTGTGACGGCGTAAAACCTAAAACAACTCATTAACTTTAAGAGAAACCTCACAATGATCGAACATGCTATAAGAAGCATCCGTGTTATAGTTCCACAATGTGTGTTGATTTCTGGTGTCTGTGACGTGGAATGCCAGTATGGCTTATATCAAAGGGTTCTGCTGAAATACTTCACTATAGAAGTTTCGTCATTGTGGGTTATTTGGGGTAAAACTGTGCAAGATATTGATTATTGAACGTACCTAGATTAGATATTTCAATTAGTATTTGACACTTGACAAGTAGACAACAGGATATGAACTGGTGTGGCGTAATGCACTTTAGTCCCTGTCAACCTCTCTATTTGGCTTGTAATTACTTAGTTCAGGTCATCCTATTATATTTGGAAGGTTTGAGGATATAATTTAGGTTTCTTGTCAACTCTAGACCTGCCATCACGTTTTTTATATCCGATACCAGCCGTATATTATAGGTGTTATATTGGACGATTTATAGTGTTATAGCTGAACATGATTGTCTTCTATATTCGGTGAAGACATTAACCTCTAGTGATAGAGTAAAATATGCCATCTGCTTCCAGGTAGCGAAGACACGGGACACAAGCTAGTCGATTAGAATAATTCAAGCTCTATCAGTCGCAAATAAAATCAATCTGTGTTTTCAAAATCAGTTACATGCTCATGACCTCAGCTATTTGATAAATGTCACAATTGGCATTCCCATATTATTAACATCGTCCAAGAACTCGATAATTTTTTAAAGAATTTCACCAAGTTCATATTTTCCAGGACCCCTATCCTCGCAATCCTCCTCCTTTGACACCAGATAGCTGAAGATTGTGGTAAATGTGTGTCATTCTTGAAATTATTTTGAGTGATAAAATTATTGAACAGCTTCCATCTAAATTCTTTAATTGCGTTGTTCTCGACTTCATTCTTGGCATAAATTGAATAAGTGGTTGCTTTGGTTGATAAATATCGAAAACAAAATCGTAATTCCCAAATAGTGAGTGCTGACATTTCTAGACATTTCTAGATAACATATGACATCTAGAAATTTCATCGCCTAATTTAAAACAGTACGCAACTTTCCTTATTGCTGGATTTTGAGAATGCTCTTCTCTAGATTTGAACCTCTGAAAGGAAATTAAATTACGAACCATTAGACCCCAGGCCTGGCTAAACGGTACGTGACGCAAAGAAACGTTATTTCAAGAATTTGCTTGTACGAGGCCGGGGTTGTTAGTTTTGGGTTCCATACCTTTAACACGAAGCCCATCATGTTAACTTTTAAACTGTTGGAAGAGTTTTCCAACCAAGTGGTCTGACACGCTATAATTGAAAACAGCGTGTAACTGTAACACTATAATCTTAGCTTTTATTAGACCTAATTAAAACGTTGAACACTTGAACTGAACTAAAACACTGCCAATTTGTTACTGCCTTCATTACACGACGACTACAGGCATTGTTGAGGGCTAGCGCGGATGTATTAACTAATTGTCAAAATTACCTGCTGATTTAACACGACAGTCCACCCAATTAGTCAGATTAATTTGAATTTGATTAATTCTCGCACTGAACATTACGCTCCAAATTTAAACGGTAGCGTGATTGAAAGTAATGTTGGCCAGCTGTTTATTATGTACTAAGACGAAAGATACCACGTGCCACATTAAAGTCTGTCGATCACAATACCGGTACATGTAGCCCTAGACATGTAATAACCCATCTGTTTTATAAAACAGACATTCTGGTGTACCCAAAGAGGGGAAGTTTAATGGATGTTGTCCTCTTAAGCCCATCGGCAGACGTGATTGTAGAAGAATGAGGTCCGAGAACAATCTAGAAGTTATTAGTCATTTCATCATTCGACATTGCACTGCCACTACTATTTTCACTATTTTGTACGAGTTAGTGGTAGGCGGGCCAAGATTTTCCATTCAATCAGGTCATTTCTCATTTCAGAGGTAATTTTCAAGAGCTCATTAGAGGAGGTAGCACCAGTTTTATTTTCACTTACTGAGGTTTTGAAGAATATACACTTATACAGACTCAATTCAGTGCATCGAATTTCGATTCGTATCTTTATCAGAGTGGTTTAGTCTTTAGATGAGTAGGAAGCGATAATTGTACCGTGATCCATTCAAGATCAAATTAGAAAAAAGATCTCACACTTCGTTTCGAATATCACCGAATGTCGGCGGTATCTCTTTGTCTTCCAATTAGAAAAACTGAGGTCTATTTTTATCTCGCAAAAGACTATGATAATCTTGAGTGAGCAGTTTAAGATAATCTTGGGATCTAGCACGAAATTCTTTAGCACGCATGCTGGAATGTTCTTTTGGTGCTTGGGAATCTGTGCGAATACATTCAGAAAGAACAGCAAGATCGTCGACAAGCATGCACGGAAGGCGAGTTGTATGTGCATTTCCAATTCCTTATAAACGTACGGCGCAATGTAGAAATCTTGATTCAATTTGAAATTTCTGCGTTCACTATAACTATTTGCGCGCGCATTACCAAAGGTTATATCATGGATTTATCACACCAAACACGAAGTTAATTACGTCATTAATTAATTTTAGTATCTGTTACTAATCGTCAAAGTCAAAATTAAGCGAGATTTAGTATTCCATTGAGATTTTTACTCAGTGCGTATGTAATCGAGTCGGAAATTGTGCAGTGAGAGAAATAATGTGAGGTATCGAGTATTGCTGAGTCCTGACTTAATTTTACTAACAGCACACCTCTTAATCTTGCTACTCTCATGTATTTATACAATAAGAGCTATAGCACACTTGAGCACGGATCTTGTCCTGGTAAAATACCTCTTCCTACAGTTAACCCTGACTACCAGTCACCAGAAACATCCGAAGTGGAAATACCTTCCCGGACTTATAGCCAGGGTGTCAACAGAAGGGACAGTGACAGACAAATAACTAGAAATCTGAACAAAACAAGAACGAGAATCATTAACCTAGGTAACCATGGTGACCGGCACCCTCTGTTCGGTTATTATCAATTTTATCCATAATACGCCAGATATTTTATTGGTATGAGTTTAAATGATAAAAGTTGCTGAAATAACCTACTGTAATAGCTGAATAGCACTCAACTCAAATAAAACCATTTTCACCAGATGACATAGTTGCCGGGAAGGACTAATTGAAAATCAGATAATTAATAAGTATGAAAATTGAAATATCATGAGGTCATTCTTCATACTCTGTAGATGTGTAAAACATTCCCTTTTCGCACCGCATGATTCAAAAGTTCGTGTTTAGACGTTAACCCTCTCTATACTGTCAATGTCATCCTATTCATAGTGATGTTTTGGTATTAATATGTCATTGTTATGATGATCATGAAGGAATTGTTTAATCTTGATGTTTCAATGCATGCTTTGTCCTTTCAATGTCAGTGATCATGCATATCAATGACTTATTGATCACTGTCCTGAAATCCAAAATTTGTAAGATTATCTGCACTCACTTTCCGTTTATCATTGAATTTCTATTATTTTAAAAACCTCGGGTCTCTATATCCTTTGTCTCGGCATGTTGTAATAACAGAAATAATAAAATTCACCGCACTTCAACACACCCGACCACATCAAACAACAAGTTTTGATTTCTAGGAACCACAGCATAGCATGAAAACTATTCCACAGTAAATGTGAACTACGATTCGACCGCCGAAAATGGGGCCGTCAGTACAGGCAGTACAGTCAGAATGTCAGATGTAAAGCTGAGAAACGCAAGCTCTATCTCCTCCAGAATAACAGTCATTTCTGAGGACGATTCGGAGGCGTAGCTGCAGGTTCTACCAGCATGTGGTGTTTCATCGTTTTATAACAATGCTGTAGTTTAGTGTAGTTGGTTAGTAGTAGTGGTAGTAATGTTTATCTGGGCGTAAGAAGTGAGGCAACAATAAGTGTCAGCCTCGTGACGTCTTGTCCTTCTTCTATCGTCTACCATTTGTGTGGCCAATCAGCCTCTATTGTGATGGTTTTAATTTATTGGCATAGTTTCCGATTCTAATTTTGCTGCTGCTGAAGAAAGTGATTGAAACAAATTATTTACAAATATAATCATTTATTATTTATTTATTCACTTCAAAGCATTTGCTTTTTTAACAAACGCTGTTTCTGAATCACAAGTGAGATATTTTCAAATTGGATGGTAAAGTGCGCTGTTTTTTACTGTGTTTTTTACTGTTGTGCTTAGCGCCATGTAATATGGGCTAAGCACATGACACTCAAAAGGGTCAATTCTATCGATCCACCCTCCATGTCAATAAAAAACAAAGGCATGTGTGATTTAAGTGTGAGATGGATTTATAACAAATTGATTTTTTGCTAAGTTATTATATTAAGATAGTTGTGTAACACAGAGATAATCAAATGAGCTCACATAATCAGCAGTCAAAAATTACTCTATTTCGTTTCATTCTAAATAATATAGATTCAAGAATTCTGACAAATTCTCTGACAACTTTTCCCCAATAGGTCCCCGTAAGTTGATCAGCACCCGACATCGCCTCACTCCTGTCGAAAAAGCAGCCCAAGACTTCATCATCGCCGCCAGCCATAACAAGGGCGAAGCCATCGCTAAGACTTTTGTCGGGAAGATGAAGGTCGGTGTTGAAGGTAAGGAAGAAGGCTTAGGCCAGACTCAAGTCTTAACAATGTCGTCGAGTCGAGGAGACGGCCTTGGGGTTCTATTACCCGCCCCGGACACTTTCGTTGCTCGCAATCCCCTTAGAGAGGAAGTTGAAAACTCAAATGGCGTGGTTTGTCGTGACGTGCCGTGTCGCGACGTGCCGTGTCGTGACGTGCTGTGTTGTGACGTACCGTGTCGTGACGTGTCGTGTCGTGACGTGCCGTGTCGCGACGTGCCGTGTCGTGAAGTGCCGTGTCGTGACGTGCCGTGTCGTGACGTGCCGTGTCGCGACGTGCCGTGTCGTGAAGTGCCGTGTCGGGACGTGCCGTGTCGTGAAAGTGACTTTTATGTGCAGCAGCAACCTCAGATCACGGGTAATGGTGTTGTGTTAGAGGAAGCGGGCAGTTGATTGTATGTTTTCAGCACTTGTTTTTGTGTCTATAGTTAGGACGCCTGCTAAATTATCCAACATCATTAATTTACGCTCAATTTTTTCGTGAGATGCGTCTTGGGCTTGTCTATGAGACTCCTAAAGATTATCAATACTTTACAACTAGCAGACATAATGTAATGTCAACTTTAAATTTCAGCTTCGTATTTTTTGGCCGAAATTCGATCAGCAGACGTCCTTAACCTTATTTTTCTTTTGTAAATATAATTGAATACTTTATTTTACAAGTACCATTGTTGTTAGTGATATCTTACTTAGCACTGGAATTTTCAAAAGCGACATGAGGTGTTTTTAGTTGTTCTAGTTATTATCTTACTGCGGGTAAAAGTATCATTAGCGCTATTTTCCATATTTTAGACTTTTTGTTGACTGGGTTCTTTCAAGGCACTGATACTACCATTAGATGTTTTAATTTTAGTTTTGTCTTAAAAAACAATAATTGAAAATTGTTCCTCTTTCGAACCATTATATTGTGTTTGATGAACGATGGTAATTGTGGGGAGGTGACCCATATTTCCGTTGTAAATAAATGTTACCATTGCCAACATTTTGCACAATTTTGAACTACCTAGGTAAATTTTTTGCTCAAGAAGAAAATGAAAATCAATCACCTCCTCATGATTAACCTTGGTCTTAATTTAACATTTAATCCGAATTTTCAAAACAAGGAATTTTAGCATTTTTACTGTTGTTATCATAATATGTCAATTTTGAGAGTATATTCTTCAGCATAATATTAAATGTTCTGGTGTTATTTTTCCTTAATAATAGTTAAGCATCGTGAAAAATGAAAGTGCAGCATCCATAATCATTACACAAAGTGATAATTGTGAGTGAAGCACCAGTAGAAAAAGTTCATGTCCCAGTATGTTTAGGAAATACATAACTTATAAAATCAACTATACAAATCGTGATCACAAGTGATGTTTTGTTATCCAGTGTCCACCATATTATCATAATTAGAATGTAAGATTGTTGGAATGTTGGTAATTTTAAAAAAATCTGTTAAGTGTCTTCGTTAAATTTAATCAATCAGTTAAGCTGTTAACGAATCGTGTCCAGTTCATATTTAAACTCCTCATCGTCATACAGGCAGGAGATTAGAAACACTAATTGAGAGCAGCAAGGAGCAGGAACACTGCCCTCCACAACCTAGAAGAAGTGTAGTGAACTTTAGAACTGGGACATATCTTAGGGAGACCTCTCAGGACCTGAAACATGCTGACCTTTTCTTTAATTCCCTTAATTTCAATTTTTCCGGGTCTGCCTTTAGCTTTAGAGTCCCTACAAAACCCAAACCAAGGTCACTGAAACAGAGCAATAGTTCACCAGCAACAGGTTCAAGCACTGAAAGCTTGATGGTCTGCAACGGGAAACAACAACCAGACTCCCTTATCTTAAACAACCTTATCGCTACACAAACTTCACTGTACGTTGCCACTGGCAAGTACCAGGAGACTTTCTTTGGTGTGGTCTCCGAGGCAGCAAAACTGGCGGGGTTAGGGTCCACTGTGTTCGTTAACCATCAAACATCACCAGTGTCTCGTAACCACCACACCTCATCTCTATCAGACGTAGAACCAGGATTTGTTGAGAAACAGCCTGCTCCAACTAAAGGGTATCTGAGAAAGGGGTTGAGGGAAAAGCTGGCCCTAAAAGCGGAACAGGCTCGATTACAAGTGCAGAAGCTTGAAAGAATGGCCAGCAAGGAAGAGGAAACTGTTAATGAAGGTGTTAATGTAGACTCTGGAGTAGGATCTGACACCTTGGGTGGTACTGACAGTTTCGAGAGTGTAGGGACTGGTTGTGGGCCTGATGTGGATCATGGAGGTGATTCTGATCAGGACATCATTTAATTTGATAATTTGATGTATTATGAATCATAATTAATATCTTAAATGTACTATGCTGCATGTTATAGAGTTTTAATATAAAAAAAACCTGTTGACATATTTTGTAGATGGATTCAGTAACTACATCAGCTTCAAATAGATGTTGTTGAGTAAAATACCTCTATAATACTATAATATAAATGTGGATGTTGATTTGTAAATTGTATGAACATTTTACAACTTAGTTTCGTCATTGTTACAAAAATTGTACCAAACATTCTCCTAAAATTGAATGAACGCATTTTAATCCATGTTCGAAGTGTTTGAATGCAGTTTTTTGGGTTTCAAGTCGGGCTCAAACTCAGAGATCCCACGCATTTGACAGCAATAGCATCGTCTGAATAACAGCATGTAATAACTGCATTCTTACCTCCTCATTTCCCTTCTTTCTCAGTCGATGATTGTCTATCGTCCGGCAGTGATTCTTCAGACTCATCTATCACGGACATGGACTTAATGGATATTGATCTGGATCCAGAACGTAAAGTTGAAAATAAACGTTTATCTGGCATCAGCTTCAGATCAGGCGCCTACAGGATATCCACTGACACAGCTCCTATTGCTTCACGATTGGACTTATCAAAAAAACGAAAAAACAAGGCAAGAAAGAAAAATGAGGTCCAAGACGTGAGTAAACTGGGTGGTTTTACAAGAAGGTTGTCCAAAGTTCTGAGTGTCGGTGATAAGATAGGAGAAAAAGCATCTAGCTGTGATACGACCCCAATGATCTCTGAGGATAAAACTCTGGGTTTAAGGGGGAACGTGGGAAATAGTGTTGCCCCAGCCCCATTGAAAAAGGGGTTCACTCGGAAGGGTCTCCGAGAGAAACAATCTAATGAGTGATGACAGCTGTCGTAAAATATAGATTCTAGAAAGATTGTATATAATTTTAGGGAAGCTATTGTTTACTATTTTAGGGACCGGTTACATTACTCCATGGTGAGATTTTGGCAATTCGGTAGTGTGGCATAACACGGTTAACGCACGGTTAAGGCACGGTTAAAGCACAGTTAAGGCACGGTTAAGGCACAAGGGTTACATAAGGCACGGTTCTTAAGGCACGGTAAACGCACGGTTAAGACACAAACTGCCCAAAAGCAACCATTATGGTCGCTTAAGGCACGGTTAACACACGGTTAACGCACGGTTGGGGAAATATAACATATAAACATACAAGTGGTTAACTAAGCTAGAGGCACGGTTAAGGCACGGCTAGGGAACAAGGGTTACATAAGGCACGGTTGAGACACGGTCACTTAAGGCACGGTTAACGCACAGTTAAGGCACGGTTAATAAGGCACAAACTGCCCAAAAGCAACCATTGTGGTCGCCTAAGGCACGGTTAACGCACGGTTGGGGAAATATAACCTATAAACATACAAGTGGTTAACTAAGGCATATGATCTGAATGTGACGATCTGTAAATTTTACAGTGCGATTCCCGCTATAAATAAATTTTCTAATTGTAAAGCAACAGTTTGACCGTCCTATATTTAAAATCCTTATCTCGATTAATGATCTCTTCAAGTAACAAGGCTCTTCAAATTAAGTTAACATCTCCTAGAGCTCACACCTTTTTATTTGAGCGAGGTGATCTACACAACCTACTTCGCAGTCATGTATCAGATCACATCACCCAACCTTGCTGCGTGCTGACACCACCCGCACACTTATCAATACATGCAAACTTTTGATCTCGTTGATCAGCTGACATGGATCATATCCCGAAATAAACAAGCTCTGTCAAAAGTTTGCATGTATTGATAGGTGTGCGGGTGGTGTCAGCACGCAGCAAGGTTGGGTGATGTGATCTGATACATGACTGCGAAGTAGGTTGTGTAGATCACCTCGCTCAAATAAAAAGGTGTGAGCTCTAGGAGATGTTAACTTAATTTGAAGAGCCTTGTTACTTGAAGAGATCATTAATCGAGATAAGGATTTTAAATATAGGACGGTCAAACTGTTGCTTTACAATTAGAAAATTTATTTATAGCGGGAATCGCACTGTAAAATTTACAGATCGTCACATTCAGATCATATGCCTTAGTTAACCACTTGTATGTTTATAGGTTATATTTCCCCAACCGTGCGTTAACCGTCGCGTGCTGCCTTACGCGACCACAATGGTTGCTTTAGGGCAGTTTGTGCCTTAACCGTGCCTTAACTGTGCGTTAACCGTGCCTTAAGTGACCGTGTCTCAACCGTGCCTTATGTAACCCTTGTTCCCTAGCCGTGCCTTAACCGTGCTTATGTTATATTTATATGTTATATTTCCACAACCGTGCGTTAACCGTGTGTTAACCGTGCCTTAAGCGACCATAATGATTGCTTTTGGGCAGTTTGTGCCTTAACCGTGCCTTAACCGTGCCTTAACCGTGCCTTAACCGTGCCTTATGTAACCCTTGTGCCTTAACCGTGCCTTAACCGTGCCTTAACTGTGCTTTAACCGTGCCTTAACCGTGCGTTAACCGTGTTATGCCACACTACCGAATTGCCCAAATGATAGATATCAGTTGTTTTTTGTAACTATTTACATCTGGAGAACGATCGAAGAAGCTTTACATTTTTCATCAAAAGTTGTTTTCCCAGGTCTGAAATTGTCACATACTCACATAGTCATAAAGGTATTAAATGAAATTTCGCGATTACACTATTAATAATAATTGCACGAGGCGCAGCCGAGTGCAAATTGATACAATAATCGCACGAGGCGAAGCCGAGTTCGATTATTGCAGTTATTTCACGAGGCGCAGCCGAGTGCAATAACTGGTGTTATCGTATTATACATGCAGTTAGATTCGCGTATAACTCCACGCTTTTGGAGTTATAACCAGTGCAATTAGTTTATAATCGCACCGACTATGTTGTTATAAGTTGCTCTCAAAACAATGCGATGATAAACTAATCGCACTGTTTTGAGAGCACCGAGCAGCTGATATTTTGATTTCCGGAGTGTACTCACAAACAAATGAAACAGTCATTAGATAAACCAATTTCAAAACTAGATTGATGTTTCATATTACTAAAAACGTTTGCAAACGATCCGTTTCATGATATGCATAAACAGTGCCAATCGAATGCATTATAATACATTTCCAAGCAACTATCAGATGTTATTGTACCACCCAACACGGCAACAAACAATCAAGTTTCATATTAAAGAGACAACAGCGGGTCGCACAACGCCTCAGGGTCTCAAAGCACTGAATACGTTGGCACACGCCGTGTTTGCTTGAAGATGATTCTTTTTGGTCATGACTGATCAGTGACTCGTACGCAGTGGTCACGTGAACCTACCATTTCGACGAAATACTATCACGTGACACCCCCCCCCCCCCCGTATTACTGATTTCGAGGAATAACTGTCACGTGACAGACTGATAAGGAGAAATTAGCTCCCGGCACCGTGAGAAATTTGCTCTTGCCTCATACTGTGAGTGTGTTGTGTTGTAGCGCGATGCGCTACTGTGCCGCGCCGAGCTGCCATGAATTGACATCGTCAATTAAGTGTTGTGTTAATGCAATGTAAGAATTGACTTATCTCAAAACAAGGAAAGATGTTGTCCTAAACTAGTTCAACTTTCTATGTCTTTAAAATAACTAGTTATTTGTTGTTTGACTACATATCATGACTATCTACTAGTACTATCTAGTCGCCTTTGGAGTGCGCGCGTAAAGTGCACGACACGAATGTGTTTACGATACGAATGTTTTACCAACGTGATTCGTACGTGAAGTCACTTCTGCATTTTGGTCAAATTAGCTATCAGCTATGAGAACTGTCAACTGTACTTTCTTCTATAATTTTGTTTCTTTAATCCGCCAAACTAGCTCTAAAAGTAAATATAATGTTATAATTTCTACAGGTTCAGTTGAACACCTACCCCTATATTAATATAGTATATATACCCCTAATTGCGGCGTGCTGAGCATTAGAAGAATTTATCAATTAACAACTGCCACTCCTCAATCCTCATCAGTTATAAAATAGTCAGACAGGGGGTGCATCTGAAAAAATGTCACTTTACGATCATGACAGTGAACTAACTTCGAAATCATTTGCTTGATCGTAAAAATTGTTTAAGTTTGACATTTTGCTTTGCCGTCAAAACTTAGCAATTGCAAAACTGTTAAAAAGTGAAAAATCTGATTGAAAAATGAATACTCAACATATTTAATTGTTCTGCTAGGACGCCATTACCATGAAAGAAATGGAAAGTGCCGTTTACGATGGGGTCCCAACAGTACAGCTTAATTACATCTATTGAGACATGACAAGGATACTGTTCTTCATCATTACCGTTATTATATATGGTCGTTTTGTTCATGGAAAGTGTCGCAGATGATTATCATGGTAAGATTTGATAGCAGTTTGATACCACACGATCTAGAATCCTACCCTCTTCATCTCAAGACAGTGTAGAATGCAAAACAAAAATGTGTCTTCGATACAAATGAATTAGGTTATATTTTAATTTCTACCCGTCCAGCTGAAAGCGTAACCCTATTGTGAAGTAAGGATTTTCACGACGCGTTAATCTTTATAAGAATAGATCAATTTTACCAAAACCCATAATCATGGGTAGAGTGGACCGCTGCCAGTGTCTCTCTTTCCCAAACAAAAGGAAATGATATTAATTTGATTGACCGTTCTCAAATGCAAAATGATACCGAGAATGAAATCGGTAGCTCGCTTTTCCCATTCATTCACGGCTTACGAATTGTATAAATAAGTTTCGATTGATTACGTCAATCAGATGCTGTAAAAATATTTTTGGGTTGCGTTTGGGTCGATACTTAGTATTTCGGGGTAAGGGACAAGGGTGTTAGTTATTACTTATTGAACAAGCTGAAGTTTATTGAATCTTCATTGCTGATTGCCGAGTACAGCTGCCTTTGGGTAGTTCTTCTTAATCTATTACAATTGTAAATGAATGGGAAAAGCGAGCGACCGATTTCATTCTCGGTATCATTTTGCATTTGAGAACGGTCAATCAAATTAATATCATTTCCTTTTGTTTGGGAAAGAGAGACACTGGCAGCGGTCCACTCTACCCATGATTATGGGTTTTGGTAAAATATCATCTCTTTTTGATTATAATGTCAGGGTACTTTATAAAGTCGAAATATAAACTGATATCTTCATTAATAAGGAGGAAGTTTCAACGATTTCGAAATTTTTCCTTTAAAAACATTTCCTTGTGTTTAGGGAAGCATATCGGTCGATCACTGACTGAATATACCACTTAATACTCATTCAAGTTGGCATTAAATTCATATATAATGACATTAAACTGTCGTGGCAAAGCAGAATTTGTTGGAAATCACGAATGAGCAAAATTCTCACCTTTCGCACGTGCAAACTTTGAGCGGACGTTGCGTGCGCATCCAATATTAAATCGCCGTAAATTTTTGCATGTAATTGTTTTATATATAGCTTGATAAGCATGCAAAGTTTCAAAGTATTTCAAAAAGAACTGTAATCACAACGGCACTCTAAAGTTGACAGAAAATGACGAAAACAGCAATTTTCAGTGATTTTAGCAATTTTCTATCAATTTGGGCGTGTCCCCACGTGTGCAACTTTTCGATTTTCAACTTTAAAACTAGCCTAATGCACAATTTATACCTATAGGAAGCAGAACTGAGCTCCACAACCCAAGGCATGACCCAACACCAGAGAATACTAAATCGCAAAATTGACGTTTTTATAAAATAATTCTTCGAAAAAGCACAAACTTCAATGACGAATATCTTTATGAAGGAGCAAGCTAGAAAAACTTTCCGGTAGATTTTCAGAATGCTTGAACAATTATCTAAGATGAAAATTTCCTCAGATTTTGAATAAAATTACTCCTTAATGGTTTAAAATTCATTTTAAAAGTTATTACTTTGTCAAAAATCAAGTTTTTAAAACGGTTAACTTGATGACGTCATCAAGGGGTGTTTATGACGTCAAATAATTTTTTTATACAATTAAAACTAAAGTGTAAACAATTATTTGCAAGACCTGTGGTCGGAAATGGCTTTATCTTTTATACTTTTGAATCTATGGACACTTAAATACAGGCTACAATTGACTGGCAAAGCGTCTATCCCTGAATATATGTATATATATATATATATGTATGTATGTATGTATCACGACAATCTATCGTAAAACAAGGGTTCTAGAAAACCCATTTCCCGATGCTCCTGAAACCTGAAAGTCGATTTGGTCAACGTCTAGACGCCCTGAAAAATTTCAGATCTCTAACTCAATTTTAACATGGTTTTTCAGGCACCTGAATATGGCGATTTTGGGTTTTTTACCGAATTTCGTATAACAGTGCTGGCGAGTATTTTATGCAAATTTCTTAAAAATCTCAACATAAATATTTTTTATTCCTGTCATCTTTGACATCAAATTAGAATGTTTTGAACTAAAAATAAATCTGCTGAACGACTTCCGATGAGTCTTAATGCCTGGAAAACTCCTGCCGGAGGCGGCGGCCTTCGGCCGCCGCCTCCGGCCGGAGTGCACGCTTCGCGTGCACAAAAGAGGCTTGTAACGTGTACCAAAGGGGGTATAATAGTAAAGGGGGTATAATAGTAAAGGGGGTATAATAGTAAAGGGGGTATAATAGTAAATGGGGAACATAGTATACCCACAATAAATGCAACGGTCGTGCTTGCCAGCACTGTGATTAACAACTGCACTGTATTTATATTGGTACTGATACTTCTTGACTCATCATATTCATACTTGACTTAAGCCTAAGGCGGGTAGTGTTCCCGAGATCCATTGACAACAGTTCTCCACAGCTTTCTGTCCTCCATCAGACTAGCTATCTCATCTACTGACTTCAGCCCAGTATCTGCTTTTATGTTATCTAGTGGTAAGTAAGGTCGCCCCCTGTTAGTATGCCCATGACTCGGCGTCCAGAGGATTGGTTTGTTCAGTGTCAGCTCCGGATGTCGAAGTGCATGACCTGCAAGTCTGAGCCTTCGTTGGGTTATCTTGGAGCTGACTTTTGGAAGTTCACCGTACACTGTACAGGCTGTGGTTGCTGACATGGTCTCGATATTGGTTGATGTTGAGGGCCATTCTTAACATTCGCGTATAGCAACCATTGACAACAGTTCTCCACAGCTTTCTGTCCTCCATCAGACTAACTATCTCATCTACTGACTTCAGCCCAGTATCTACTGTTAGGTTATCTAGTAGTGTTAGGTAAGGTCGCCCCCTGTTAGTATGCCCATGACTCGGCTTCCACAGGATCAGTTTGTTCAGTGTCAGCTCCGGATGTCGATGAGCATGACCTGCAAGTGCAAGTCTGAGCCTTCGTTGGGTTATCTTGGAGCTGACTTTTGGAAGTTCACCGTACAGGCTGTGGTTGCTGACATGGTCTCGATATTGATTAATGTTAAGGGCCATTCTTAACATTCGCGTATAGCAACCATCAACCATCTTCTCTAGTCTTTTCGTCATAGTCCAAGTCTCGGAACCGTAAAAAAGCACCGACTCGACAAGTGCTGTAAACACTCTGATCTTGATAGACTTCCTAAGCTTAGAATTCCAAAGTTTTTTGAGTGTGTGGCATGCTCCCCATGCTCTTCTTTTCCAAACCCTGATATCACTCTCACTGTCTCTGATTCTAGAACCCAGGTAAGTGAAGTCTTCCACATGTTTTATTGTGCTGTTATCCAGGGACTTGATGGTATCAGGATGCTCCATGTTCTGAGTAATGGATTTGGTTTTCCCTTCATTCATTCTAAGTCCCACTGTAGCAGCAACCCTTTCTACCTCTAGCATCAGCGTCTCTGCCTCCTTTACAGTATCTGCTATCAGATCAATGTCATCTGCAAAACCAGTGTCTGATATCTTCTCCGCCTTGACTCTCCTTATCCAATAAGGCTTAATGGTAAATCCTCATCCTAGTCATCAGTAATAACATGGTCAGACATTAAAGGTATAATATGAAAAGAATGTTGCTAATATAGGATCACAGTGAATAAACTTCGAAATCACTCGCTCGATCGTAAACATTTTTAAGTTTGACATTTTGCTTTGCCGTCAAAATTTTTTATCCAGTTTTGGTACAAAAACTGTTGAAATAGGAAAATTATGATTAAAAATTGATTACTCAACATATTTTATTATTTTACTAGGATGCCATTACCATAAATAAAAAGAAATCGAGAGTGCCGTTTATCTTGGACTTAATTACGATGGGGTTCTAACAGTACAGCTTTACAGCTATTCAGGAATGATAAGGATACGTATCTTGATCATTACCGTTATGGTCGTTTTGTTCATGGAAAGTGTCGCAGATGATTATCATGGTAAGATTTTATAGCAGTTTGTATAATCTTTACAATTTAATTTTAACTCATTGAGGTGATCCGTGATGGTGATACATTTACTGGTATCCTTGTAGTTTATAATGATACTTTCAGGATGGGAATATGTAAAGACAGATACAATGATACCACACGATCTAGAATCCTACCCTCTTCATCTCAAGACAGTCTCTAAAATAAAGGACGGAGATAGCATTAGTGTGCTTATCGATCAAAAATATGACATTGTTTTGACATTATCCTTCATGCCTCTTCACGTTCGAATTTTCATGTTTAATTCTCATTTGTGTGCATCCATGAACGGGGACCATTATTTAGATACCACACTAGGTGGTGATTTTATAACTAACACCACCGAGAATATCTGGTCAATACGAAAGACAAACATTTCACTAGACTTAGATGTGAATAGCATAACATTGTTGCAATACAATTTCTCGAAGATCGAACAGGAGTGTATAAGTCTACGGTCGATAAATGTTCTTTGGATTTATCTCACGTCGTCTGAAAAATCGTTTCCATGGATCCCAACCACTGTTGTTGGACTGCAGTACAAACCCCACATTAGAGGTGATAAGAGATTATTAGAGGTGATAAGAGATTATTAGAGGTGATAAGAGATTATTAGAGGTGATAAGAGATTATTAGAGGTGATAAGAGATTATTAGAGGTGATAAGAGATTATTAGAGGTGATAAGAGATTATTAGAGGTGATAAGAGATTATTAGAGGTGATAAGAGATTATTAGAGGTGATAAGAGATTAATAAGTGAAAATCAAATTCGAGACTAGAATATCCTGAAACAGAATACTAGAATACACCCCAGAATATACATATTGATAATAAATAATCATCAATTTATTCCTGTCAAAATATCTCTATGTCAAAAGTTGTTTAATCTAATTACTTTACAATTACTTTCTAGATTATACTAATAAACTTAATTTTCTCAGATTACTCCGATTGTCAGGTGAAAGAAGTAGGCAATCCTCCATACTTGAAATTGGCATGCAAATATGACAACACTACCTGGTTCCGCTGCCCCTTCACTCATAACTACTATACAGTCGGCGATAAAAGCGACAGTGGTTGTGTTTCAACGGATTTTGACTCAGCATGTCCAAGGGACACACATTTTTATCAAGCATGTGGACACAGTGATTGTACTGGATATCAAGTACTGGAGCATTCGACACTCTTCTGTTCAACGTATGTATGCGATATCAGAAACCGTTCATCAGTATACCAACAACCTCAAGCAGGTAAATTTTACGAGGCCACATTTTCTTGCAATGGGAAATATGATTGCCTCAATACTAAAGTAGATGAGCAGTTAGATTGTCGGTTTGATGAGGAAGATCAGTATCAGTGCAAGGACAACTCTAGTTTAAGAACTAGGAAGAAACTAGCAGCCTCAAAGACGTGTGACAACAAATGCAACTGTTTCGATTGTGACGATGAAGCTCATTGTAATGGTTTTCACTATGGAGTTGAATGTGAATTGAAGGACGAAGGTTCTTGGGGTAACTACGATGGTGGAAGTTATGCAGCCCCAGCAAATATTTGCGATGGTTATGAACATTGCACTGACGGAAGCGACGAAAAAAATTGTTCTCAATCAAATAAGACTTGCCATGACGGTTGGCAAGGCGATGTTCGTTACTTGAAGGATAACCAAATCTGTGCAGTTCCCCGTGGTTTAGGGGTCTGTGGAGATGGTAAAGACCAAGTAAACTGTCCAGACCCTCATAAAATAGCTATGTCTTGCTTATTGGCAGGATCTCCCACTAACATTTCAATATTTGCTGTCTGCAAAGACTACCCGTTATGTGACGATGACTATAACAACAATTGTCTAGAACCAGAGGGAGGGTGTTCTGTCCACAAGAGCTTTCTCTGTGATGGAATAGCAGACTGTCCAGGAGGTTCTGATGAGAGTGAAGTATACTGCTCTCACATGTCCAGTTTCAACTGTACAAGAAGAGTAGCCAGATTTGAAGCAAAGGGCAACAAAATCATCCACCCCTTTCCTTTAAGCTGGGTGAATGATAATGAAATAGATTGTATGGACGGCAAGGATGAGGACGATATTTATTGGAATGTGTGTGAGTTCGGATCGATTGAACTGTTTATCGAAAAAGAAAGTCGCTGCATGGATGTAAAGAAATGTAGAGAGCAAGAAGAGGGGTTTATAAGTGTAAAGAACCTGTGTGATAGAGTTGAAAGCTGTGGGGGAGAGAACGATTTATGTGGAGTCTCTAGAGGCATTCAAACAACTTGGAACACTCTCATCGAACAAAAGGCTGCGGACACAAAAGTAGTATCGTATTGTTTGAAGGGGTTGATGAATCTTCAACGCTCTGCAAGCTTCTGCCTCGTGAGAGGGGTACCATCTCCAAACGCAGGGGACACTGCACAATTTGTGAGAAAAGGCGGCAAGTTAAATTTACCGAACAGCAAGTTTGACTGCAGGTTCGTATACGGTGAAATGTATGTTTATCTGGCTTGTTCCAACTCCTGCTTAGCATCCTCCACACCGTGTCCTTTGAGGACAATTCCTTCTGACACTTGTGTCAACAAGATGAAAGAAAGAGTCTTCACAGTTACTGACTCCAACAATCTTACAGTTTCTCTGAGAAAACTGAGGGAGTACCACAATGAAATTTACCCGTGTGACAATAAAAACTGTGTGCTGTACAACAAAGTTTGCAACCTAGTTGATGATTGTGGGGATGTAAGTGATGAAGTTAACTGCACTAATCACTTCTACTGCCCAGGATATAAAGAGTACATACCGCTTACCTCCAAATGTGATGGTCAGGTTGATTGCAGAGATTTCTACGACGAGTGTAACCATGACTGTGTCACTACACAGAGGTACATATTCGGCAACAATATTCTGAGAGGCTTGTCGTGGACAGTGGGAATTCTTGCTATCTTGTTCAATGGTTTCAACATCGTTCATTCTATACTTGAAGCAAGAACAAGAGAGACGTTTGGAGGTCTGATGAACAAATGTTTTATCATTCTCATAAGTTTTGGAGACTTCATAATGGGAATATATTTGGTGGTCATAGCTTGTGTTGATCAACAGTTTGGCGGAAGATATTGTGAATCTAAGTACATCTGGATGTCCTCACAATGGTGCTCACTACTTGGAATTATGAGCACATTTGCAACTCAGATCTCACTCTTTTCGATGACAGGTCTGAGTCTGTTCCGAACCTGGACAGTTGGAGATATAATTCAACGTGATAGATCCTCAGCCAAGTCAAAATTACAGCTGATTTTAACAATATCAACAATAACATTTTTATCAGCTGCTCTGGCATACATACCGGTGTTGACTCAATTGGAGGACTTTTTCGTAAACGGACTCTATTACCACGACAACCCTCTTTTCACTGCGTCCGTATCGAAAGATATCCACCGCCAGATATTCCGCAACAATTATGGATACATGAAGTACACTGATATGTCGTGGAAGTTGATACGCTCAATCGTAAGGGACATGTTTACATCTGAATATGGAGGTAAGATATATTTGAACAGGATAAAATTCAATTTTACCTTATTGAGATTACTCAAATTAGTGAAGATGATTTTGACTTTTTGTTAGCAAAGAAGAAACAAATAAGTTGAAAAATATACTTACCGGTAGCATTTCAGGAATAGAAGGAAAAGCAATCCATTTCTACGGAAGTGATGGAGTCTGTATTTTTAAGTACTTGGTGACAAAAGAAGACCCTCAAAAGTGGTACAGTTTAACAATTCTGGCAATCAACTTCGTCTGTTTTGTCATCATATCGGTATGCTATATATTTATAACTGCCAGAGTTGTCCGCTCATCAAAGAATACCTCGAGAAACGACACCACCCAACACACAAGGGACATCCAGTTGAAAATCAGTGCCATAATCTTTACTGACTTTATGTGCTGGATACCCCTGACCGTCGTTTGCTTCCTGCACTACGGAGATATCATCAACGCCACCAAATGGTATCCCTACTTCTCAATCGCACTGCTACCGATAAATTCCGTAATAAACCCACTGCTTTATAACGGGGATCTAGTAAAGATGTTGATTGGTCCTGTCAGAGTTTTAAACAGATATAGGCAGGAAACGAAGGCTAGATGGACAACTAGATGAAGAAAAGTGCAAAATGCAAGCAAAGATAATTCGGAGAAACGAAACCCTCTCCCCACCTCTACTTGTGCAATAAGTGAATTATAAAAGCACTTGACCTCTCGAACAAGGCTAGAAATTTAACAGGAGCAAGTAAAATCGGGTATCGTGAACCAGCCTGCTATTTTATCTTAAAATCTTAATTGATAAAGTGTTGCATGTTGCATGGGAGGAACTGTTCGACACGTGCGCTAGATTTACCTCTCTATCTATTTTGTTTCATTTTAAGCCTGCAGTTATAAAAACTTGTGTGGAATCGTTTTATTTTTTTCTACCCGATCAAAAGTGTTTTAGATTTTGTTGAATAAGTTCGGTGATTTTTAATTTAATTTCTTTTATCATCATCGTTTAACTTTTTGAAAGACACAAATTCGATGAAAATCTAAAATTTTATAAAAATATATTTTGGACGAGGTTTATCTTCAGCAAAATTGAAATACAAAATATAAATGACGTCCTGGGATTGTTTATTGAACTAATACGTCCGTCACCCAAAAATTAAAGTAAGTTTCAATTGAAAGTGTTATGAATGTACAGTGTACACTAATGATTGAGATCGTGCTAGAATTGAGAAGGCCTTAAAGCAAGCTTCCACATGACCGGACCTTTATAAAGCTTTAATTGTGGAGTATAATAATTATACCCATTGTTTGTAAAACCCTTGTTAGCTAACAATATGTCAGGAGGGCCGAACCACTGACAAGACTCTTCGACCAGGAATTCTTTTGTCCTTTTCAAGACAATCCAACAAAGGAGGTTACTGGGCTTAAAACGCAAATAAAGAACGTACTCCTTAAAGTTTAGAAATTGTTTCTCACTTTTTAAAACATGTTCCGTTTAGTTGTGCTGTTTGCGATAGCGCTGGCCTGTATCGTCGACACAAGCGACACAGGCGACAAAAGTGACACAAGCGACACAAGCGACACAAGCGACACAAGCGACACAAGCGACACAAGCGACACAAGCGACACAAGCGACACAAGCGACATAAGCGACAGTAGTGGTAATAGTGGTAATAGTGGTAATAGTGGGTACCGTAATGTTGCACCAGGAGGATACGCACAAGCGAGCTCCTCTAAAAGTGGGAGTAGAGCTGATCTAGCTATAGATGGGAACATTAGTGGGAAGCTGAGTGACGGGAGTTGTGCGCTGACGGCTTCAGAGGAGGAGAACTGGTGGAGCGTCAAGCTGAGACATTCCTTTTTAAACCTGGCTGTACCAGTAGACCACGTTCTCATCTACAATAGGCTGGATAACAGGCAGAAGAGAATCCACGATGTTCAGGTATAGGCGCCTAGGCTCAGATCTTTCTCAATGCACGAAAGTTCATCTTATACATTATACCTATTTACAATGAAAACTAAATTTAAACGGCAACAATAAAGATTCAGCTTTCAGCCTCACCAAAATACAACATCGTTATTGATAAATTTAATAACAGGTGTTTGTAAAGACAGTTAATAAAGACTCTCCAATTTTGTGTGGTACTATTAACTATGTTAAAGATCAGTCAGTTTACAAAATAAACTGTAATCAAACCTATGGTGAGTACATTTTTTACGTTCAATTACCTAGGTCAATTTAACAAAACATTTATTATCAGACAGATCTTGTACTTAATTGTGCTAACGGCATCAAAAGCTGATCAGATTTATTTTTCAATCGTAAGACAGTAAAATAAATATAAATCGGCCTCTCCACTTCCAGGAAACGAGGTATTGATAAAGCAAAAGAAGGAAATGTTATCACTGTGTGAAGTACAGGTGATGGTATCAGAACAACACTCTCACTTCCCCTACGTAAATATAGCACTCAACAGTACAGCAACCCAATCGTCTGACTACCAGGACAGGTTCAACGCCTCTAGAGCAGTAGACGGGAAGAGGACAGGTGCTCTGAATAAAGGCAGCTGTAGTATGACCAAGTCTCAGACTTTGAACACGTGGACACTGTGGCTACCAGGGGGTAGGCTTGGAGTAAAGTACGGGGTCAAGAGTGTGGTGATATTCAACAGGAAGGATTGTTGTGGGGAACGGTTGCACGGAGCGGAGGTGTGGCTGGAGGATGAGTTATGTGGTCGGATAGCTCATGTGGAAGGTGAAATACTGTACAACATACCGTGTAACTCTACAGGGGGTAGGATAACTATCAGACAGGAGAAAATAGCTCTGACACTGTGTGAGGTTGAGGTGTTTGTGCAGGAACAGGACTCCACTTCAGAACCTCTGATAAACGTGGCCCCAGCAGGACGAGCTTACCAAACATCCACAAGTTTAGGGGGCGAGGCTAGCAGAGCTATAGACGGGTTAACCTTTACCCACTGGAAGGGAGACTCGTGTACACTGACACAGCCTGGTAACAAGATCCAGTGGAGAGTGGATCTGGAGGGATGGGAGGTGGGGGTCAAGTACCCGGTGGAGAGAGTGGTGGTGTACAACAGAGCTGATAGTAAACAGGAGAGGATCAACAACACTGCAGTGTGGGTCGGAGACTTCCAGTGTGGGACGATAACTTACAAGGAGGGAGAGAACATTTACTTTGTAGAGTGTGGAGGGAGGAGAGGGAGCACAGTCTCACTAACTCTGGACCAGGGTGTGATGAGTGTGTGTGAAGTTCAGGTTGTGGTGAAGTCCAGGAACATTCCTCACATTCCTACCTACACTAACGTGGCACTGGGACGAGAAGCTAGCCAGGGACACAACAGTGCAAAGAACGCAGGGAGAGCTGTAGACGGTAACACAAGTGGGAAGATTCGGAGTAACTCCTGCACATGGTCGGAGACCAGTAACTCGGGTGACAGTAACTCGGGTGACAGTAACTCTGGTGACGGTAACTCTGGTGACGGCACTTGGTGGAGAGTGAAGCTTGATCAGGGCACTGTTGTTAGGTCTGTAGTTATCGTCAATAGAATGGATGCTTTCTCTCAGCGCATTAATGGCGTTCAGGTAATGTTCCCACTAAAATAATATGACTTAATTTATCACTGAACAAAAATTTGACTCGGAATATTATTATTGAAATGATCACAAGAATTATTTGCAAATGTAGCTCAGATCTAAACAAATGTCCACACATTGTTCAGATGTTTATCCTTTGCAGGTATGGGTAGGAGATGAGAAGTGCGGAGAAGTGAGTACGATGAAATGAGGAAGATGTACAGAGTACTGTGTGACGGTAAAGAAGGAAGAGAGGTGACAGTGAAGAAGGTGGGTGAAGGAGTCCTCACTTTGTGCGAAGTAATAGTGTTGGAGGTACAGGAGGAGGGGACTGAGGTTATGGATGAAGAGGACTAGAGGAATTTAGTGTTATTGTAATGAACAGGAGATATTGTAATATTCAGATTTGTTTTTGAATAGTCTTGTTTTCTGATTGGATGGTTTTTGTGTCACGCGACGTGGTTGGATTTTTTTCTGATTAACTGTCGGTATAAATCTGTTGTATGTCACTTTTTTTGAGGTCGTATTTGCGCAATATTTATATTATCAATGATAATGCCAAGTCATCGTACTTGGTTGCAATTTACATGTGAACGGTTTTATGATTGATATCTGGATAATATCCGGTTGGAAGAGACAAGGACAAATGAAACAAGAAAGTTAGGTGTAAGGGCAAATTTTCGGCGCAACGCCATCTTCAGGCTAAAATTGGTATAAATGTTAGTATATGAATATGATTATAAATGCTTCTATACTACTACTAGTACTAGTTAAAATGCTAAATTAAAATTACATACACTGAATACAGGTTACATCAAATGGTATTATATATTACATTGAAAATGGTGATAAGGGTCGTGTGCTATTTGTTTAAATTTGTCTCTGAATATGTTGTAAAAGAAATCCCTTAAGCTTCTCGCACTCTTCTTTGTTATTGATACTAGGTTTAAATTACCTGGGAACCTCAGGCTATCATGTTCATAAACATGATTTATTATAGCCGTTTTTTCTTTCCGCTAGGCTGGATTCCTAGTCACTTTTTAAATTTATGCCACTGGGAAGTCCGGGTTAATCCGGTTTCAAAATTCAAGCAAGAGAGACTTGTGATCTTAGTTTAACGGGTGATACTCGTAAAATATCTGTTCCATATATTGGACCGTCGACGAGTCCAACTCGGCGCGCGTCCTGGTAGGTTGTAAACCTACAAATCTTAGTCTGCGAATATTGTAATAGATAAAAATGCACTGGAACTGGGTCTCCCAGAAAACCTTACCGCCTGCTGGGCTCGCTAGATAAGAGGTGATATATTTTAAACAGCACGTTTGTCGTCGCGCGTCACGTCAAGTTTACTTTTCGCACGCTGCATTTAGCCTAGTACTAGTAGTCATGACAACGACATTACTTAACAAAGTTTAAAAGCTGTGATCTTTTATTTAGCCCAAAATCAAACTTTTCGGTTTAATTCAGAATCTAAGTTGTCCCAAATTTGGCTCCTGGGGAGCTAACTTTAAATTAACGAGACGGAAATGTTGTTAACGGGTGATACTCGTAAACGGGTGATACTCGTAAACGGGTGATACTCGTAAAATATCTGTTCCATATCGGCGCGAGTCCTGGTAGGTTGTAAACCTACAAAAATTTTGTTGAAAACCGGAAGGTTCTATTTATTTTACTTTTGGAGATATACACCAGTCGGTAGGGTTTGCTGGGTCGGGTGAAAGTCTATTCCTCGAGGGAGGCATAACTGCTTTATAACTTGAGAAGCTCTGCTCTGCAGCAGACTGACTGATCGGTTTGTTCGCAGCATAAGCAATAAGAATAGCAAGTCGCTGCATTGTTTTCATTCGAGCACCGTAAAGTCTCCAGAACAACTGTCAGTATTGCTATTATATAAGTATATCATATATACCACTGGGCCAGCGACGCGCGCGCAAATATCACTAATCAGAATCTGTAATCACGTATTTCGAAAGAGATACGCGCGTATTTTGAAAAATTTTACCATCTGCAAAGAATTTATGCGCCAAATTTTGCCGTATTTCACGCATTTCTTAGAATTTTTGAATACGGCGTATTTAGAGGCGAGTTTTTGACGTATTTACCATCAATGCTTTTCGTAATATTACATAATCCGAGGCAACACTCAGGTGCGGTGTTTAGTGTAAATTAAACATAAGTAAGGTACAGTCTGAAAAGGAAACAATATATATGCGGCATTTTGGCAAGTCGTGGCGGATTTGGTTAAATTATTTGATTATCATGACACGAATTTTAATACATTTTGCGGAAGTATGTCATGTGACTTGTAAATGTGGAAAATGTCTCTATTCTTAAAAGTGGGTCGGCATTGTGAATAGTTTGTATCTTCGTTGGCTCTACTTCAACGGTCATAACAGTATAACTATGACGGTCAAAAACTGCCTAATGTTTGCCGGTTAACTGAAAATGGGTCTTTGTTCTTGTCGGCCGTGTTATCGTTGTTTTAAGAGTCTCTCTTTTTGTTTCCCAATCTTACCCAAATCTAGGGTTGTTTGAAGACACTTTGCATGTGTACTGACCACTATGAGGAACTGAAATTCCAATATTTCAATAACAATGATAATCAGATAATATGTTTATGTGACGGGTTTATGAGTAAAAATTACTATTACTATTAGTAATAAAGTTCGTCTAGAAAACTAAAAAAATAAAACGTTTCCACACAAGGTTTTATAATTCTATACTCATATAGGCTAAAAATAAAACAAAATAGATAGAGAGGTAAATCTAGTGCACGTGTCAAACGGTTCCTCCGACAACGTGCAAAACTTTATCAAGTTAATTAAGATTTTAAGATAAAATAGCAGGCTGGTTCACTTGAATAACTCTGGCAACCTCCTTCTGAGTCACCATACCCCAGAGGCAGGCATAGCATCTTCATGTTATCTTTTCGTGGGCCATCCAAGTCAAGCCTCTCAAAAAAAGAAAAAAAAGGCGGGCTACGATACCCGATTTTACTTGCTCCTGTTAAATTTCCAGCCTTGTTCGAGAGGTCAGGTGCTTTTATAGTTCACTTATTGCACAAGTATTATCTTTGCTTGCATTTTGCACTTTTCTTCGTCTAGTTCAAGTAGTTGTCCATCTAGCTTTCGTTTCCTGCATATATCTGTTTAAAACTCTGACTGGACCAATCAACATCTTTGCTAGATCCCCGTTGTAAAGCAGTGGGTTTATCACGGAGTTGATCGGTAGCAGTGCGATTGAGAAGTAGGGATACCATTTGGTGGCGTTGATGATATCTCCGTAGTGCAGGAAGCAAACGACGGTCAGCGGTATCCAGCACATAAAGTCAGTAAAGATGATGGCACTGATTTTCAACTGGAGGTCCCTTGTGTGTTGGGTGTTGTCGTTTCTCGAGGTATTCTTTGATGAGCGGACAACTCTGGCAGTTATAAATATATAGCATACCGATATGATGACAAAACAGACGAAGTTGATTGCCAGAATTGTTAAACTGTACCACTTTTGAGGGTCTTCTTTTGTCACCAAGTACTTAAAAATACAGACTCCATCACTTCCGTAGAAATGGATTGCTTTTCCTTCTATTCCTAAAATGCTACCGGTTAGTATATTTTTCAACTTATTTGTTTCTTCTTTGCTAACAAAAAGTCAAAATCATCTTCACTAATTTGAGTAATCTAAATTAGGTAAAATTGAATTTTATCCTGTTCAAATATATCTTACCTCCATATTCAGATGTAAACATGTCCCTTACGATTGATCGTATCAACTTCCACGACATATCAGTGTTCTTCATGTATCCATAATTGCTGCGGAATATTTGGCGGTGGATATCTTTCGATACGGACGCAGTGAAAAGAGGGTTGTCGTGGTAGTAGAGTCCGTTCACGAAAAAGTCCTCCAATTGAGTCAACACCGGTATGTATGCCATAGCAGCTGATAAAAATGATATTGTTGATATCGTTAGAATCAGCTGTAATTTTGACTTGGCTGAGGATCTATCACGTTGAATTATATCTCCAACTGTCCAGATTCGGAACAGACTCAGACCTGTCATCGAAAAGAGTGAGATCTGAGTTGCAAATGTGCTCATAATTCCAAGTAGTGAGCACCATTGTGAGGACATCCAGATGTACTTAGATTCACAATATCTTCCGCCAAACTGTTGATCAACACAAGCTATGACCACCAAATATATTCCCATTATGAAGTCTCCCAAACTTATGAGAATGATAAAACATTTGTTCATCAGACCTCCAAACGTCTCTCTTGTTCTTGCTTCAAGTATAGAATGAACGATGTTGAAACCATTGAACAAGATAGCAAGAATTCCCACTGTCCACGACAAGCCTCTCAGAATATTGTTGCCGAATATGTACCTCTGTGTAGTGACGCAGTCATGGTTACACTCGTCGTAGAAATCTCTGCAATCAACCTGACCATCACATTTGGAGGTAAGCGGTATGTACTCTTTATATTCTGGGCAGTAAAAGTGATTAGTGCAGTTAACTTCATCACTTCCATCCCCACAATCATCAACTAGATTGCAAACTTCGTTGTATAGCACACAGTTCTTATTGTCACACGGGTAAATTTCATTGTGGTACTCCCTCAGTTTTCTCAGAGAAACTGTAAGATTGTTAGAGTCAGTAACTGTGAAGACTCTTTCATTCATCTTGTTGACACAAGTGTCAGGAGGAATTGTCCTCAAAGGACACGGTGTGGAGGATGCTAAGCAGGAGTTGGAACAAGCCAGATAAACATACATCTCACCGTATACGAACCTGCAGTCAAACTTGCTGTTCGGTAAATTTAACTTGCCGCCTTTTCTCACAAATTGTGCAGTGTCCCATGCGTTTGGAGATGGTACCCCTCTCAAGAAGCAGAAGGCTTGCAGAGCGTTGAAGATTCAGTAACCCCTTCAAACAATACGATACTACTTTTGTGTCCGCAGCCTTTTGTTCGATGAGAGTGTTCCAAGTTGTTTGAATGCCTCTAGAGACTCCACATAAATCGTTCTCTCCCCCACAGCTTTCAACTCTATCACACAGGTTCTTTACACTTATAAACCTCTCTTCTTGCTCTCTACATTTCTTCACATCCATGCAGCGACTTTCTTTTTCGATAAACAGTTTAATCGATCCGAACTCACACACATTCCAATAAGTATCGTCCTCATCTTTCCCGTCCATACAATCTATTTCATTATCATTCGCCCAGCTTAAAGGAAAGGGGTGGACGATTTTGTTGCCCTTTGCTTCCAATCTGGCTACTCTTCTTGTACAGTTGAAACTGGACATGTGAGAGCAGTATACTTCACTCTCATCAGAACCTCCTGGACAGTCTGCTATTCCATCACAGAGAAAGCTCTTGTGGACAGAACACCCTCCCTCTGGTTCTAGGCAATTGTTGTTATAGTCATCGTCACACAACGGGTAGTCTTTGCAGACAGCAAATTTTGAGATGTTAGTGGGAGATCCTGCCAATAAGCAAGACATAGCTATTTTATGAGGGTCTGAACAGTTTACTTGATCTTTACCATCTGAACAGAGTGCAGAACCACGGGGAACTGCACATATTTGGTTATCTTTCAAGTAACGAACATCACCGTGCCAACTGTCATGGCAAGTCTTATTTGATTGAGAACAATTTTTTTCGTCGCTTCTGTCAGTGCAATGTTCAATACCATCGCAAATATTTCCTGGGGCTGCGTAACTTCCACCGTCGTAGTAATGACCAAAATTAGAACCTTTGTCCTTCAATTCACATTCAATTCCATAGTGAAAACTATTACAATGAGCTTCATCGTCACAATCGTAACAGTCGCATTTGTTGTCACACGTCTTTGAGGCTGCTAGTTTCTTCCTAGTTCTTAAACTAGAGTTGTCCTTGCACTGATACTGATCTTCCTCATCAAACCGACAATCTAACTGCTCATCTACTTTAGTATTGAGGCAATCATATTTCCCATTGCAAGAAAATTCAGCCTCGTTCATTGTACCTGCTTGAGGTTGTTGGTAAGCTGATGAACGGTTTCTGATATCGCATACATACGTTGAACAGAAGAGTGTCGAATGCTCCAGTACTTGATATCCAGTACAATCACTGTGTCCACACGCTTGATAAAAATGTGTGTCCTTTGGACATGCTGAGTTAAATAACGTTATAACACATCTTAATGTACTGCCGACTGTATAGTAGTTATTAGTGAAGGGGCAGCGAAAACCAGGTAGTGTTGTCATATTTGCATGCCAATTTCAAGTATGGAGGATTACCTACTTCCTTCACCTGACAATCGGAGTAATCTGAGAAAGTTAAGTTTATGATTATGATCTAGAAAATGAGGTAAGGATATTATTCACAGAAATCTACGTTTTTCTACCTTCATTCACTAGCTGAAGTGGTTTATCAGATCTTAAGCATGTTAAGGGGTCGTTCACATTTTCACATAATAAAAATGATTGCATGATTACGCTAGTGTGGTTTATTTATAGAAGGGGGCGGGGGTACAAATTGCCCAAAATGTTATCACATAATATAACGACCCCTAATTAGTATGTATGTACTTTGAAAAAAAAATACATACAGTGCAATTTCTAATTCTATTTCTAGACCAGTTTAAATTTAAACTCTCAACAAATAAAAATGTCGACAGGAATGTATTAATGAATATTTAATATGTATGTTCTGGGGAGTATTACTATTCTGTTTTAGGATTTTCTGGTCTGGAATTAGATTTTCGTAGTTCTAATGAGATAATGTCTTATTACCTCTATTGTGGGGTTTGTACTGCAGTTCATCAATTACATCGCTTGAGAAGTCCGACGTGAAATAAATCCCGACAACATTTATCGAATGTAGACTTACACACTCCTGTTCGATCTTCGAGAAATTGTATCGGAACAATGTTATGCTATTCACATCTAGGTCTAGTGAAATGTTTGTCTTTCGTATTGACCAGATATTCTCAGTGCTGTTTGTTATAAAATCACCATCTATTGTGGTATTAGCATGCCCGTTCCTAGATGCACACAAATTCTCATTAAACACGAAAAGATAAATTTCAACATCAAGAGGTGTGAAATATAAGGACAAGGAAATTTCATTGCTTGGATCGATAAGCACATTAATGAAATCTCCATCCTTTATTTTCGAGACTGTCTTGAGGTGAAGAGGGTAGGATTCTAGATCGTGTGGTATCATTGTATCTATCTTTACATATTCCCATCCTGAAAGTATATTATAAAGTACGAGGACCCCAGTAAATGTATCACCATCACGGATCACCTCAATGAGTTAAAATTAAATTGTAACGATTATACAAATTGCTATAAGTATAAAATCTTACCATGATAATCATCTGCGACACTTTCCATGAACAAAACGACCATAACGGTAATGATCAAGATCCGTTTCCTTATCATTCCAGAATAGCTGTAAAGCTGTACTGTTAGAACCCCATCGTTATTCAGTCCAAGATAAACGGCACTCTCGATTTCTTTTTATTTATGGTAATGGCATCCTAGTAAAATAATAAAATATGTTAAGTAATCATTTTTCAATCATAATTTTCACATTTTAACAGTTTTGGTACCAAAACTGAATAGAAAGTTTTGACGGCAAAGCAAAATGTCAAACTTAAAAAATATTTACGATCGAGCAAATGATTTCGAAGTTTATTGGATAAGGAGAGTCAAGGCGGAGAAGATATCGGACACTGGTTTTGCGGATGACATTCCTCTGAATTCTGATAGCGGATACTATAATAATATAAAGGAGGCTGAGTCGCTGATGCAAGAGGTAGAAAGACCTAAAGAGTTGCTGCTACAGTGGGACTTAGAATGAATGAAGGGAAAGCCAAATCCATTACATTTACTCAGAACATGGAGCATCCTGATACCATCAAGTCCGTGGGTAACAGCACAATAGAGCATGTGGATGACTTCACTTACCTGGGTTCTAGAATCAGAGACAGTGAGAGTGATATCAGGGTTTGGAAAAGAAGAGCATGGGGAGCATGCCACACACTCAAAAAACTTTGGAATTCTAAGCTTAGGAAGTCTATCAAGATCAGAGTGTTTACAGCACTCGTCGAGTCGGTGCTTTTTTACGGTTCCGAGACTTGGACTATGACGAAAAGACTAGAGAAGATGGTTGATGGTTGCTATACGCGAATGTTAAGAATGGCCCTTAACATCAATCAATATCAAGACCATGTCAGCAACCACAGCCTGTACGGTGAACTTCTCAAAGTCGGCTCCGAGATAACCCAACGAAGGCTCAGACTTTCAGGTCATGCTCATCGACATCCGGAGCTGACACTGAACAAACTGATCCTCTGGAAGCCGAGTCATGGGCATACTAACAGGGGGCGACCTTACTTAACACTACTAGATAACCTAAAAGCAGATACTGGGCTGAAGTCAGTAGATGAGATAGCTAGACTGATGGAGGACAGAAAGCTGTGGAGAATTGTTGTCAATGGATCTCGGGAACACTACCCGCCTTAGGCTTAAGTCAAGTAAGTCAAGTATGAATATGATGAGTCAAGAAGTATCTAAATATGATACAGTGCAGTTGTTAATTGATCTATTCTTATAAAGATTAACACGTCGTGAGAATCCCTACTTCACAATAGGGTTACGCTTTCAGCTGGACGGGTAGAAATTAAAATATAACCTAGGCTAATTCATTCGTATCGAAGACACATTTTTGTTTTGCATTCTACACTGTCTTGAGATGAAGAGGGTAGGATTCTAGATCGTGTGGTATCAAACTGCTATCAAATCTTACCATGATAATCATCTGCGACACTTTCCATGAACAAAACGACCATATATAATAACGGTAATGATGAAGATCAGAATCCTTGTCATGTCTCCATAGATGTAAAGCTGTACTGTTGGGACTCCATCGTAAACGGCACATTTCTTTCATGGTAATGGCGTCCTAACAGAACAATTAAATATGTTGAGTATTCATTTTTCAATCAGATTTTTCACTTTTTAACAGTTTTGCTAAGTTTTGACGGCAAAGCAAAATTTCAAACTTAAACAATTTTTACGATCAAGCAAATGATTTCGAAGTTAGTTCACTGTCATGATCGTAAAGTGACATTTTTTCAGATGCACCCACTGTCTGACTATTTTATAACTGATGAGGATTGAGGAGTGGCAGTTGTTAATTGATATATTCTTCTAATGCTTAGCACGTCGTGAGAATCCCTACTCCGCAATAAGGGGTAAATAGGGGTAGGTGTTCAGCTGAACCTGTAGAAATTAAAACATTATATTTATACCTAGTTTGGCGGATAAAAAAACAAAATCACAGAAGAAAGTGCAGTACTCATAGCTAATTTGACCAAAATGCAAAAGTGACTGCACGTACGAATCACGTTGGAGAAACATTCGTATCGAAAACACATTCGTGCCGTGCACTTTATTATTATAGTACGCGCGCACGATCCAAAGGCGACTAGATAGTACTAGTACTAGTAGAATAGTATATTGTCATGATATGTAGTCAAACAACAAATAGCTAGTTATTTTAAAGACATAGAAGATGTAAATGGTAAAAGTTGCAGTTAGTTTTTAATTACCTGAGGACCCCAGGCTATTATGTTCATAAACATAAATAAAGATTCGGCGGAATGACAGGCTGAGCGCTTAATTGACGATGTCAATTCATGGCAGCTCGGCGCGGCACAGTAGCGCATTTCGCCGATCTAGCCAGTGTCGCTGTGAGAAGCCTTATTAAGTGCGCGGCGCGGCACAGTAACGCATCGCGCTACAAGCTGAGCGCCGCCCAGTAAGTTTTATAAAAAGCGTAAGTATTTGATTGGCAATGATCCTGGATTCTTAATAATAAAGTTGAATTAATAATAACTCAATTTTCTTGCTCGTGAAATTGCATTTAATACCTTTATGTGACAATTCCAGACCTGGGAAACAACTTTTTATAAATAATGTAAAGCTTCTTCGATCGTTCTCCAGTTATAAATATTTAAAAAACAACTGATATCTATCATTTGTTTTTTGGTAATTAACTACAAGTACTTACAAGTTGATTGTATATTTATAACTTTAACCTGCTAGTTTTTTAACTTTGATCTCGAAGAGCTTTAGAAACCAAAGCTTAAAGAACTACATACTTTGAGAAAGTGAAAGATCCGCGGTAGGACACTTAAGCCTAAGGCTAAGGAACACCTAAAAGCCTTAGGGTCTGTCCACACTACGCCATGCGGCGACGGGCCACATGGCGTGGGTCAAAAGGCCCAGTGTGTTTAGAGCTCCCGCCACTAGTCACCGGATTCACACAACGAGGCGCGTAGTGTGTTTAAAGCTCCCGCCAGTTGGCGTGGAAACTCTCGGAGAATATTAGAGGCACGGAATTTTAAAATCCTTGCTAAAAATCCGTGCCTTTATTCCCCTTGCTAAATCCACGCCAAGTGGCACAGTGTGTTTAGAGGACGGCCACTTGGCGGGAGCTCTAAACACAATGTGCCTTTTGACCCACGCCATGTGGCCCGTCGCCAAAAACCACTGTGCTCAACTTGGTTGTAGAGTGTGTTCTAGAAGTAAACCAAAGCCGCTCTCGCCTAGAGTATGATCCATGGCTTTTCTAATGGCCTTTGTTTTAATCCTTTGTTGGTGGGGATCTGGAGTTTGCTTGCCACAATAGAGCAGGAACACTCTTCACATGCAATGCCCATGAATAAAGCATCGTTATGCCATTGGTCTGAGTACCTGCTTTGACTCCTTTCATTATTTCACAGTAAGATAATCTCACACTGACGGGTCTTTACCATTCGCTGCGACATATTACAAGCTGTTATAGAAATCCAAGTTTCTTGGGGTTTAGTGTATGCTAGTCAAAGCTCTCGTCACGTAACACAAACGGCAGGGCGTACCGTATGGTAGAAATGAAACGAGTAAATTGATATGGAGAAATAATTAAATAGATAAGTAATACAAAGTGAACGTAACGGACAGTGCCTGGCTATTGCCCAAATGAGAGGTCAATATTTCCGGGACTACTCTGTCAATGACATATTCGACAACTAACATATCTCCACCATCGTCAACTTTGCAAACCACACTAAACGCTTAATGGTGCCAGAGGAGTTGGACCAGACCGGTGTAACATAGCGACTACTCAAACGTCGTCCTATTTCGCCTCTCTCTTCCACACTTAAGCGTTCGAATCTATGACACATCCCTCAACACTTACCATCATCCTTGATTACACATTTGACCAAAACCCATAATCATGGGTAGAGTGTACCGCTGCCAGTGTCTCTCTTTTCCAAACAAAAGGAAATGATATTAATGTGAGGAACAGTCCGCAAATGCAAATTGATACCGAGAATGAAATCGGTCGCTCGCTTTTTCAAATCAATAAGCTTTATTACAATTCGTGAGCCGTGATCGAATGGAAAAAGCGAGCGACCGATTTCATTCTCGGTATCAATTTGCATTAGCGGACTGTTCCTCAAATTAATATCATTTCCTTTTGTTTGGAAAAGAGAGACACTGGCAGCGGTACACTCTACCCATGATTATGGGTTTTGGTCAAATATCATCTCTTTTTGATTATAATGTCAGGATAATTTACACAGCTAGTCGAAACTTCATTAACAAGGAGGTAATTTCGACGATTTCGAAATTCTGTCTTTGAAAACGTTTCCTTGTGTTTAGTTAGGTATATCTGTCGATAACCGACTGAATATGGCACTTTTTACTCATTCAAGTTGGCATTAAATTCATATATAATGCCATTTAAATATTGTGGAAAGCAGAATATATTCGAAATCACGAATGAGCAAAATTCTCACCTTTCGCACGTGCAAACTTTGAGCGGACGTTGCGTGCGCATACAATATTGAATCACCGTAAATTTTTGCATAGTGGTATTTAATATATAGTTTGATAAGCATGCAAAGTTTCAGAAGATTTCAAAAAGAACTTGGATCACAACGGGACTCCAAAGTTGATAAAAATCGTGAAAATCAAAATTTTTAGTGATTTTAGCTATTTTAAATCAATTTGGGCGTGTCCCCACGTGTGCAACTTTTCGATTTTTAACTTTAAAACTAGCCTATAACACAATTTACACCTTTAAGAAGCAAAATTGAGCTCCACAACCCAAGGGATAGCCCAACACCAGAGAATACTAATTCACAACTTTTGTGTTTTTATAAAATTATTCTTCAAAAAAGCACTAACTTCAATAGCAAATATCTTTATGAAGGAGTAAGGTAGGAAACTTTTCCGGTAGACTTTTAGAATGCTTGAACAATTATCTAAGGTAAAAATGTCCTCAGATTTTGAATAAAATTACTCTTTAATGGTGTAAAATCGATTTGAAAAGTTGTTGTTTTGTCAAAAATCAAGTTTTAAAAACACTTAAATTGATGACGTCATCAAGTGATGATGATGATGATAAATTATTTTTCAATATAAAGTAAAGTAAAGTATAAACGATTATCTTTAAAACCTGTGGTTCGAAATGACTGTATCTTTTATACTTTTGAATCTACGGACACTTAAATGTAGGCTACAATTGACTGCAAAAAGCGTCTATACATATTATTATTATATATCTTCACGACAATCTGTTGTAAAACAGGGGTTCCAGAAAACCCACTTCCCGATACTCCTGAAACATGAAATTTTTTTTACTGTCGACTTGGGCAAGGTCTAGACGCCCTGCAAAGTTTCAGATCTCTAACTCAATTTTAACATGGTTTTTAAGGCACCTGAATATGGCGATTTTGGGTTTTTTACCTAATTTCGTATAACATGCTGGCGCGTATTTTGCGCAAATTTCTTAAAAACCTCCATATAACTATTTCTTATTCCTGTCATCTTTAACATTGAATTAGAATGTTTTGAACTTAAATGTACCTGCTGAACTACTTTCGAAAAAGTCTTAATGCATGGAAAACAATAAAGGGGATATAATAGTATAGGGGGTAAATAGTATTGTGAATATAAGGGCGACGGTAATGCTTGCCAGCATTGTGATCTTGATTCCACCGGCATCCTCCCAGAGGACTGCCATACCCCAGAGGTAGGCAAAGAATTCGAATCCCTTAAAACGATTAAGGGGCAACAATGAAGTGAGCTCTCCACTTCCGGCACTCTGGGTATACTCTCAAAACTTGTCACGCCAAACTGCGTGACGGCACAACGCATTTGCTTGCACCACGTGACACGCCGTCTCGCCAATGAGCACTCCATGCTTCCATGCTAGCAGTCACCCTGCGGTCGCAAAAACCAACCACAGGTCTGGCTGTCACAGGAATTAAACAAGAATTAAACAGGATAATATACGGATACCTTGTCGAGTTGTCGGACCTTATTTGGACGGACATTAAATGAACAGACATAATTATGAACGGACATTAATATGAACACTAGATCAGAAGGCATTCAAAACCATCAAAAATCCGAATTTTTTGATATCTTTGGATATCAGTAAGCAATCATAATTTAAGGAATCGAGTAGTTCACTTATATAGTCAAGTTTTAAAATATTCAATAATCTCCCCAGTAGACAATAATCTCTTTGCTGTATAACTATAGCTGCGGTGTAATCTGCCCAGGCACATTCAACACAAGGTTTATGGTACAGATGGTTTTGAAACTGGTTTACAAAAGAACTGGTCTTTGTTAGCTTCTGGTGCATGATTAATGAGGACCGCGTATCCAAATTTATGCGTTTACATTCCTCGTTTTGGTATAAAATTAAAATCCTAAACTACGTGTCTTGCTGTGATACTGATAGTCTGCTAAGCGCTATACAATAGCTCATGAAAATTCAAAAGCACGAACAGCTGTGTCTTGACTCTATAGGTACTATATAAAAATGTAAATTCTACTGTACTTAAAATATTGGTCGCCGCGCCGCTTATATAGCTAATAGCCTCCCTCTCCACCGAATCTTCAAACATTTAACCGAGCTTGGAAAATCACAGTAATCAGTTCCTGTGGTAACGCATCGTCAAAATTAGAAGGACACCAAAATCCATTATATAATTTGACCAAAACCCATAATCATGGGTAGAGTGAACCGCTGCCAGTGTCTCTCTTTTCCACACAAAAGGAAATGATATTAATTTGAGGAACCGTCCGCAAATGCAAATTGATACCGAGAATGAAATCGGTCGCTCGCTTTTCCCATTCAATAAGCTTTATTACAATTCCTAAGCCGTGAATGAATGGGAAAAGCGAGCGACCGATTTCATTCTCGGTATCAATTTGCATTTGCGGACGGTTCCTCAAATTAATATCATTTCCTTTTGTTTGGAAAAGAGAGACACTGGCAGCGGTTCACTCTACCCATGATTATGGGTTTTGGTCAAATATCGTCTCTTTTTGATTATAATGTCAGGATAATTTACACAGTCAAAACTTCATTAATAAGGAGGTAATTTCAACGATTTCGAAATTTTACCTTTGAAAACATTTCCTTGTGTTCAGGTAGGTATATCTGTCGATAACTGACTGAATATGGCACTTTTTACTCATTCAAGTTGGCATTTAATTCATATATAATGCCATTTAAATATCGTGGGAAAGCAGAATATATTCGAAATCACGAATGAGCAAAATTCTCACCTTTCGCACGTGCAAACTTTGAGCGGTCATTGCGTGCGCATACAATATTGAATCACCGTAAATTTTTGCATAGTGTTATTTGATATATAATTAGATAAGCATGCAAAGTTTCAGAAGATTTCAAAAAGAACTTGGATCACAGCGGGACTCCAAAGTTGATAAAAATCGTGAAAATAACAATTTTTAGTGATATAAGCTATTTTAAATCAATTTGGGCGTGTCCCCACGTGTGCAACTTTTCGATTTTCAACTTTAAAACTAGCCTATAACACAATTTAGAGCTATAAGAAGCAAAATTGAGCTCCACAACCCAAGGGATGGTCCAACACCAGAGAATACTAATTCACAACTTTTGTGTTTTTATAAAATTATTCTTCAAAAAACCACTAACTTCAATAGCGAATATCTTTATGAAGGAGTAAGGTAGGAAACTTTTCCGGTAGATTTTCAGAATGCTTGAACAATTATTTAAGGTAAAAATGTCCTCAGATTTTGAATAAAATTACTTTTTAATGGTGTAAAATCGATTTGAAAAGTTGTTATTTTGTCAAAAATCAAGTTTAAAAAACACTTAACTTGATGACGTCATCAAGTGATGATGATGACGTTAAATTATTTTTCAATATAATGGAAACTGGAGTGTAAACGATTATCTTCAAGACCTGTGGTTCGAAATGACTGTATCTTTTATACTTTTGAATCTACGGACACTTGAATCTAGGCTACAATTGACTGCCAATTGACTGCCAAAGCGTCTATACATAGATAGATATACCTTATCGGACCTTATTTGGACGGACATTACATGAACGGACATAATTATGAACGGACATTAATACGAACGTTCGAAGGCATTCAAAACCATCAAAAATCCGAATTTTTTTCAATTTTTTGACGTTTTTTTAATTTCAGCAAATGATTTTTAAATCCATTTTTATACAGTAAGTAAGAAAAGCAGTCATTAAGCAGTAAAAATGTTAAAATATGTGTATATGATCAATTTCTAATATCACATATCCTCTTCATCAAATGGGTTTTCGTGCATGAAATAGTCCATGCTTAAAGCATCAGTGATTTCTAGCTTTATGGAAACCTTTTTTATCAAACTACCCCGGTCCTGTATTTCAGTGTTAACTTTTACCAGCCATTCGGCGTGAAGTGGTTGAAAAATTTCAACGGACTTTAACTTGGACGGACACTAATTGAACGGACTTTATTTGAACGGACATTAAGATGAACGCTAGGGCCTCCAGCGTTCAAGTAATGTCCGTCCAAATAAGGTCCGATAAGGTACTTCAGTCTTCACGACAATCTGTTGTAAAACAGGGGTTCCAGAAAACCCACTTCCCGATACTCCTGAAACATGAAATTTTTTTACAGTCGATTTGGACAAGGTCTAGACGCCCTGCAACGTTTCAGATCTCTGACTCAATTTTAACATGGTTTTTAAGGCACCTGAATATGGCGATTTTGGGTTTTTTACCTAATTTCGTATAACATGCTGGCGCGTATTTTGCGCAAATTTCTTAAAAACCTCCACATAACTATTTCTTATTCCTGTCATCTTTAACATTGAATTAGAATGTTTTGAACTTAAATATGCCTGCTGAACTACTTTCGATGAGTCTTAATGCCTGGAAAACAATAAAGGGGATATAATAGTATAGGGGTTAAATTGTGTTGTGAATATAAGGGCAACGGTTATGCTTGCCAGCATTGTGATTGCAGAGATTGAAAATCATTTTGTGGTCTTGGAGTAAGAATGTTACAACTTACCGACTTATATAATATTCGCGTGTGCTGCAGTAAGGCAGTACACATACCATGCTGACTGCTCAATGAAAACCGATGTTCAAAATTATGATTATGATCAGTTAAAACTAAATACTATTAGTTGGGACGCCTCTGCAGTTGCCTAGGTCTCAGTCTCACAAGTTTAAAGTTTTAAATCAAACTTAAACTATATGAATTATGCGAATCGCGAATCACACATTCACAGTTCACACTAATACTCTAATAGTATCTATACCTATAAGTTTCAAGTTACAACCATTACATCGGCGATTGCCCGATCGGCCTAATAATAATATGGAATTGGAAATGCCAGGCTAAAAACGGCTACTCAATCCTGAACGCAATTCTTGACCATTGCAATCCGCGCCTGATTTCGCCGTTTCCATGATAACGCGCTTTGTTGCACGTGCAGGTTATGCTCGCGCGGATAGCGCGACGTTAACTTTATCAAGGTAATTCTAATGATTTTACAGCAGTTTTGTGGACCATCTTTTACGATTTTAGCAGCTTTTCAAGAGATATTCTGATATCAAACAACGATCATACTCCAACTGCAGCAGATCACAATCACCTCTTTACGGCAGGTAAGATTAAAATATATTCCTTACATGGTGTCTTGGCAACGGAATTGTGTTGTGGGCATATTATGCTGAATACCGAGGCTTTAGGCTTATGATCACTTTAGTTTAATGTTTTAATTTCTGTATTAAAGTCCAGTGTTTGTTTGTGCTGATCCTTGTGTATATAATGATGGGACTCGAGTCCCACAAGTCTGTGTCTTGAAATCTCGCAATGAAGTCTTGCTGAATGCTTCAGTCTTTCGGTGCCTTCAATCGAGACGAAAGTACTAAGGTTATTTCGTGGAACTAAGCAACCTTTATGACGCAAATACGGATCATATTTCCACACTGGGCCAGGATATTAGATTTTCTGCTGAGAAACTTGATTATAAAGTTGCAATCGGCATGGTAATACACTTCACACACTTAAACCTTGTGATCCACTTTAATAGCCATATAATAACGCTAGTAATGTGGTCAAAACCAGGATCCAATCCCCGGATTGTTTTTGCTGTAGTGCATGATGGGAGTCCTCTGAAACCGTATGGAAGTTCATCAGCTCCAATGAATGCTTGTGATAGCTAAGTTGTACTGTACAAGTTATACATGCAGTGATGTGCCTTTATCTTACTACTGCTCTACTGGTTGCTTGTTCAATATAAGCTGCTATTTGTACTTGGCTGAGTGATCGATCGTATTTTCAGCACATTTAATATGCTGACTATTGTCGCAAGTTAATTTCCATTGCTTCTGTTTATATTGGATTTCTAAGAACTGTGTCTAAGAACTGATGAAATAATGCGGCTTCAATGTCTATACAGAACTTTTAGGACGGCACTATGAAAATTTAAGTTGGTGCAGATGGTATTGGTAGATTAAGCATTGATAAAGTTGGATTATCTTTTGTGGCATCGAATTCTGTCGATTATGAAACAATAGCTTGTTCTAATTTTATAAATACTTAAATAAGCTTATCTTTACCGAAGAAATGCATATTTCAATTCTTTTTATAATATTCGTCTATCATCACTGTCTAGAACGGGTTGAATGCGATAAAAGTGAAACCAGAAACATGTCGGCGTTACTGAGCGACCAAGTAGTGTTGGGGGAGCCGAGGAACGAAATGAACCCTCTTCTGGTAAAACCACCTCTGGGAAGGCCCCTAACTCGCTGCTACACCGCACCCTACAACGCAAACGGGGTAAGCACTAAACACAGACATATTTGGTGTAAAACTGTGTGGAATCAGTGTCCAAAATCAGGGAAAATTTTTTGATTCTCGTGGCCTGCAAAAAAGGAATAATATCTGATTGAATTAAAATTGTTACCATGCCATAATTTTACTGAACCATAATCTGATTTAATTTTGACAATGCAAAGTAAAGATTATTGAAATTTCAGACGTTTGGACAATGCTACAACTTTATCGACGGTGGTGTTCCAGCAGCACTGAACCATTTCAACATTGCTGTTGTAAAACCTTACAATAAAAACGGATTTGTGGTGAGACACATAATGTTCGGGCTTTGATCAAACTGATTCTGATGAAATTCATTATTTATTACTAAGTGCCTGCTCTAACTTCGAGTTAGAGCCAGTGCTTTATCGCCAACATAAAATTTAGTGGCTTTCATTACCAAAGACAAATCGGTCTCCGAGCACAAATGTGGGTATCACAGATCTTAGAACTTGAACTGTTTATCGTTGCGTATTGTTACAGTTAAGTTTAGGAACTTCAAAGATTTTTACTTAATTCATGGCTGTGTAACAGCCGGCTGTAACAATAATATTGAGGGTTTTTTCAGAAAGATTTTATTACACTCAACAAACAGGCCGCCACTGCTGGTTTAGTTAAAGCCGAAGAACAACAGGCCTACCGGGCTTCTCATCAAGTTTTGAAAGCCAAGTACGTTTATCATCGTTCGTCCTATTTCGGTTATGATTTTGATTCGACAGTTCAAATTTTGAAACTTACAACTATAATACTGTACTTATTTGTTTTCTGCAGTAGAGCGGTGAGCACGTGTGGTGGCTATCACACGATAGACCAGAGGATCATTACATATGATGTGCACAGCTTTTCATATTTTATCATAAAGCATCAGTGTTCTAGTCTCATTGTTAGACACTGGACAGGTGTTTTATTCACGATCATATTCAACATCGTGGGGGGCCTTAGGTACTATGTCGATCATTCAATTTAGCTTTGCTGCGATTTCTTCTCATGAATGTCATGACACACGCAAATGCAGTAAAGTTATTTTAGCATGGAAGTAAGAGCGTTATCATTTACTTTCTTGACTCAACCAATCACAGGGCTGCTAAGACAATGGTATTAACGTATCCCAAGAAAATGTCTCCAGACTTCATGACCTTTGGCGTCCCAACTAGACCCTCCACTCCAGTCTACGACTTGTTGGAGAACAGTTACCAAGAGAGATGGATCAGAGGGATGAGGGACGCCGAGCATGCACAGAGGGAACAGGATAAGCAAGCTAAGCGGAGCAACAACATCCAGGACACCAGGACATCACTGATGAGGAAGAAAGTTGTCAAGGTGGAGGACTCCAAACTCTGGCACATGACCAGATGGGGAAAAGTCAAGCCTTTTCTCAACACTTTTCCGAGTGAGAAGGCGAAAGTCAAAGCCATGAGTAGACATTATCAGCAGAAAACGGCTTGAGAATGAGACTTTTCAATGTTTTGACTCGAAGAAAACGAGTAGATTTAGCCCGACAATCGCGGTTTAAAACAATGATGTGATCATTTTTAAAGATTTTAGTTTGTCATTGAGCTGGCTTCCATTTATTGACACATTGATAATTCAATACTTGAGCATTATGATGCATTTAGATTTTATCGTAAGCATGTATTATTGTAAATTTCACATTTATTAAAGTTGACCATTTTACAAATAAAATACTTGATTCTGCCCCTCAACTTCATGAATTTTCGCACGATTTGTAAATATCTATCAAGCAGATTTTTAAATTCACTAAAGAGTATGCGGTCTTCCACAGTGCCATTAACGTCTTAATATTTTCTTTACGAACTAACTTGTTTCTTCTCTGATAGCATGTATAACTAGCTCAGCCTCACGAAGTCTTGACGAGGGTACAACTAGATTAAGATAAGCTACTGGAATCTTTCACAGCAGAACCTTAGAAAAAGACGCCTAACCTCTCGTAGTAACCGACAGGACCACTGCAGAGATGATATCAAACGACTACCCTCGACTGGTAACCACTAACACCTGGTCATACCCCAAACCTTGCCATAAACCAGGGTAACTTAAGCTACTTTCTTTATCTTTGCCATAATATCTCGACGTCATATGTTTACAGCTTTTGTTTTCGGGAACTTGATCAGGTACCGAGGCTACAACCTCATAATAAACCCTAGAACTTGATCAGGTACCAGGGCTACAACCCCATAATAAACCCTAGAATTGATCAGGTACCAGGGTTACAACCTCATAATAAACTCTAGAACTTGATCAGGTATCAGGGCTACAACCCCATAATAAACCCTAGAACTTGATCAGGTACCAGGGCTACAACCCCATAATAAACCCTAGAACTTAATCAGTTACCGGGGCTACAACCCCATAATAAACCCTAGAACTTGATCAGGTACCAGGGCTACAACCCCATAATAAACCCTAGAATTGATCAGGTACCAGGGTTACAACCTCATAATAAACTCTAGAACTTGATCAGGTATCAGGGCTACAACCTCATAATAAACCCTAGAATTGATCAAGTACCTAGGCTACAACCCCATAATAAACCCTAGAATTGATCAGGTACCAAGGCTACAACCCCATAATAATCTCTAGAACTTGATCAGGTACCAGGGCTACAACCCCATAATAAACTCTAGAACTTGATCAGGTATCAGGGCTACCACCCCATAATAAACCCTAGAACTTGATCAGGTACCAGGGCTACAACCCCATAATAAACCCTAGAACTTAATCAGGTACCAGGGCTACCACCCCATAATAAACCCTAGAACTTGATCAGGTACCAGGGCTACAACCCCATAATAAACCCTAGAACTTGATCAAGTACCTAGGCTACAACCCCATAATAAACCCTAGAATTGATCAGGTACCAGGGCTACAACCCCATAATAATCTCTAGAACTTGATCAGGTACCAGGGCTACAACCCCATAATAAACCCTAGAACTTAATCAGGTACCAGGGCTACAACCTCATAATAAACTCTAGAACTTGATCAGGTACCAGGGCTACAACCCCATAATAATCTCTAGAACTTGATCAGGTACCAGGGCTACAACCTCATAATAAACCCTAGATCTTGATCAGGTACCAGGGCTACAACCCCAAAATAAACCCTAGAACTTGATCAGGTACCAGGGCTACCACCCCATAATAAACCCTAGATCTTGATCAGGTACCAGGGCTACATCCCCATAATAAACCCTAGAACTTGATCAGGTACCAGGGCTACCACCCCATAATAAACCCTAGAACTTGATCAGGTACCAGGGCTACAACCCCATAATAAACCCTAGAACTTAATCAGGTACCAGGGCTACCACCCCATAATAAACCCTAGAACTTGATCAGGTACCAGGGCTACAACCCCATAATAAACCCTAGAACTTAATCAGTTACCAGGGCTACAATCCCATAAAAACCCTAGAAATTGATCAGGTACCAGGGCTACAACCCCATAATAAACTCTAGAACTTGATCAGGTACCAGGGCTACTACATCCCCATAATAAACCCTAGAACTTGATCAGGTACCAGGGCTACCACCCCATAATAAACCCTAGAACTTGATCAGGTACCAGGGCTACAACCCCATAATAAACTCTAGAACTTGATCAGGTACCAGGGCTACTGCAACCCGGCATAATAAACTCTAGAACTTGATCAGGTACCAGGGCTACATCCCCACTCTAAACCACATGTACGGTGAAACATTTGGCAATGCTACTGAGAAGTATTTCTTGGACCAGCGGAGCAAAACACTAAACAGTTCTACATATCCTGCCAAAAGGGTGAGTAGGGGTGAATACCTTTTTTAACTGAAACAGGATGTTGAAATAGGTCTAACAGAATGACTATTTAATCGCTTAGGTAGATTTAGATTGTAGATCATACCTACCAAATAGCTCAAACAAATCTTAATCTATCAGATAATTATTTCACCCCTGTCCCTCAGGGAGGGACACCGATAACGGAGTTCCCTAAGATCTACACAGACCCGAGGCTGGTGATAGGAACCAGAGACAGGACCAGGGAGAGGTGGAGATCTCCACCCAACTACAGGATGATCAACTACTCTTCAGACCTTACTAACCGCAACCAGGACATTCAGAAAATGAACGAAGTTAGTGATTACCTAGTCAATATTTGTTAATGATAAGTTTTTTGTGGACTGATCCATCTACCACTATCGAATCATGCTTATTTAAACGGGATTTTGTGGAGAACGAACTACGAAGCGTGCATAAATATATATATATTCATGCATGATTTTAATTGTGTACATTTAAAACTAGGACCATATGCAAATTGAAACCGTTAAAATAATTATATCTCACAGGACTTGATACAGAAGCAGAGAGAGGTGTACAAAGATAAAACAGGGTGCAATTCCCGGATACAGTTCTTTGTGCTGCCGAACCCTACAGACTGTGAAAGGTTCAGAAAAGTGGAGCAATACAAGTACAAGAAAAACAACATGTGAGTCGTAGTCTGCAACTTTGCACACTTGTCACGCATTGATTCAGATAACATTGAATAATAACCAATGAACATGGAGAGTCGTCTAATTCTACGATAAACACAGGATATCAGTTTTCAGAATGTTTAAGCTGAAAACTTAACGTTTTGCGTTTTAGGGATAACGAAGCCACGACGAATGCCGTACGTTTTGCAATGAACGGCAGAAACATAGCGAGCTCGTTTGACGATAAGAGAAGCGACGTAAGAACTAGAATGATGAGGGACATTCACTTTGAGAGACGTTAATTATGGAGCCATGTGACAGTATAGAAGTATAAAGACATGGTGTTGGGACAAGACGTCTGGACAATACCATTTCAAGTGCAGCAAGACTGCTAGGGATTACCCTCACCCTGGACAATGCTGGTGCATAATGTCAATTTAGATTTAGATTCATTTTTAATTATGATTTGCTTGTCGGGAAAATATGCTTTATTTTCGAAAATAAGTGTATGAATCGATTTTATGTCAATGAAGATTAATCGTTATGTCAAATTTCACTCTATACGGCAGCAGGATAATTTTTGTATCACAATTCAAATCAATTGCTGATCAATTTTTGATATTTCGACCAACATTATCATAATTATGGGACTGTTTTTTTTCGATAAATTTTGATGTAAAATAACTAAAGTTTGATTTATTTTTCTCACTAAAATTATAATAATCACCACTGTGTGTTTCCCTTCGTGTCCAAAAGCATTATAATAATCTAAATCACCTATATTATAATTCGAAAGTTTCTTCTTTTTGTCTGACCGCCCACTTACAAATTAAATGAGAAATCGCCTAAGTGCATAGTAACGCAGTTGGAAACGCGCACACACAAAGATTGTTGGAACGTCAATTTGATCAGTTTTTTGTCTGCATATTACGTTGTCATGTATAATGTTTTACATTTTAAACGGCTGTATCATCGGTTATGATTTTTTGATGCGATCACAAAAGTTGACATCAAAAACACAAAAAAGTACTATTATCTTCCTCCCTGTGACCACTGACCCCGCGCCGGCCTTACCTGGGGACCCCGCGGACCCCAGGCTATTATATTGTATATTCATGTTCATAATCATGGATAGAGATTTGGTGGAATGACAGGCTGAGCGCCGCCCAGTAAACCCCGGCCTTTCATTAATAATATAATATAAAACATTTAATGACAGCTGAAACCGTCCTCAGACCTCAATGGGTGCTGATAGAAATTTTGACCTACAAGTGGTATTTTGATTTCTCTCTGATAAACTATAAAAGCAAACGAACTGTTAAATTAAGTGAAACAGTGAAAATAGCATTACTATTAGCTGTAGAACTAGAAGTATGGAATGGGACAGCCTAGTGCTCACGAGATTTACCGAATTGCTGTTGTTAGCTATGTTATTCCATTTCCTTGTAGCGCGAGCGCTTATTGTTTACCCATTGTTTTATGAAGGATTATGTGATTAAGCTTAATAGGGGGAAGCCTAGAATCCTTGCTTGCGCGAACAGGAATTTATCAAGGTGTATGGCATCGCAACTAGGTAATTTTCTTGTAAGAGGGCAATTATGTAACTGAATGTTGGACTCAAAGCTGTAAAATTAGGTTATGATTATTATGTTCTGCAAGATATAAGCGACAACCATTTTCATCGACGAAGAGCAGCCCAGAAGGTTTAAGGTAGCGTACTATCAGTATAATTTCACCAATTATAGGGTTTGTCAGTGAACAATGCTTTATCAATTATTTGGTGGACGTCGTCCCTTCGCTGACCATCTGGAAGGGTTGGCATTGTCAACCAATCAATTATTATCCATGATGCTCCCCTTAAACGATAATATTGTCTCTAACAGGATATTGCTTGATTTAGGCGTGTTCAGAGAGGTCTTACCAGTTTACCAGTACTTAGGGGTGCTTGTGAATTGGTAATTTAACGACATATAAACAGACACTTTAAGTTTATGCACAGTGCGCACTTAATAAAACAAATATTTAATAAAACAAATATTTATTTTTACGGCACAATCAAACAATATCATTATCAATAATAAATAAATCAGGGGAGGTTTGAGAGGTTTCAAGTGCCGAAGGCCACTGCTTATCTTTAGGATTTGAGAGTGACCTGTGCTTAAAACCCCCTCAACCATCCACTACGTCAATATACTTATTATACAAATATAGAAAAATATAATTATTTAAGCTAAAATTGCTTATTGGTCTAGTTTGGTGACATAGGAGAGCCCAGTTGAGTTTTAGTTTAGGTTTATGTTTTAAATCATAGTTTGAAAGGTTAGCCATGTTTCATGGCAGAGAGAGATATCATGTGTGCAGAGCCGTACCGGATGTAGAATTTGAGATATAATATAGATTAGTTACCATATATTAGGGTCACCTCGATTTTGGAGGGATAGCAAGTGCTTTTTAAGGTTAGATTTAATAATACCTGACGAGGCTGATAAGTCTGAATTTTTGGAAGAACCCGGGATTATTATCCCACCTTAATAACGCACGGATAACACACGGGTAAACTAGTATAACATACAGTATAAACTCAGAGTTTTCCTCAATAATCATTGGACTTATATTACATGGTTGAATGAGGAAGGGTCATTTTGTATCATATTGATATGATATCTAGATTTGTTCAGTGTTCGTCTCAAGGCTGCTCACAAAATATCTTGACGAAGAAATACCAACAGGTGAACAGCAGAATGTGTTCCACTCCAATACCACCACTGTTTCACTAAGTTATATTGAACCTATTGAACCTATTGATAGGTTTAGAAGTAGGCATCTTCACGGCCATCACGCAATCTGCGGACCACCTCCTTGACTGCACCAGTCTATTATCGAGTTAGAGTTTTCTGCACTGTATCCAGGAGTAGGGGGCTTGTCTGGAAGGGTGTCTAGGAAGTTTCCAAGACATGTCTTGAAGCTTGTCAAAGTCCTTTGAGTATTGACAATTTTGGGGAGAACAGTTATATAATGGACCACTTTTGTGGAGTTGGATTAATTAATCAGCAGTATGACATTAATGATTCACGCAGATTAATTAACCTCGTGTTTAGTCATCAGATTAATTAATTAACGCCGTATAAATACTAGGTAGCTGCCTCGACCAGGTGTCATTAATCTTACTATTGCCTGGAAATTTGTTATTTTAATAACATGAGCTCACGAAATATATAGCTGCTTCGTAATCTAATAAAGCCAACACTATACATTTGGTCAGTTCATACAGTTACATCTTCAAATATCGTGGTGTTGAACGAAATAATTTTCTCCTCATGCGCACCACATTTGTATAATTCAAGCTAATTTTAGTTCGCCTATTTTTGAAACTTATTGCAAACGTCCCGAAAGTGGGTGATTTAAACTTTTTTATGCACATTGCACACTCTTTTGCTAATTTCATCACGTTTTGCAAGTTTGCTGGTTAGTCTACAAAAACTGACTTGACTTGCTTTATAGCCTAGCGCCAAATACCAGCGCCATGAACTAAAATCCCGCTACTTGGAATGTAATCGAGAAAGGTAGCTTGACGACGTGCAGAACAACTGGTGTGATAAAAAAGCTCCAGTACTCAACACCCGACCCGACCACGTTGTCAGTAGTACGTGCTGAGTGCTCCTATAATGCTGTGTTTGTTGGTATGTTTGCTGACCTCTGTTTTCTGGGGAACAGGGCACTGCACCCGCCTCCAACCAACAGACTATGTGATAACCTTGAACAGCACTGATAACGCTACCGTTTACTGCTTCTCAGACTTCCTCGCCAAACTCAAGTTGGAGACTTTGGAGTGCGCCGAGTGCAAGAGACGCGTTAGAGAAAACTCTAACTGCACTCGAACAAGTGTAGGAGTGAACAGACCAGCTGAGTGCCGGTGTAAAGACGAGTGCAGCGAGAGGGAGAGGAAGTGTCAGAGGAGTGCAGCAGAGCACTCCACCTGCCTCACCAAGGTGGCATCCAGGGAGACAGCCAGGGGCCTCATTTGTACAGGTCTGTTAGCAGAAGGAGGAAACCTGACTATTCACATTCAGATAGTCCGTCACCAGGGTGGTGACCTGTGTTACGGGACACAATCAGGGACACCTCTCAACCAAACACATTTACTGAGGAGGGGAGCAATGTATCAAGACACGAGAACTAACACAAGTTACTGGAAACCAGAAGTAAAGGAGAGCCTCACCCGGGTCAGTTACAAGAGTCCTGTTCTGTGCATCAACTCCAGTGATGTAGACAGTCTAAACGCAGGGCACTTGTTAGGAGTGGGCTACACACTCGCCAGAAATAAAACAGAGGGTAGTGGTAATCACCAGGAAGAACACAAGGAGGATAAACCTGATTTTGAACGATTCTGTAGAGTTGACAGACCCCAGCTCTGGAAGCGAAAAGACGGTTTTATCCTGGGAACTGTTTACCAGTGTAACGGGAGTTACCACATGCTGGAAGACGGGTTCCCCTGTCTCCAGTTCCCACCCACCCCGGGGTTCAAACTACCCAGCCTGGAGAACTGCAGTTCCGGGCAGATGGTGGGGATCGTGGTGGCCATGATAGTGGCCATGGTTCTGTGTTACACCGTCCTCATCGCGTGTGTAAAGCTCTGGGTGTATGTGTGTAAGTGCGCGACCGTGGAGAAGGAGGATATCCCCCTGGCTCTGGCGGACAGCTCCACTAATAGTAGGACAACTCTGACTGGAAGTGCGAATATGGTAAAACAGGAATCTAGAGACTCGGTGCTGTCGGGAGTGACCCTGCCACCGCCTCCCACCATGCCACAGCAGCAGCCCACATTATCAGAGGGAAATGAGATTTTGAAACCCGGTATTGTTACAGTTACACGCTCAGTTTAGCAATTGGAGAAAATTTGTATGCAATATCTTATCTGCATAGATGATGTTATTAAAACCGAATCTTTTTGTAAATGACGAAGGCAGATCTAGGTGTGATTTTCTATAATTTTGTGGAGATTCATAAAAGCTAATAGCCGAACTATATCATTTGAAACCATCTATGTTGTATCACAATTTCATGCTGATGCGGCCTATTTTGCATTTTGAAAATCCTGATGTTAACTTACAAGAGCTGTCAGCTTTTTCAAAATTCTATTAATTGGAGCATATTTATTTCAATTTATTTTTGGATTAATTGCAAATTTCAATTTTCACAGCGTTAAAAATAATTTTTATATTTAGAGTGTCAGATTCATGGGGTGTTCACCAGTACAAACTAATCTAGAGAAAATTATATCTAATTGGTAAAGTAATTTTTATAATTTTTACAAATTACCGAATCGCATTTTGTCCTTAGTTTACCAACAGTAGGTTTTGTAACATTTAAAGTGCATGTCACTCACCCCAACGAGGCCTAGCCTTAGGTCAGAATGAAAGACGTATATATTGACTGCGTATGATCGATAAGATAGAAGATTACAAAACTATTATAACTTGCACAAATAAATTGTATGAGATGACTGTAATTATAGTGTATGTATAATTACATACTAATTATAGTGTATGTATAATTACTATATGTGTATGCATAATTACTATATGTGTATGCATAATTACATACTAATTATAGTGTATGTATAATTATAGTGTATGTATAATTACATAATTACAGCATAATATGTCACCTCATATCACCTTTTAAGTTTATAACATTGATCCTGTAGTCCAAGTCCCACTAGATACATTGTGATTGCCTACCTACTTTAAGGGGGGGGGGGGGGGGGGGGGGGGTTCACCCTGATTTTTTTGTGAAACTTGGTTTCGAGATAGCAGTTGACCAACAAACTAGGACCGGTGACCGAACTTTTGAGGGGGTCCCGGACCCCAACCACCTAACTGCATATTTGGTCCAAATTAGGCCCAATTTAGCCAAATACCCTGAACATGCCCAAAACCCAGATTTTAGGTGCTCTACATGTAGCTAGTGATCCCTTGAACTCGTATATGAAATTTCATCACGATTGGATAAAAAATGACTGAGTTATGAACCAAAAACCATATGATCATATTTGGGCATACGCACCTAATTTGATCGAACACCGAATCCACAGTTAGGTAGATATTGAGCTGAAAATCATAGAGAGTGTGTAGTTTAGGCTTACCATTCATATAAAGTTGGTTTCATTCACAAATATTGATATTTGACCAATTTATGGGCCAAATTCGATCAAATTAGGTGCGTATGCCCAAATATGGTCATATGGTTTTTGGCTCATAACTCAGTCATTTTTTGTTCAATCTTGATTATTGAGGCTTTGAACAATAATAACCTGAAGAGTGATGATAATGAAAATTTGATTTATTGAAAATTTGGATTTGAAGTGGCTCGAAATGAAAGAACCTCAAAAGGGCCATATAAAAATACAAAACTCGTGCTACTGTTGAAAAATAAAACAGCGGATGAACCTGAACACCGACATTTTATATAAGGAAGGGCATAATAAGCCGTGACGAAAGGACTGATAAAGAGATAAGGAGTTTATTTAATTTCATCGCAGATTTTTGGGAATGATAACTTGATTTGTTTGTATAAAGTGTGTGATCTAAGGACTAAGAGTAACCCTGTTTGATTTATGTTTATAATCTGACACAATTGCATCATGTATGATCTATAATTATAATTCTTCTACAATTCTATGAAAATTTTACAGTTTACCTGCTGCAGAGAAATTTGTATCTGTATTAAACTACAATACTCTGTAGTAGAGCTTTGACCTTGAAATAGAATTAAAGTGTCTGTGTGTAAGCAAAGAAAATGAGAATCTATAAGTTACAATGCGACTCCGAAAATCATGAAAATATTTCTGAAAGTTAAAAAAAGTTATACAACATCTAAATGTCAAAATCATTGAACATCTTTTTTAAAAAGGATACTAATGTAATCTTCTCAAAAAAGAATATACACAATCAAAAAAGAATATAATTTCAGCGTTACTAATTTCTATTAGGAATCCAGTTATCGTAGGAGCATGCTCACATCTCGTCTATGAAGAATTAAGCATGAGTTCCATTAACTTTAAGCACAGTCAGTGTCATTAGGTCTACAGGAACAATGTTTATCCATGCCGTAGAAAGGGCACCCCTGAAAATGGAATCGTAATGAAGTAAGTTTTTGGGACATCAGTAACTATTCGTGGTCGTAAATATAATTCTATTCTTGGAGATATTAACATATCGAAAAGCAAAAAGGGTGCCAAGAGGTAAAGGTCGTTATAACTGTATAACTATAATAAGGGATCGTTGAGATATCACTCATACCAAATTTGCGTAGAAATTGCATATAAATTGCAGTACTCACGTTTCTAGTGAAGAGTTTACATTGCTCGGACCTATCTGCGATGGCTTGTTGCTGGTGCTGGTGCTGAGTGCTGTTTACATCACAGTCAGTGGCCTCTTCCACCTCCTGATATGATAGCAATCGTTAAAGTTTAGAATTTGTAGCATTGTGACTATCAAGTAATAGTCGTCACCAAAGTCACTAACAAGTTCAGTGGTTATACATTAAAAATTAAATATGTTTATTTATAGAAACTCAGACAAGAACGCCGCGCCACTGTGTTAATCACAACCATTTTGTTTCCAGTCTGCACCTATTTTATGTCACTGACACCTAATCATACCCATTTGTGATATAACGTTAATTTTACATTCATCGGTGCAAAATAATCGCATTTTGTGCATTTCAACGTAGTACTAGTATCATTCTGCAAAATAATTATATAACGTACCCCGATGAGGTCGAGAATGGTCCAGATATTGTCACACTTTTCGTAATTGCCTAAGTCCTTGTCGTCGTTTTCGCTTCTAGCTGTCAGATAATTTTGGAATTTGTTGAAACACTGGGTCGTTTGGTCGTTATCTGAAAAGATTTTCCGTCTAGAAACATGAAGAGATAAACTTTTAAAGCATTCTGAGTATGCTGTTTACACGTTGTGAAATGTGATGATAAAAGTGCTAAGTATTTTGTTATGTTAACACTTGAATTTGAAATCTGAAGATCAGCTCAAACTGATAAGACTCGCATATTCGCGTCCAGTGTCTGTCAAAATAAAGACCCAGTGGTAGCTTTATCACGTATCATTTTGCACACGAAATCACAGTTACATATAACATATATCTGCCAACAACATTTTTTTGGCCACAATGGATTAATCTGATCAAGTGATTTACTGCCGTACACTGTACAGAAAGTTTACCCCCTTCCACAAGTAACTTACGGGGAAATACGGCCAAATTGGGTTGGATGAATCGTCCGTTGGTTCTGAGAAACTTCCATCAACATCCAACAAAAAGATTTGAGTGGTCGAGTTCAAGCATAAAAGTAAATGAAGGTGCCCAAAATGAATGCAACTCGTTCACATGGTACAAATATAGTATAGTACCAAGCTTACTTTAGAATAAAGTGGGAGAGAAGAAACTTACGTATGCTCAATGCACCGAGGAACTGGGTTTGGAGGAGGGGGGCTTGTACTGCAGGGTTGTTAACATCTCGTCGTACAAAGCTCCGGGCGGTAGTCAGTACAGCAACTAGCTCTAGAATAGAGACTAGGAGGTAGAACCTGAAATACAGAGGAAATCAACAATCTTAAATGGGATGGTTAAATTTGGGAATTCATTATAATGTGTTGCAGCCAGTTTTACGTGGCAAATTCAAGTGTGCACAAATGTTTGATAATTCGAGCACAATTTTCAAATTGCTCATTTTAAAAACTGGCGCCTGACAAGTTATATAAACTTCAAAAGATGCATAAATCTTCAAATTCACGTCCATGTAGGCACAATACTAAATTTTGATATCCGAAAAGCAAAAACTTCTAAGAAAACATGCAAAGGGGAAAACTGTAAAAACACAAACCTCGCTGTCATATTGAGTTCAGAAGCCCTGAAAGGTGGACATATGTAAGATAAAATCACATTTGCTCCTTTGAAATTTAACCCGGACAATGCAAGCTTTATCTTATCGCAAGGCGGCACAAGTATCGCCGTAAAATTTCATATAAGACGTGCAGTTGAGCATGATAATGATATAATGTTTAAGGAATTTAAAATCCGGTAACGTATTAAATCACGCTAATTCAATTTAAGCTGCAAACCGAAAATAGCGACTCGCTTACGTAAAACAAAAACATGTTTTCTCTTCCTCATGAATTGTTGTGTTCCATGGAAAAATAAATGTCTTCTTTCAAGCAAGTACCGAATTATTGCATTTATTCCTTGTATTTACTTTTAAAAATTGATGATAATGCAAATAACTCACATGGAAAAACTAAGCTCATACAGTGTTGCATTGTATAGATAATAATAATCACATAAGGCTTTATGAGACCCATTAACTATCTAACTATCCCATATATTCATGATAATCAAACATAGTTCACATCAATAATAGCTAGGCTAGGAATTAAGTTCATTTAAACTTATAGCTACTAACCTGCGGTGTTGTGACTTTATAATTATAATTTATGCACAGTTTAGCCGTCGCTGGTTATTATACCGAGAATTTTAGGGCCCACAATATTAATAGTTAGTAAGTAAACATATAATAAAAAGAAAGCTGCATTGAGTTTGACTCACCGCGGGTCGGTAGATAGAACCAATATAACTCCTCCCTTCCTATAAGAAAACTGAGACCAACCTGAAATATATATGAGAGCAAATTAATGCCGCCATGAAAGTGACCTGAACCACTAAACAGTGGTGCAATAATCGAGATAAAATTAGGGAGATTATTAAAGAGGGTAGCAGGGCTCGTTTAAGTGGTGTTAAAGTTAACATAGGCCAGATCGCTAGGACTGCAGAAGGATCTCACAGTAATCCCGTACTGAACGTGGAAGTTTCGGGAAGGCATAATTATTAGGAATATTTGTCATGATAGTGCAAATTTGAGTTTAACTATCTAACAGGCGTTTAACGTTGTCGTGTTTAATAATTTGCTCTCAATCAGTCACATGGTGCCTCTGGAGAGGGTAAAACCAGGTGCTTCCTGACTAGTTCTGCACGTGCAAAGTTGGTGGTTATCATTGTCACAACACGTGCAACTTTGGTGAACTGGTGACGTCAGAGAAATTTGTGACTTCAAGAGAAAGTCTGCTGCTTCAAAGATGGAGTAAACTCAATGAACGATGTTCGAAAATTTTTAAACATTAAAATGGATTCGTTGACGTGAGTCATTGCTAGTGTTATGTGACATTGAAGCCGTGACTTATACTTATAGAACTATAGATACAGCAGCCGCTTGCAAACAATGTATGGGTTCTTGGAGACACTTTCTGCAAGGCCATGTACATCTAAAATACACAGCAAGTTTGGCCTCCATATTCTTGATAAATACCTTGGCTTTCAATAAGATAAAGAGATGTCATCGACTACCACTACCGCTATTGAGCTATTGGACCCACAGTACCAGGTCCAATAGGAACAGGTATACAGTATCTCTGCTTGGGCACCACCTCCTGATCCGAACCCTCCACGACGTATTCTTATGATTTATCATGGTTAGTAACCATATTGATAATCATTAATCCATTGTGCTGTGGCCAGGTCCACTTTCGTGGCCTTGATAGCCTAAAAGATAGCTTTAACGAGACATTATTAACGGACGACATCACGCTCATAATTATAGTTTTGCGATTCCCAAAAATGAACGATAATATATTCAACTACTGCCAAGAATGAGGTCTGATTTTCTTCTTCGTTGTCGTCGGTCGCACGAACCACTTGGTCTGTAAAATGCAAGATAGGTCATTCGAGTCTTGTACTTATCCCGGTGATATTTCCGTATGGTTGATAAGTAGATTGGTCAAAGTCTGATCGAGCACATCCGAGTACGTAGGCTGAGGACACGAGCATATCATAGTACGCTCTGCTGGATCTAAGATAGCTATCGTCTTAGATATTGAATATAATTTATAACCATTGCGACTATTATCTGCATTGGTTAAACAATCAAATTTTGCCCAATAAATAACATTTTGGAGTTACTTTTTTCTCCATTTTACATACTTTAAAATTACTTAAAATTACTTTGAAACATGTCTAGTAAGTAATTATTTGTTAAATTAAGAATATTTTGCTTAAAAATGAACGGAAATTAGAAATATTGAATGTATGAATTTTCACAAAATGGCCACTGCATTTAATATCCAAGGAGAAGGGTATAACTATAATTCACCGTAACGTTTATAGTTCGTACAAAAAAAACGTTCAGAAATCATAATTAATGATGCAGATTATGCCAGTCAACAGCATGGCAGCTACAATAGAACCAACTCAAGATTTATGACGGTCATTTGGATAAATTGTGCTTTTCACTGTCCAATAATGTCTAACTCCCACAAGACGAAAAGGTGTAAACATTAGTTTCAATAAAATTGCTATAACTATAAGTATAGGATCTCGAGGAAGAATTTGTGAATTTATATTATTCCTATTGCTCTGGAGCTTGTTAGGTTAACTAGTTATCAAAACTTCTGATTTTCATCACGTCTCTTATAAATATATCGCGGGCTAATAACTTGTTGTGGGTACAAACCCCTACAAAATATACACTGAGCCCTGAACAGCTTCAGAGTACAGTATGAAAGTACTAACTTCTGAGTATTAGCTGTAGTTTAACCAAAGACTAATTCTGCTCTGTTGATATCAGTATAAATGTTTTCTATTGAGTTCATATCTTAAAGGAAGGCATGTTTAATTATTCGTAGGGCGTATATAAGAGCATGTAATCTCTAAATGGCTACTCCATAACAAGAGAAACTATAAAACTTAACTCTAATTAAAAACTTCTCGTTTTCAATTTCATCACATTGTTGGCTACAGAACAATTTTGCATTCCCAATATGACTAACACGGCATATCCAGGTAGCAAGCCCTTATTCTAAAGTAAAACTTTATTTCGATATATATTCGAATTTTTTATGCGACAGAAAACGCCACAATTTGTTGAACATTTACAATATCTCCGGAATGCTAAAAAACTAAACTTTCTACTTGCGTTATAATTGTACTGTCGGCGTGAATCAAAGAAAGTGAACACAGGTTTGCAGTTTTAAAGTTTTTCTGCATAAAAAGGTGGACAGAAATAGAACAGGTTGAAATTTTTAGTTCCACACGAATCATCACTTCGTATACAAATTTTGCCCATCATTAATTCGCCATCAATTCCACATCTCGGGTTTTTTTTGGATCGGCAAAGTCCCCAAATTTTCATGATGATTAAAAAAATGGACGCTATTCACTAAAATGTCGATCCGTGCGAAGAGAAACACAAAAATCCTGATTCAGATTGTGGCAGTCAAAATAACCTCGCAGCTACAATTTTATAAAACCCGGCAAGTTGTGCGCTACTTTTCTTTGGCCTATTTGATTATTACTCATTTTCATGACAACGTGAAAAATGTATTACTTGAAGTATGATATGTTAACGTTTTTATGTCTTTTTTTGTAATTTTGTAAGAGGGAACTAGTGGATCTTTTATTATTTCTACCAGTTTGCCTGTCATTTAGTTAAGTTGAATAATTATAAACTCTTATGATTTTCATCACTTTTCTTATATCCTAGTCAAATATCTAGCTTCGGCTAAGTTTACTTTTGACATAAAACCCTACAAATAATACAGCAGAACCCTGAACTGCTCCAACATCCTGCACGAAAGTATTGACTTTCGAGTACCTTGCACAAACAAAATCCAATTGTTATAATTTGTATGGCTATAAATAGTTCATATTGGCTTCAAACTTTAAAGCAAGGCGTACTCAGTTATTGCAAGAGCAATGCGATCTGTAGAACTAGAAGGTCTCTATAATAGAGAAACTATAGAACTTTGTTCTTTACTAAAACTTCTCGTTTTTATCACATTATTGTCTACACAACAACTTTGTGTTCCTGACACGGTATATTCAAGGAGCAAACCCTTATTCTGAAACCGTACTGCGATATTTTCGATATCATCGATGCGAACAATTACTACATTTTCATAGCGCCTAAAATGCTCCATAATTGTGTATTTGTCCTGATCAGCATCGTCATTAAAACTAAATGTCGATGCTCAGCTATTAAGATCAATGAATATAAAAAATTAAATGTTCTTGAAGTTACCTGGAGTGATATTAATGCAATTTTCACCTTATTTAACATAATATAATCGACTCATTCCAGTGAATATAGGAGAGCATGATAACAATTGCACCTGATATGCAACATTACGGTAGGGGACAGGGTTGCTGAAACACTTTGTTTCCCTATAATTTGTTATGTTTTCTGGAATCACAGTTAACTTTAACGCTAATTATAAGTGATTAGTCTTTCTCTGCTCAAAATTTGCCAAGCGCCGCATATTCTAACTTATCCATACGTAATCCTTAGTTTTCGAATATAGCCGACTACTCTCAACTTGATCAAGTTTCACACACGACAGTTAAATAAACTTTCTTGGGGACGTAACAGAGAATTTTCTAACAGGCTTTCACATGTGGTCACGTTTCTGACTGATAAATTATCTTGTTTTACTTCTTTTTAATTGTCCATCAGTTTATCTACAACAATGGCCACCTACCCATTTTGTGACCAACGCACTTTAACGCACGAAAAAATTATTGCACTTAACGCATTTTCCCCGACAAATTGACGCACTTTTCCCGACAAATTGCCGCATGAACCATTTATTTGTTGATGATAACTTGGAAGGCCTTATTTAAAACGTTTTAGACATAATACTGATCGGGGACATTTTCATTGATCCGGACCTCGACCATGAATACGATATTTTACTGACGATATCTGTACTGCAGTATATCAATATCATGCTAATTTTCCAGAAAGTTCGTAAAAATTTGCGGCACAATTTATAGGAACAGTTCAATCGCGTATAAAATAGTCAAACTATTCATAATTGTCGTCACATGCAAATCATTAACATTAAGTATTCAATTAAACACTTTAACTCTATTCGGAAAATGTTTGCTGCTGGGCACAACTCAGAATGTACACCCATGCTAAACTTAAAACTTTCCAGAAGACTCGAGGTTAGCGTAATTTTTAAAAAGCTGTTGACGCCAGAAAGTCCCAAGAACTTCGAGGTCGTGGGGATATTGTCATGCTTTAGCTTTATGTTGAGGTAAATGTACTAGGTGCACAGCACGACGCTTTGCAGAATTTGAATACGATATCGTGATGACAACATCAACTATTGATAAGACCATTTATGGAGCGATTTTTAGAGATGTCCTATGATACATTTTACGACTCTACAATTTTCATGGCCCAACTAGATTCGTTGTCCAAGATATTCGATAATGGTCTTAAACAAAAGGAGTTAATAGGAATAATTACAAAGTTATCGAACAAAAGAATCCAACAAACTGTTTTTCATTCCGATTACTAAACGTTTTGACAGATTATATACTCATGCAAACATAAAAGGACAAACAATTTGTATTAGTAATCATGTTAATTTTATTTGCTTTACAGCGAGTAGGTACCATCATCTATTATATTCTCTACAGCTGTCAGGTATATTGCTGTGTGAGAGTCTGCAATCCTGAGGAAAGGTACGAGTAACAACATTGCCTCTAACACACTATTAAGATGAGGACCACTTTACCCTTCTCATGAATTATTTTGTCTTTGTTAAAGGAAATCAACCTCATACACAAGGGAAGCCTTTGGATTCAAACTAATGAGAGATCCGTTTAAATTCACACAGCAAGCGTGACTCCATGAACTACGCATTTTTAAACCTTACTTTGAATCGCCCAAATGTTTCTAGCCATGTTATATGAAGAGCCGGACAAGGTTTACACTATTGAATTTACTCAATTTAGGCTTTAGCCGATAACTTTCGGTAAAGTTGCTATGAAAAGCAGCAATAGAAGCCGGAACATTTCCTTTACTAAAAGTTAGCGGGTTGCTAGGAGCAGGCTAAAGGCGTATATTCAAAGCTACACACAATATTAGAACATGTGTGTTTCTCTCTGGACTGAAAAAGCTAAATTCAATTAAATATGTTTGGGCTGTCCACTGCTGCAAGTCAGGCAACTGCTAATACTATTTGCAGGCAACATCCGCCTGCAGAGTTTTGGTGAAAATGAACGGCCCTGGAAGATGTAGGCCAAGGTTAAGGGTATTTTTATAAGGATTAAATGTAAATTGCTAGCAAGCAGTGTATTCTGGTCAGGCCGTGTTGACGGGATAACTCATCACATAGTAACGCGATGCTGCGCTGGAATTTGCAGGACGCCGCACTACCCCTCAACACCGCACGCCGCCTCTTCACCAGGGTTTACCTTTGCACAACGCCTCCACCACAGGGTACTCCAGCTGCCGAGGCGCACTCGACCAACCAATGGGCAAGCTCCACCTCAATTACATTTAGCTTCTGAAGTGCAGAAAAATCTAAACCGAATATATTACTGCCTTCCGTCGCACGTGACTTAAAGACTTGCAGCTGACTAGAAGACAGGCACGTGGGCTGTCACGTGATCTCGCAGGGTTCGGCTCGTGACCTATCACATCCGTTCCCAACACTCACTACTTGCTCAAATATTGACGACGATATATTTGCTTCAGTAACGAATTCTTTGTCCAGTGTTTGCTTCTTTATTCTGTCGTAAAAATGGTAGGCCTTTTCAATATACTTTGACTTAAAGTTATCTCTCCAATTTCACATCAATGAGCCAGTCTCAATTCTTCAACAAAAGAATAAAAAGCTTCAAAGTCTAACCAGTAACAAATGATACCCAATATAAATTGCAAAGCTTGGTCGTTGTTTAATCTTTGTCTCTTTTCAGTCTAAGGCCAAAGGTAAGAAGCCCCAGAGATCTGGATCCAACGTGTTCGCTAACTTCGATCAGCAACAGATCCAGGAATTCAAGGAAGTAAGAAACATTGTCATAAGTTTTTATCTTTATATATTTTTTATTTTCAACTCTAGATTCTAAAACTTTTTGTTTAGCTTCATTATACCGTATAATTCTGATTATCACCACGGTAAAAATAAATGAAATAACTCTCTCTTCTACTTAGTATTTCGCTGAATCATTCTAAGTTATTAGACTAATTCTATCGAGGAAGCTTATAAATTAATGGCATTCCATAGAAGATATTTCATTTAGATTTCTAACGTTGTAACTTTAATAGCAAACGTTAACTTACCCAGTTCATTAGTGGTTAACAAAGAGAACATTAGATCATATTATTGAAGTAGAAACTTGCAGTACTCGCTGACAAGACATTACGCACGTCAGCGCACTATATGTTTCTTGTCTAAAACGCGGATCCATGCATTCATGTGGGTTCTGCATATGACTGACGGAATAATAAACGGCCGAATCTAAGAGTAGTCTTGTCAAACATTCAGTCTAACAATAAATAAAGTAATCGATAGCTATATAATGATAATCCATATGGCAATTTTTCTGAAAAAAAAATATCGCTGATTCGATTCCTAACAGATACATTTTGATGAGCAACTTGCTTTACTACTAAATTCCGCGACGTGACTATGTGGCATTGAACTGGCTTCAGGCAACCATAGAAAGGAGCAGCGTAGTAAATATTTGGAGGACCAATTCCAAGGGAAAATATTTGGATACCAACATAATTCCAACATGATATGAACATTGATATCACAAGCAATTACTTTCAGGCTTTCACAATCATCGATCAAGATCGTGATGGATTTATCAGCGAAAAGGATTTGAAAGACATGTGGGCTTCTCTTGGTAAGAACAATGCAGCACTCGTTACTAAAACTTGATTTAGTTATCATTCGGGGTTCAATTTAACTTGATTTAGTTATCATTCGGGGTTCAATTTAACTTGATTAAGTTATCATTTGGGGTTCAATCTAACTTGATTTAGTTATCATTCGGGGTTCAATTTAACTTGATTTAGTTATCATTTGGGGTTTAATTTAACTTGATTTAGTTATCATTTGGGATTTACCTTGATTTAGTTATCATTCGGGATTCAATCTAACTTGATTTAGCTATTTAGACCTCATTTGGATTCAATTCATTCGATTCAGTTATGAATGTTCGTTACAACCTTAATGGTACTTGTCAACAAGATCTGGTGTAAGTCAGCACAATATAGTAACTGTTAATTACAAGTCTTCAGGCTCCTTTCACCACTTTCACCACATTTCTCTAAAACCCTTTGTCCACTTAGTCTTCACACTCACACACAAAAACACGCTCAACAGTTCTGCAAATGCACGTGCAACAGTTGCAAATGCACGTGTCTCCTGCAAGCTTCAGTTCTACCTCTGCAAGCTTCAGCTCTACCTCGGCAGAGTTATAGTTAGTAGATAGTTAACAAAGTCTACCCAGCCACCGCAAGCAGGTCGTCTGGGTGAAGTCTAGCTGTTACCCACAACTCTCACTCTACCAGCAGGGTGGTTCTATCCTACTGCTTCTCACTGCCCTGTCTAAAGTATAGCGATGTTGTTGTCCAGAGCTGACACTTGTAAGGGTTCCCCTGCCTAGGAATGCTATTCTGCTGTTCGCACCACAACACTCTCCACAGAGGTGTTGACATCTCAACTCCCTTTTTCTGGACACTCCAATTTAGTGTACTATTCCATATTTTTGCAAGTTCTCCAGAAATTTCTCCAGAAAGCTGCTAACATATAGGTTGCGAGTGTTAAAGCCGGTCCAGTCCGGTTGGAGAGTTTGGGTTTTTGCAGGCTAGACTTCACATCAAGTTACCACGGGGGAAGTCCAGGCCAATTGATAACTCAATTCTATATATGCCAGCCTACACTGGTTGCCGCTTGGTCAAATCACATTAGCTTCATCATCCTCACAGACTTTCTGGCGAATCAGAAATTCACACTTCTCTGAGGCCACAGCTCGGTAAAAGTACATCCATATTCCATATTGCACAGGTTTCGGTCAGCTTTTCCGGTTAAATAAATCAATTAACAGCGCCACGGAAAAGACGCCAAGCTTTACAAAGCCATATTTTACCACTACACTTGCATACGGATAATAAGATTTTATTAACCTTTCCTGCAATGGTAGCAGTGATGTGTCCATGCACCAAGTAAATAAAGTAAATCTATTGAAAAATACGGCCTTTCAACAGCTGACAGCTCCTTCAAGTCCCCGAGATGGTGCCTTATAATTGAAACCTTACATCCGTGAAGCCTTGTAAGGACTTTGCAGGTAGTAGTTCTTGCAGCACAGCAACAAGCATCAGCAAAACAACATGTCAAGCTGTGCTCATATCTGATTCTATGTTGGGGTAAAAATACTGATTCATAGCAAATACTAATGACGGGTGATAACAGCAATACCACAGTATGTCCTTATTCTCAGTTTATCTGGAAGTCGGTTCACAATTCTTCACCCAAAAACAATCAATAACCTCCGCCATACTAGGAATCGTGCAAGACGACAAATTCTGCGCCGAAATGACCAAAGTGAGTCCCGGACAGCTTAACTTCACCGCTTTCCTTACCTTCATGGGAGAAAAGTTGGCTGATACCGACCCCGAGGATGTCCTCCATAACGCTTTCGCTTGCTTCGATGTGCACAACACCGGCGCAATCGACCAGAAGACGTAAGTTTAGGGGGAGTAACCGATCTGGGAGCGAGCTCGGGTCCTGGTCAGGCATGGGACCCGACCTCCGCCAACTTCTTAATTCTTTATTTTACACTTCACCATGTTTTTAGGTGTGATAAAGAGCGATGATAACTACTTTGCTGAAATGATGAAAGAAGCAACTGGACCACTGAACTTCACCACGTTTTTAACATTTATGGGTGTCAAGTTGCAAAACACCGACTCCGATGATACCTTGGTCAGCGCCTTTTTAACAATCGATACTGAGGCCACCGGCATTATCTCGAAGCCACAGTAAGGAGAATCCCGAGAAGCATGATGAGTTGTTCCCATCCAACACCGAGCACCAAGCAAGAGTTCAGCATGGCTAAATGCTTGTAGTTTTACTGTATGATACTGCGATAGTTACCCTGTTGTAGCATGCCAATATTGTTATGTTCCGTCGTTGACTTGTTGACGGGTTGTAGGCCTTTTAAAATGATACTTGAACCCCGTAAGATTCCCCGTATTTCCACGATAATCATAATCGAGTTTTTTCCCCAACCCAAAGCATTTTCCTTAAAGTCACCATTCAACTGATATGAAACCAACATTTTGTTAAGATCCACTCCCAATAACCCCTCCCAAAAACAATATTGAATATTGATGTACGACATTTAATGAATAATATGAAAAGCCCGACAGAAAATGAGTACCCTTAATTTTAACGCTCTGAACAAAGCCTTAAAAATTTTAAGCCCTGTCAAAAAGTCTACGACAATTTGTGTGTTGTTGAATGTACAATTTGTCGTGTAAGCTATCTGTTATGGAACCTGTCTGGTTGCAACTGCTACCCACTTGTCACCTTAATGCCCTTAAATTACAGGTCTGCAGCAGCAGACCACAGTATTTGTGGTCTCTCACTAGTATTAGTGGTCTCTCACCACCCAGTATGTTTGACGTAGACACACTGTGATATTATATTCGGGTGACAAGTGGCATGTAGTTACTGACCGACAACTCCTAATGTTGCTGCTGAAAACTACTGTTATGCGCTATGTGTCCATTTGTGAGTTGCTTGCTCGCCAGCATGTCCCATAGTCAGTCAGAGACAACCCTCTTCACCACATTGGAACTGGAGTGGAGAAGGAAAATGGAGAAAAGGAATGATGTGCACCTTGGACAACTTGGCAAGCTGAAGCCATATCCAACATCGCTGAGTTGAACCAGCATTTTAGTACGATGACAACCCCAGCTCACGTTTTTAACTGAAATATTTAAATTTACGACAGCAGAATACGTACTGAGAATTTGTACTATAGAGATGCAGAGTGTTAGCAAAAAAGCATCTATACTCAATTTGAATTAAATCTATACTGCACATTTGTAAAACTTGCTGATAAGCACCCGCTAGAACTTGTAGGACATGCATCTGCTTGAAGTTTTACTGAGAAGGAATATTCCACCGATTCCTTGTGACCATGTCAATTGTCACCCAGCAGAACTATTTCAATCCACCAGCTGTCAACGAAACTGCATCCATAACTTTTAATTTTCCAACATTCTTACTAGAAAATGTTATCCGATCTATTTTAGAATTTTCTTTATTTAGACGTTTTAAATAATGAATGAATGAGAGTTATGTTTGAACAGCATTTTATAAAGCACCTTAGCATGAAGCATGAAGTAACGTGATCACAATTTCAGATTTACCAACGCTCTTACCCAGCTTGGAGACAGATTCACGAAAGAGGAGGTGAATATACTTTTTATTATTTACTGCTTTCTCCTGGAAACTAAGTCGACCAGAACTGCAAATTACAAAACTGTCGAAACTCTAAAATACCACAAAATGCTCGACAATGGACAACGTCAATTTCAAATTTCTGATTTCCATAAAAGACAGGTTTATGTGCAATAAAAATTGCTCCAAGACTCTTCTCATAATCGCACAGCCTATATAACTGTGAACCTGGAACCTAGTTCTAACTTCCCACTGTTTCAGATCAAACAGATGTACGAGGTCGCCCCAATGAAGGGAGATGCTGTGGACTGGAAGCGATTCATCAAGCTCATCAAATACGGTGGAGATTTCGAGGAGGAGGCATAAGCCCAAAACGGACTAGATCTGGAATATATAACGAAATTAGTTTTGTTTGGGTCCCAAGGACTGATCATCCGACATCTCGATCTTAGTTTATTACTAGCTAATTAATTAATTAGTAAACCAACCAAGAGTTTATGGTTGGCGTGTGCACATGTAATATATGGGTCTGAGCTGTTTAACCCGGGCCCGGGCCGCAATGGGAGCTAGAGTTTTATGTTGTTGTGGTACCATAGCGATTTTCTGACAATTTTTGTTTTAATGTTTTATTCGTGGAGCTATAATATACTTTATAATGGATGTTATAAATCTCTGTACATATTATAAAAAGTTTAACAAAATTTACTGTGGAGAAACGAATTAATTCTATTCCTTCTTTCATAATGTATATATGGAACACAAAAGGGGGAAGGGTGATAATTGACAAGGCAATTTGGATGATATTGCAATACCGCCTTTTTATTAAAACATTTACCGAGCAGAAATTAGACGACATGAACGGGTTTGCTATAGTTAACAAGTTATTCTAGCACACTTTTGAGGATTCAAACCAAAGTTAATAAGTTAATAATAAGTGAGAAATTATAGAATAGCGACGGGACAGTAACAGGGGTGACATTTGGAATAAGCGTTCTTTCAACAAAGGCTCGGTCACACGAAGCAACCAGGAAAACTAAATAAAATATCAAGTTCATAACTAGAGATAATTAAATATTTGATTTGATAGCCCGACCTTCAATGTGCTGTAAATTAGCATAAATTACACAAAACCTGGGACTTGTTCAGGGTAGTGTGTTAATTAATTGTTATTAGAGAAATTCCGATAAATTGGGACACTGCTAATAAGGAAATATAACATATAATTGAATTTATAGGACCAAGAATAGAACCGTATAGCTGGTGGCGATGGCTTGCCACGGTGGAATTAAACAAGAATTAAACAGGAATTAAACATGAAACAGTGTAATTTCGGTACAATATTCATGCGTAAGATGTAATTATACGTGAACAATCCTTCAGCATTCTTCGGTAGTCTAGCTATCAGAACCACGTGTCTTATGCCATGCTGTACGCCAGTGTATTGTATTCCAATTACTTTGATTGACCTTTAATTATATTGACCTCTGCATCATACCTTATAAGTGACCACATTGCATGCTGTCTCGTAAGTATTCCGTCAAATCAGCGTTCTACAGACTGTGGAAAGACTCGTGCGTTAAAAGAAAAATGACAATTTAACATTAATAATTATTATTAGTAACTACTCCATGCAGTTTAGTATTGGGCCGTATAAAGATCTAATGAGCGTTCTCAGTGCATGCCTTACGAAAAGAATTTTAGTCCCCTTCGCCCAGTCGTAGTTCTCTTGTCGAACTTCAGTGTGTATCGAACTAAAGTTCAGGTATGAGGTAGAGTACTCATACTCTACTTCAACAGAGTCAAACTGTGGGGTTTGTCGAACTAGGGTACGTGTTGAACTAGAGTACCTGTACCTAAAGAGTTGATAACCGTTGAGAAATCGCTTTTAAAACGAAAAGCTACCTGATTTCCCTTTTGTCTCGGACTATTACCGGACTCCAATGTGCAGGGTGAGTTGGAAATAATGTTTGGATTTTAAATGGCTCTAATTTCTGAGATAAAATGAAAAATCACTCCATTTTTGCATATTTAGGTCATAAAAATATGTTGGCTTATACTCTTATAGACATAGTTACATGAGCATAATACTCATTAATAACTAAACTTCAGATTATATTATTTTGATAATCTCATGTTGTTGCTCTGCACGTTTCTCTGGAGACCTATCTGGGCTGTTAAAGACTTTACTAAAACGTTCCGAGCTACGGAGATGCTTTGCTGCTAGTCAAAATATGCTGCACGATCATTGTGGAGCTCGTCAAAGTCACCTTGACGGGTCGATCACCCACTTTTTTTAAAATCCTTGATTCTATTCAAACCAATTCTGTTAGCTTCTATTTTTGGCTTTTCACCAATCACCAAGTTCTAACAACACTTGACCGACCTTGTCATATAAAAGTTCCCCTTCATCTTCCTTTAGACCAAATAACATCAGATTCCGACTTTGGTCACCTTCTGCCACAATGTCTTTAACGACATTCTTCAGAATGATTTTATCCGAATCCAACAAAGAACATGCTGCTGAGGTGTTTGATTCCAAAACCGCGGCGCTGTATGTCTTTAAGTTCAACTCTGATTTTACAGTATCCTCAACTGCAATGCTACAACCACAGATTTCAATTCATCAAGCTGCTCAATTTCTGCAAACCAACTATTGTCCCCTGGCTCTTAACTACATCGGAATGCAATTTATGGTTATAACTGATAATACTCTCTCAGTCTCACTCTATCAGGCCGCGCAAACACCCTCAGTCTCACTACGTTCGGGCGTTATCATGCGCGGCCCTCAGAGCGCGAGAGTATTATTTTGTTATACTACTCCATTTGATCAATGTATATGGCGGCCAAGGCCAAGTCCAAAATTTGCAGTGCAAAATTCAGAATTTGGCCGTTAAATTTGTTTGGAGGCCTAAATTAACAAAAATTGCGCCCGTTGTTTCGTTTTGGCGGACGCTAGATTTCCATTAATTCACTATAACTATTAGTATTAATATAAGCTCTAATCAGCTCACCTTATGATAATAATATCGAAACATCAGTACACTACGCGTGCCACGTTCAAGTTGGGCTAATTATTACATAATACTATACATTACTAGTATACATTAAATTACGCTCGTGCCGCGCATTCATTTACCACAGACTAGCTATTATATATACCCAAGAAACCTTACTGGTAGGGGCCTAACTTTGGAAGTAAAAGAGATAGAAACGTTTGGTTTTCAACAAAATGTTCGCCTTGTGAAAATAACGTTTCCCCCTAGCGGGAAAATTAAAAACAACGTAGATTTTGAATTATCGCGAAAAGTCATATTTTAGGCCTTATAAAACTGCGCAGCTATAACTTTGCAGATTGTTGTTCTCTGATTGGCTGAATCGTATCACGTGGTACGCGGTACAATTGCATCTTTGGAATGTTTGAAGCGTGCAAATGCAATGAACTTACGAGCGCGCGCGGAGCTCAACAAGCTTTGAAAAGGCGATCACGGTTCCAATTAGAATTAGACCTCTTCAGGGAATCACAGTATTCCAGTATATTTATTTCTAGTTCCTGGCATCCAATTATTTAATTTAGTTCCCCTTGATGGTTCCAATTAGAATTAGACCTCTTTAATTTAGGGAATCACAGTATTCCAGTATATTTATTTCTAGTTCCTGGCATCCAATTATTTAATTTAGTTCCCCTTGATGGTTCCAATTAGAATTAGACCTCTTTAGGGAATCACAGTATTCCAGTATATTTATTTCTAGTTCCTGGCATCCAATTATTTAATTTAGTTCCCCTTGATGGTTCCAATTAGAATTAGACCTCTTTAGGGAATCACAGTATTCCAGTATATTTATTTCTAGTTCCTGGCATCCAGTTATTTAATTTAGTTCCCCTTGATGGTTCCAATTAGAATTAGACCTCTTCAGGGAATCACAGTATTCCAGTATATTTATTTCTAGTTCCTGGCATCCAATTATTTAATTTAGTTCCCCTTGATGGTTCCAATTAGAATTAGACCTCTTTAGGGAATCACAGTATTCCAGTATATTTATTTCTAGTTCCTGGCATCCAATTATTTAATTTAGTTCCCCTTGATGGTTCCAATTAGAATTAGACCTCTTTAGGGAATCACAGTATTCCAGTATATTTATTTCTAGTTCCTGGCATCCAGTTATTTAATTTAGTTCACCTTGATGGTTCCAATTAGAATTAGACCTCTTCAGGGAATCACAGTATTCCAGTATATTTATTTCTAGTTCCTGGCATCCAATTATTTAATTTAGTTCCCCTTGATGGTTCCAATTAGAATTAGACCTCTTTAGGGAATCACAGTATTCCAGTATATTTATTTCTAGTTCCTGGCATCCAATTATTTAATTTAGTTCCCCTTGATGGTTCCAATTAGAATTAGACCTCTTTAGGGAATCACAGTATTCCAGTATATTTATTTCTAGTTCCTGGCATCCAATTATTTAATTTAGTTCCCCTTGATGGTTCCAATTAGAATTAGACCTCTTCAGGGAATCACAGTATTCCAGTATATTTATTTCTAGTTCCTGGCATCCAATTATTTAATTTAGTTCCCCTTGATGGTTCCAATTAGAATTAGACCTCTTTAGGGAATCACAGTATTCCAGTATATTTATTTCTAGTTCCTGGCATCCAATTATTTAATTTAGTTCCCCTTGATGGTTCCAATTATGAATTAGAATTAGACCTCTTTAGGGAATCACATTATTCCAGTATATTTATTTCTAGTTCCTGGCATCCAGTTATTTAATTTAGTTCCCCTTGATGGTTCCAATTAGAATTAGACCTCTTCAGGGAATCACAGTATTCCAGTATATTTATTTCTAGTTCCTGGCATCCAATTATTTAATTTAGTTCCCCTTGATTCCTCCACTCTTTAGAGTTTAGGAAAATGGAGCCAGCAACGAAGATTGATAATCGCCTGCCAGTTCCTGTAGCAACTAAATCATCTAGTGAGTGCCTGAGGATGGTGACCAGATTTTCGTCTGTTCAAGAGAAGAACATCCAACAGCAAGGAATGTGAAATATATCAATGCCATGCCGTGCCAACAGCGGACGGATAACTTTTCGTCTGGACCTCTATGCCTTGGGTTTCTCTGGGCATTTAGTGGTGGAAACGACCCCCAACAGATTCTGGTTCAACTCTACGGATATTAGGAAGACCATACTTAAAATCGCCGAGGACGTCAATAATCGCGATACACATCTTGGGAGAGAAGTGCAAAAAAGAAATCCAACGGCAGCGTCAACATCTCTGGAAACCGTTTCCTGTCAGGCTGCCTGAATTCCTACTCCGTCATCCTTAACAACAAATTACTCTCCAAACCCTGGGCAACTTCTCTCCTAGCTCCAACTACAACCGAAATACTGTAATATAAGCCCATCACCCTTTTCATCAGTCTCTGGAAAGACCCTTGAAGTACCTACAGGTGTATCTATACTAGTATACTCATTCCACTAGCATGTAACATGTTCACGTAATCATTATAATGAGCTTTCTTCACTTCTTCACTTATCACTCAACCCAGCTCTCTCTTCCAGTGCTTTGGATTTGGAGGACTTAATTAATGATACACTCAATTAATATACCGTAGATTGGGGTAAAATCGCCGTGTCGGGAAACTTCGCCACTATTTTTCAAATAATCATTTTACTGTTTTGAATTGTTAGGAGATCGAGTTTTTGTATAGTATTGTGTTGAACAAATGGTTATAAAGGTATTCCTATTCAAAAATAAACGTTTACTATGTTAATTAAACTCAGGCAACATGAAATATTGCTATAAAGTGGCTAAAATTTCCTGCTTGCATATTTCCCATATTTTACAATTATATCCTTAATTAATTCTGTGTGACATCATTAGCATATGTCCTGTTCATTTAAGGGCAAATTTAGTTAGCCATGATGCACACAACTGATATTATAAAGTTTTCAAATTTGTGTGTGGCGAAGTTACCCTCTTCTGATCCCATCTGTTCGGCGAAGTTTGGCGCGAAATTCGCGCGCGGCTGGCAAAGTCACGCACGTGTATTGGCGAAGTTCGACTACATTTCTACTTCATCCCGGCGATGTTACCCGCAGCATGGCGATGTTACCCCGGCGACCAAATTGCCCATTGTAACACGCAGGCTAGAGCTAGATAAGTAAAATTGGCAAGTATATCAAGGAAATATAAAAGAGTTTCGAGTGGTATGGTGCTTAGCACCGAATATGGTATAGTTTCAGAATGGCGAAGTTACCCCATATTGCAGGGTAACTTCGCCCTGATTTCAGTGGCACCAATCTAGCTGACTATTTATGCCTGGCTGATGTGGTTCATACGAAAACATTTGCTTTACCAATCCTGTTCATATGAGCTATAAACTTTTTCAAGTACTCGTGTCGTATTTTCTAAATAACATGAAATAGCTGTAAAACATGGCGAAGTTCCCCCATTCTACGGTACTTGTTAATTGATCTTTGATGTAATTTCTATTCGGTCTATTATTTTAATTTTTCAGTAGCAATCATTTTATCTAGCTTATGCAACGGTTTAAATCGTCTCTTATCAGCTGTTTTATCAACTTTAACACAGCACCGTGCTGTACAGCCCGTTTGTTGTACAATTGACAATGGAATTCAACGTAGCAGATCTACACACACAAGAGGAAGCTTTGCATTCATCAGTGGAAAAAGTTTTAAAAGCTGTCAATACTGCAAATACTGCGAAGAACGCTGTCAATATTGAAAAATTTGAGGAACTGAATCATGCAGCACTCATGAAATGTAACAAGGACACGATGGCAAAACTCATTGAGAACTTAACCAAATCACTGATCAGTAACATTGTTTTATGCAAATCTGCAGCCGGTACCATCGATTATGTTAAGTCAGAACTGATAAAAGTGCAGAGAGAGCAGCTAAAATCTGTGCAGGAGACTGTTCAAACTGAGATTAAAACGGAGATGAAGACATGGAGCGAAATTGCCAGGAAAAACTGCGACAATAAAGCTCCAACTTTGAAGACAGTGAAGAAAGCAGTACAGTCTGCTGTTCAAGACGACGCTCGGAGCAGGAACTTCATCGTCCACGGAGTTCCGGAGGATTACTCCACGTGCCCCGCTGATTTAGCAGATGAAGTACTGGACAAGATTTTGCAACACAATAACCACTCTGATATTGTAGCTGCTAATCGTATCGGTGTGAAGAAACGGGAGGATGGTAGGCCGAGGCCAATCAAAGTGACTATGAATAGTAACGAATCAGTGAAAGAGGCTCTCTCGAGAGCAAGTCATTTGAAAAAGTCCCTCTGTACAACCTACCACAGCTGGTTCGTTGCTCCAGATAGAAACCGAGAGGAACAAGCAACACATAAAAAACTTGTAGCTCAATTAAAGGAGAAAATATCTGCTGAACCGTCGAAGTATCACTATATTAACGACGGAAAAGTTTTGAGTGTAGTGAATGCAAATAAGAGATAATTAACTCAGATTAATCTGTTATCTTCTTTGTTGATTTGTGTGCAATTGGGCTGAGTTTAAGAGTTTAGAATAAAGTGCGTGATTTCGCTGAATTTCAAATTTGGTATAGCAACTCGAAGTGCAGACTTTTTGAGATCTGATGAAGTATGGCCAACGGGATTGTTACTCATATAATTTCCCGTGATGATTTTTGGACCATACATTGCTGAATAGCAATCGTGAAGGAAGTCTCACCAGTAGGTTTTATTTAACTAGGCTAAGTTTTCATACGCATATTCTATAGACTATACATTTACTTACTATGATTTATTAAAGGTTAATTTCTGCCCGATGGGAGTGAGATATTGTTTGGTGTGTGAATTTTTTGATTTTATAAGTTGACTTGAAATCCCTTAAGGGTACCGGCAAAAAAAAAAGCTGGTTTCACAACAACAAATTAGTGCATGGAGTGAGTCATGTGTATTAAATTTCGTAATGAAGACAGCTTTCAATTCCCAATTGAATTTGTTTTAGTTCTTAGTACAATATTCTAAGAGATTTAAGAGATGCTTTGCCTTTAATAACTTCCTGGGTTGATGTTATACAGGTGCAGTGGGATGTGTAGAATAATTTTAAATTTGGGATAGACGTTGCGAAACTATGATCGACCGCCAAGCTTTTGTTATATTTGAATTTTGAAATAATAATAGTAATAAATTAAATTATAAACACTGCTTTTAAGTTGTAAAACTTTTACTCAGCAGTTTGAGAACAACTACAAAAGAACAAACTGATATGAGGGCCACAATAACTCTATCCTAAATTAACAGCCTTCCCAGCAATGAACGATATATTAATATAGCTCAGTAAATAGTACACACTATACAGTGGTATGGTACACAGGCACTTTCAATCATTTAGTAACCTGAAATGTTTAGCCAGTAAATTATTTTAATGTTATTTTTTACACACTGTTCCTCATGATGTGTGGTATATTAAAGCTTTACTACCGGGACTACTGTATTTTGTTTACTTGTTAATCCGACCGACTGCTTTAAACTTTTTTTAAAGTGTGTTGTCTTCAAATTAATTCTGAAACCCACTCAATCAATACGATGCTGCATTCCATGTTTACATTGTTCCTAATTACATTGTTATCTTCATCCATGATCACTACTAAGCTTAATGACATTGTTTGTAATTTAGTACTTCTTTTTCACTTGTTTACAAAAGAAATGACTCTGAATTTTTCAGCTCCAGTACCTTGGTCGAGTGAAATCGTTTCTGCTCAGATGTCCGCTGCCCCGCTGGAGTACTTCGTAATGTTGTTCTAATGATGAAAAAAGGTAGTACAAAATTTAAGATTGTAAATCTTTAGAATCATACTGTCTAGCGCCTAATCGTTCAAAATCTGGCGAGTAACTGAGATAATTAAAACCTGATTGAGATTTGAAAAGTTACTTACCATTGTACAGTCAAAAATTATATTTTTAATTTCAGCATAGTGATGAGAGTGGGCTATCAAAGTATCAATGTGTGGGATTTCTGCTGCTTTGTTACAGTCATCTGACTTTTTCATTTTTACTCGGTGACTTTCTGAGGAAAGAGTTCTGCTAAAAAAGATAAAAAAGATATGCACGCGAGAGATGTTTACTCTGAGATTATGCTGATGCCGGATGCATCACAAACACATATTATTCGAACTGCAAATCGGAGAATTTTTTCATAATCCTGAACTTAATTTAAAATCCTTACTTAAAATCAGTTCTCATCCAATACTTCACAGAGATTGCATCTAAGCGAGTAACAGGACGCTCGCAATATCTTATATATATATATTTTCTTGTGTTTGAAATCATTATATCTCAAGTTTGGCACATATAATTCTCCCAAACTCTTACACATTATCCGTCATATAGCCATGTAACTATCTGGAAAGTTTAAAGAAAATCTATCAGTCAGACCTTGAGAAAATCATTAGAAATATATTCTAAGTTATTCACAAAAACACTGTATTTTCGAATTTTTTAACTTTTTATTTTGAACAGATTTGTCGTTCTGGTACCAAAATGCTTTACCATAATAAACGTACGGCGCGAGAACATTTCCTCGTCCAAAGTCTGACAGTTAACAACATGCGTACGATTCCCTCAAGAGGGGAAATCGTAATCGCCACCGGCGATCACCCTGTAGTAATATCGCTAGCCAGTAAGGTTTTCTCGGCTATCTCATACCCAGAAAACTTTTCTGGGTATGAGATAGCCGAGAAGCTGCAAAAGGGGGGCCGGGGTGGTTGATGGCGAGTTATGCTTTGTCAAAGTGGATGCCTTTAAAAATGAAACCGAAAGTCTTTAAACTGTGCGTTGTATTGGTTTTATGTATAAGTATCGATTCGTATGACTTGTGACGAAATACCCAATTAGAGTTAGTACAAGCCAAACACAAGGATATCTCGTGTCACAGATCATATGCACCTGTTGCAGCCAGTCAGTGTGACATTAAGTAACCGGTGAGCCACACTTCTTGACAATTTTTTTTAGAATAACGACCCAATCATAAGGTAAAAAGTGTAAGCTGTATTTTAAGGGCTAATCTCAGTCCATCTAAGTCGTAAGTTTGGAGGAATAATACGGCTAATTTTGCGATTCTAATTTAAAGTCTTGAACCAAAATACCCTTGTTATGATTGTTACTAACGATGTTACTTATCTTAGCATGGAGCTTTAGCTCACTCTTATTACAAAGGTAAGAGCAAGTCATTTCATTGGTGACTGAAGTGAATACGAACGACGCTATGGATGAACAGATGAAAGAGGTACAGGCCAGCTTGGCTTTGTTGATGAAGAACAACAAGGAAATGTCGGAAAAGATCGCAGCCCTGGAAGTAGAGAACCGGGAGATCAAGAAGAATGCTGGCAATGTTCAGGAGCGGATCCAGGAGAATAAAGCGAAGTGGGAGGAAATGAACAAGGAAGCAGTAGAGTTGCTCCAGCGGATGACATTGGCCCAAGAGGACTTGGCGAATGACAATGTCGAGGCGGAGTACTTTCAGAAGAGTTGCGCAGAAACAGTACTAGCCTGTACAACGCTGACGGGCAGTTATGGCGGAGAAATGGCCCAAGGAAGCATCAAGGTGAAACAGGAGCCAGTAGAGGAAGAAGTACTGGGGACGCCGTACGACGCGATGGGAAAGGAAGAGAGGATAGACCTATCTTTCGGACACGACGGGGACTACTCTGCAGTTTCAATGAGAAGGTTCATCGAGAGATATAAAGTGGTCAAAGAGCTGAACATGCGGGCACGACTGAGAGGATGGGACTCCCCATCCTACAGGGCTGGGAAGCTGACGCTTTGTCTGCAAGGGGAAGCATTTGACTACGTGAGTTTTGCGAGCTCCATGCTGAATCCGTGGACAAGTAACGACGAATTACTTGTAAGTAAGTTGAAGGATAAATTCACGAATGTACAGGCAATCGAACTGAACATTCTTGGGTTTGAGAAGAGTATCCAGGAGCCCAGGGAGACAATCAGTGACTACATGACCCGACTGCAAATGACGGTGAAAGAGGCATACGACGGAGATAGCCAATTAGACCTCGACAGAAGGGTAGCATGGAAGTTTGTAAGTGGATTGGGGGACGAGAGGATCAAGCGGAAGCTGCTAGAGGGTGGCTGGATGAAATCACGGCAAGAGGCGAAACCCCTGGAGGACCTCCTGAAGGTAGCGGATATAGCAAAGAAGACGGACGACGCAGTAAAAGCCATGGGTAAGGAGACCGGCAGCATCAACGCAGCACAAGAATATTCGGTTAGCGCGTGGGAGCAGAAGTCATCGTCACATGCTGGAGACAGGAGGAAGCAATCGTCCGGTGAGTCAGGCCGGTCAAACAGGAGCAACAGTTCGAGAGGAAGTGGTGAATCATCAGACGGGCTACCACTAGAATTCCTTGAATGTTTCTACTGTAAAAAGAAACACCGAGGGGGATGGTTTCACTGCGCAGTGCGAAAGAAGGAGGACCCTACGTGGAGACCGGCAAGAAGAGGTGACAAGGCTGGAAGAGGAAGGGGTACGGATTTTCGGTAGAGCCCCCTATAGACGGGCAGAATGATGGGGGCGGGGAGAATACTGGAGAGCAACCTAGCAGCAGAGAAGGGGAGGAGCATGACGTGAAACCTTGGGCATGTGCCAGAGCCCAGTTTCGGGTCATTACTCCTGAAAAGGGTGGTAAAGGACGGCGGAAGCAGTTACAACAGATGAAGGGGATCGCTTCAGAGGGTCTGAACTCGACACCATATATTAGGATTAAGTGGGAGAATGGAGTTGAGGAAACTGCACTGTTCGATACAGGGGCCCAGTGGTCATTAATATGTGAAGACTTACTTACAGAACAGGAGAAGGCCACAATGGAGAAATCGGCGTTATGTGGGAGAGGAGTATCCGGCGAAAGAATACCTGTCACGGGAGAGATACGAAGAACTGTCTCTGTGGGTGGACTGACTTTTGCCCACCAGCGATTCATTGTGGTTGAGAAGATGATCTGCTCGATGATATTGGGGATAGATTTCTGGTCTAGGATAGCCAACATATCATTTGACTTCAACAAGAGTGTGATGACTATCAATGGTAACAGTGAAGAGATAGAGTTGCTATGCCACCCAGCCGCAGGCAGGAGCAGCGTCGCAGGGACCATTGAGGAGGAGAACTCAGTGGAAGTGGTAGTGGATGCCGAACGTAAGATCCCTACCAGGAGTGAGGCGTTAGTGACATGTTACATCCCCAACATGGAGATGGGTAAGGAGTATATGGTTCAACCAATAACGTTTGACGATAAGCTAGTAAGCACACCTTACGGGATTGTTCAGGGAACAAAGAGCGGTAAGGTACAGATCAGGGTAGCAAATCTAGGAGAGGAAGAGGTGACACTGGCAGAAGGGGATCCCATTGCTACAGTTGAACTCGGGACCGTATGGGTATCGAACCACAATGCGGGTAAAGCGTTCACCAGGGCTACAAAGAAAGGCAAAGCAACGGAATTGAGCGAGTTGGTGTGCAGTGAGCTGGAGCCGAGCAAGAGGGGTCAATTAATAGGACTTCTAAACAGATATGAAGGTGTGTTCTATAAGGGAGGAGAGCTGCCTATTGTTAGAGTGGGTGTGGAGCACACCATAAGGCTGAAAGAGGACAGCTCACCAGTAGTGAGCAAGCCGAGGAGGTTGTCAAAAGAGTTAGCCGATGAAGTCCGGGAACACGTCGATGAGCTACTCAAACAAGGAGTAGTCAGGGAATCTAACAGCCAATGGGCATCACCCATAGTGTGTGCACGCAAGAAAGACGGGAGCCTGAGGATGGCGATTGATTATCGGATAACCAATGAGAAATCAAATACAGCGACTTTACATCCAATACCACTCATTGACGATCTTTTGGACAGGCTGGGGAAGGCTAAGTACTTTGCAGTCCTTGATGCAAAGTCGGGATACCACCAGTTACCACTACGAAAGGAAGATTCGGAGACAACGGCATTTGTAGTACCATGGGGGCATTATGAGTTTGCAGGAAGAACCCCGTTTGGTTTGAAAGGTGCAGGATATTCGTTCCAAAGGATGATGTCAGTGATCTTGGGGAGTTCAAACTTCGTCGATGCACTGTGCTATTTGGACGACATCCTAGTCTGGGGGGAAACTTGGGAGGTATTCATGAAACGGCTCAAGAAGGTGCTGGAAAAGGTGAAGGATGCAGGCCTGGCCTTGGCATCGAAGAAGTGCCAGTTTGGAGTCAGGGAGGTCAGTTACTTGGGATGCACCATCAAAGAAGGCATGGTGAAGATAAACGAACAGAGAGTGCAGCAACTGAGGAGCATAGAGCGCCCTCATAATGTACGAGAGCTTAGAAGGGCTTTAGGTGCGTTTGGCTACGTGCAAAGGTGGCTACCAGGATTGTCACAGATTGCCAGGCCATTGTATAATGCGATCACGGACCAGCCGTATGCCCGGCTGAAGTGGACGGAGGAAATGAATGAATCATTTTCAACAATAAAGAAATTGATTGCGGACGCAGTGTCGTTGAGTTTGCCCGACATGGATAAGCCATTCACCTTAGTAACAGACTGTAGTCAAATGGCAGCAGGAGCCATGCTGGCACAGAGGTGCATGGAAGCACCGGATACCCTGAAGCCTGTGGCATTCTACCACCACGCGTTATCCAAAGCAGAACAGGGATACTCAGCTACCGAGAAGGAGTTGTTGGCGATGGTTAAGGCGGTAGTGAAGTTCAGAGTGTATCTAGGCAAGCAGTTCAACCTTATTACGGACCACCAAGCACTGAGTTGGCTTCGTTCACTTGAACCGGAGAATGAGACGGGGAGAAGGGGACGTTGGTTAGACCTGATTCAGCAGTTTGACATGAAAGTCACTCATAAGAAAGGGAAAAGCCCAGAGATGAGAATAGCTGATTACCTTTCACGGGTCAAATGTGACGGAAATGTAGCTGTAAAAGACCGTAGTGAAGTGTTTGTCGTGATGACCGCTGGAGGCGAGGAGGCGATAACTGTCAGTCGAGAACAGATCCTAAGCGAGCAGAGCAATGACGCAGCAGTACAAACGATGCGTAAGGCGGTTTTGAAAGGAACAGATCTGAACCCCGGGAATAGCGAATCAGAATCGTGGAGGAAGCCCAGCGGGAGCAACGATGAGGAAGTCAAAGCGATGTGGAAGCATAGGGATAGGATTTTCATCGACTCAGAGGGGATATTAAGATTACGGTTCAACGGGGGAAAGAAGCGGGAAAGCAACCCTTTCGGAACAGTGGAAAAGAACAGGATAATAGTTCCTAAGACGTACAGGGACAAGATTATGAATCTTGTTCATAGGAGTGCTACAGCGGCTCATATGGGGAACACACGCACCTGGAAGAGGGCACGAGATAACTTTTGGTGGCCGAACATGAGGCAAGACATAGAACAATACGTTCAGGCATGTGAAGAGTGTGGTCTGAACAAACACGTTAACAACCCGAATAAGGCGCCAGTGTCCAAGACGAGTATACCCGGAAAACCTCTGGAGGAGATGATGCTTGATTTTCTTGGTCCATTCCAAACAGCGAGGGAGCATCCATACAGGTACGTCCTCCAAATGCAAGATGTGTTTAGTCGATTCATAATCTTTGTACCGAGCATTGATGCAAGAGCAAAAACGGCAGCAGATGCAGTGGTCGAAAGATGGATAAGTCTTTTCGGGATCCCGGAAAAGATGAGATCGGATAGAGGTCCACATTTTATTGCAGAGGTGTTCGAGGAACTGTGTAAAAGAGTGGGTATCAGACACAAGTTGGGTTCACCGGGACACCCCCAGAGCCAGGGGCAAGTAGAGAGGCAGAACCAGTTAATGAACCAGATCAGATGCCTTTGCGAGAACGATGGGGAGAAGTGGCCGGAGGCCTTATACCTGGTACAAGGGAGCCACAACAACTCGATCAACGCTACAACAGGTTTTACTCCAGCTAGGCTTTTGTTTGGCAGGGATTTTAACCGACCAGACGACATGATTGCTCAGGAGAGGGATAAGGTGAAGACGCCTGGAACAACTGTATTGGAGGAGAGGGACGAAGAATGCAGACTGTTGACTGAGCAAGCACGAACAAACCTGGTCGAATATCAAGAGGAGAGAGTGGAATCAGCAGAGAAAGAAGGACCCTGCAAAACCCCGTACGAAGTAGGCGACTTGGTGCGTTATAGGCTCACGGACGAAGCAAGGAGCAATAAAGGCGGGAAGACATCCCCCCGCTACTCGGAGCCGTACAGGATAACAGTGATCAAGGGTGACGGATATACTTACACGATGGAGCCAGTGGATAAGGACAGTAGAGGCACGCGTAAAGATAGACGGTTCAACTACTTGAAAACGCACAAGAGAGTAGTGAGCAGTGAGGTGGCTCCGGAGCCGGACAGCCCTACGATGACACAACCCCAGCGAGATGAACTACACCCTCAAGTGAACGACGGTGTTCCAGAGGTCATGGAACAGTCCCCGGTAGCTCCACCTGATGCGGCGCTAACCGTTCGGAGATCCGGGAGGACTAGGAATCCAGTGAGGTTACTGCAGGCGGACGGGAAGAAGAAGCGGTACGAAGATGCAGAGGCCAGCGGACAACCAGACGCAGATGAGGATTGATGGAATTTGGGGTATTTCAGAGGGTAATAGGACATTTGGGACATGATAGAAATGATACAAATATGTTATACTATTTATCATGACTATTGGATTAATATGATACATAACGATATTATATTATACATGACAGTCAGTTCATGACCGTCATTTTGTTATAACGCGAGGAACGGACATTATTATTATCATGAGGGACATTATTTACATGATTAATAATATATTATTGACAATGAGAATCTTGTTATAACGTGATGAACAGACATTATTATTATCATGAGGGACGTTATTTACATGATTAATAATATTTTATTGACGATAAGAATCTTATTATAACGTGATGAACGGACACTATTATTATCATGAGGGACATTATTTACATGAATAATAATATTTTATCACGTTGGACTTTTACCCCAATGTCAATATCCAGCTTATTGATTGGGAAGGATGTAAAGGATACGCAGATAGATAACGATTCAAATAAGTATCATTTGGAAAGACGTCTAGTAACATACATTGGAAGATAACGTGGAATCTGAGATATGAGGAGTGTTATGATTGTTACTAACGATGTTACTTATCTTAGCATGGAGCTTTAGCTCACTCTTATTACAAAGGTAAGAGCAAGTCATTTCACCCTGCTACGCGTCAACTGGGCCCAAGAAACCTTACTGGTAGGGGCCTAACTTTGGAAGTAAAAGAGATAGAAACGTCTGGTTTTCAACAAAATGTTCGCCTTGTAAAAATAACGTTTCCCCTCAGGGGGAAAATTAAAAACAACGTAGATTTTGAATTATCGCGAAAAGTCATATTTTAGGCCTTATAAAACTGCGCAGCTATAACTTTGCAGATTGTTGTTCTCTGATTGGCTGAATCGTATCACGTGGTACGCTGTACAATTGCATCTTTGGAATGTTTGAAGCGTGCAAATGCAATTCAATGAACTTACGAGCGCGCGCGGAGCTCAACAAGCTTTGAAAAGGCGATCACCCTGTAGTAATATCGCTAGCCAGTAAGTTTTTCTGGGTATACACCACATCTCCGCAAGCAATCCGTGCGCGCGTGCGCGCGGCAAGTTGACATGGTAACGAACGGAAGTAAGTAAGTAAGTAAGTAGGAGGTGCACGATAAAAATAAACTTGCTCGGATTTTAAAAATTTTTGTACCATTGTTTTCTAGAGACTGTGAGAATTTTCACAATACCAAATTTGTCATATCTTTTTTGGAAAGATCAGTGAGTTTCGCCTAGGTGCCATATTTGATGGTGCGCGGCTTTTGGAGCAAAATTAGCTGTAAAAGTCGCGTAATTTGACCAAATTTGACCAAATTCGTTGATTTTTGTCGTATTATTTGGATTTATCTTCGGTTCTTTGAATGAGATCATTCTGAAAATTGGCGACGACCTTCCAATAGGGCTTTCACAACTGTCCGAAAAATTTGGTGGATATCGGAGTTGATATAGTGATGAAAATGGGGCAAAATGCGCTGCTTTTAGCTGTAACATAATTTCTGATGGTTGGATATGCTTTAAATTTTTCGGACACTTTCCTTGTAAGTCAATGAGTAAGCTAACCAATTTTTGTTGCAATCGGAGGTCGGGAAGTATACTGAATATCTATTTGTTTGAAGAAAATTGTGCTGGCCGAAATTAGCGCTAAAAAACCATCCTACAGTCGGCACGCGCGGCTCACTGTCGATGGCGCACTACCTAAAGTAAGCAAGGAACACGACATATATTTGACCCACCTATACTAATGCAATCCCAAGAATCCACGTTTTTCTGCAAAAATGTCCATTCGTAACCTTTCACTATTGCCTTTTTACAAAAGGGTGAAAAGAAAAAAATCGACTTCCTAGAATAAGGTTGAAATGCGATTTAGAATCGATTCCGAAAATTTCATGCAAAAATTTTGAAAACTGATTGAGTTATTTCCAAATTGATGAAATCAATTCCTCGAATATCACGAACAAAAATATAATACGGGCAATTTTGTTTATTTTTTTGGGGTATTTTCGCCTTAGTAATAGTAATAGTATCCACATTTAAACAGATATAAAGCTATAACTGACAGAGAATATGTGTTTTAGGCCTACCTTTCATATAAAGTTAGTCTCATCCAAAAATATTGATACTTGACTAATTTATGGGACGAAATCTACCAAATTTAGTGCGTATGCCCAAATATGGGCATATGGTTTTTGGCTCATAACTCAGTCATTTTTTGTCCAATCTTGATGAAATTTCATATACGAGTTCAGGAGACCACTAGCTACAAGTAGAAGCACCATGAACCTGGGTTTTGGGCATATTCAGGGTATTTGGCTAAATTGGCCTAATTTGGACCAAATATGGGCGTGGCCGCCCCGCGGGCACAGTTTGGCGGTTGGGGTCCGGGACCCCCACAAAAGTTCGGTCACTGGTCCCCCGCCCCCCCCCCCCCCCCTTAAAGAATGATCTGTGTTTCTTATCAGTCACTTTGTTGAATTTCTGTTATTAATGTAGCCTAGACTTAGACCGTTCCAGGTAGACCTTCGTTGATAAAGTAGTTTTTAATTTTCACCTCTGGTTGCGGAGTTTTTCATTATCGAGTTTCAATTATTGAGCCGACCTTATTACGTAAATGTGGCACTGTGACACTTGTGGCACTAACATGTGGCACTTGCGACACTCACATGTGGCACTTGTGGCACTATCATATGTAGCATGTGGCACTTGCGGCACTCACATGTGGCACTTGTGGCACTATCATATGTAGCATGTGGCACTTGTGGCACTCACATGTGGCACTTGTGGCACTATCATATGTAGCATGTGGCACTTGCGGCACTTTAATTTTGGTGGTAAGATATTTATATATGTAGCATGTGCCACGAGTGCCACAGTGCCACATTTACGTTATAAGGTTGTCTGCAGATAGGAGACTGATTATTACGAGGATGAAATTGGTCGCTCGATTTTCTCATTCATTCACGGCTTACGAATTGTAATAAGTTTCGATTAATTAAATCAATCACATGCTGTAAAAATCTCTTTGGGTTGCGTTCGGGTCGACACCTAGTATTTCGGGATAAGGGTGGTAGTTAGTGAATTAGCTGACGCGTTTATTGAGTAAGAGTCATTTCATAAAACCGAATGCAATAAACGCAATCATATATAAAAATACGTTTGACCAACATAAAAGTATTCATAATAAATATAAGTAATATAAGTACTAAATTCTCCGAATTTGTATCAAATAGGTAAATGTGCAGTATTTTAATTGTGATACTTCAGGTCTAAAGCTAAAGTCGGCAGTCGCAGAGTTAACCCCCACAAAGGTTACACAAGGAGAAACACTTTATGGCAACGAGGAACAATTTGCAGCAACACATGCAATCGATAAAGACCTCTCAACTATGGCAGCTACAAAGGCTGATAACGGAGCAGGCTGGATAAAGTTAGAGTTTGATGGAACCTACTTTATCCACAAGGTCCTTATCTACCACCAATTTTATACCAACTGGTACCAAAACCGTCCTGAAAGTCAATGGTGTGCAGAGAAAGAAGCTCAGTTTAAGATGTGTGTGGATGGTCATAACGAAGTAGATGTGTCAGTGTACCAAGGAGAGGTAAAACAGAGCTCCTGCAGGACACTCCAACTAACATACGGACTAGAGCAGGCAGACCAGATCTACACACTGATTTGTGACACTGACGGGGACACTGTAAAGCTCAGCAAGAGTATAGGGAACATAAATGTAGCCGAAGTTGTTGTAACAGGTGAATTGTATTAAAGAGAAACAAATTTGACCAAAACCCATAATCATGGGTAGAGTGGACCGCTGCCAGTGTCTCTCTTTCCCAACCAAAAGGAAATGATATTAATTTGATTGACCGCGTCTGCAAAATATGCAAAATGATACGAGGATGAAATTGGTCGCTCGATTTTCTCATTCATTCACGGCTTACGAATTGTAATAAGTTTCGATTAATTAAATCAATCACATGCTGTAAAAATCTCTTTGGGTTGCGTTCGGGTCGACACCTAGTATTTCGGGATAAGAGTGGTAGTTAGTGAATTAGCTGACGTTTATTGAGTGAGAGTCATTTCATAAAACCGTATGCAATAAACGCAATCATATATAAAATACGTTTGACCAACATAAAAGTATTCATAATAAATATAAGTAATATAAGTACTAAATTCTCCGAATTTGTATCAAATAGGTAAATGTGCAGTATTTTAATTGTGATACTTCAGGTCTAAAGCTAAAGTCGGCAGTCGCAGAGTTAACCCCCACAAAGGTTACACAAGGAGAAACACTTTATGGCAACGAGGAACAATTTGCAGCAACACATGCAATCGATAAAGACCTCTCAACTATGGCAGCTACAAAGGCTGATAACGGAGCAGGCTGGATAAAGTTAGAGTTTGATGGAACCTACTTTATCCACAAGGTCCTTATCTACCACCAATTTTATACCAACTGGTACCAAAACCGTCCTGAAAGTCAATGGTGTGCAGAGAAAGAAGCTCAGTTTAAGATGTGTGTGGATGGTCATAACGAAGTAGATGTGTCAGTGTACCAAGGAGAGGTAAAACAGAGCTCCTGCAGGACACTCCAACTAACATACGGACTAGAGCAGGCAGACCAGATCTACACACTGATTTGTGACACTGACGGGGACACTGTAAAGCTCAGCAAGAGTATAGGGAACATAAATGTAGCCGAAGTTGTTGTAACAGGTGAATTGTATTAAAGAGAAACAAATTTGACCAAAACCCATAATCATGGGTAGAGTGGACCGCTGCCAGTGTCTCTCTTTCCCAACCAAAAGGAAATGATATTAATTTGATTGACCGCGTCTGCAAAATATGCAAAATGATACGAGGATGAAATTGGTCGCTCGATTTTCTCATTCATTCACGGCTTACGAATTGTAATAAGTTTCGATTAATTAAATCAATCACATGCTGTAAAAATCTCTTTGGGTTGCGTTCGGGTCGACACCTAGTATTTCGGGATAAGAGTGGTAGTTAGTGAATTAGCTGACGTTTATTGAGTGAGAGTCATTTCATAAAACCGTATGCAATAAACGCAATCATATATAAAATACGTTTGACCAACATAAAAGTATTCATAATAAATATAAGTAATATAAGTACTAAATTCTCCGAATTTGTATCAAATAGGTAAATGTGCAGTATTTTAATTGTGATACTTCAGGTCTAAAGCTAAAGTCGGCAGTCGCAGAGTTAACCCCCACAAAGGTTACACAAGGAGAAACACTTTATGGCAACGAGGAACAATTTGCAGCAACACATGCAATCGATAAAGACCTCTCAACTATGGCAGCTACAAAGGCTGATAACGGAGCAGGCTGGATAAAGTTAGAGTTTGATGGAACCTACTTTATCCACAAGGTCCTTATCTACCACCAATTTTATACCAACTGGTACCAAAACCGTCCTGAAAGTCAATGGTGTGCAGAGAAAGAAGCTCAGTCTAAGATGTGTGTGGATGGTCATAACAAAGTAGATGTGTCAGTGTACCAGGGAGAGGTAAAACAGAGCTCCTGCGGGACACTCCAACTAACATACGGACTAGAGCAGGCAGACCAGATCTACACACTGATTTGTGACACTGACGGGGACACTGTAAAGCTCAGCAAGAGTATAGGGAACATAAATGTAGCCGAAGTTGTTGTAACAGGTGAATTGTATTAAAGAGAAACAAATTTGACCAAAACCCATAATCATGGGTAGAGTGGACCGCTGCCAGTGTCTCTCTTTCCCAACCAAAAGGAAATGATATTAATTTGATTGACCGCGTCTGCAAAATATGCAAAATGATACGAGGATGAAATTGGTCGCTCGATTTTCTCATTCATTCACGGCTTACGAATTGTAATAAGTTTCGATTAATTAAATCAATCACATGCTGTAAAAATCTCTTTGGGTTGCGTTCGGGTCGACACCTAGTATTTCGGGATAAGAGTGGTAGTTAGTGAATTAGCTGACGTTTATTGAGTGAGAGTCATTTCATAAAACCGTATGCAATAAACGCAATCATATATAAAATACGTTTGACCAACATAAAAGTATTCATAATAAATATAAGTAATATAAGTACTAAATTCTCCGAATTTGTATCAAATAGGTAAATGTGCAGTATTTTAATTGTGATACTTCAGGTCTAAAGCTAAAGTCGGCAGTCGCAGAGTTAACCCCCACAAAGGTTACACAAGGAGAAACACTTTATGGCAACGAGGAACAATTTGCAGCAACACATGCAATCGATAAAGACCTCTCAACTATGGCAGCTACAAAGGCTGATAACGGAGCAGGCTGGATAAAGTTAGAGTTTGATGGAACCTACTTTATCCACAAGGTCCTTATCTACCACCAATTTTATACCAACTGGTACCAAAACCGTCCTGAAAGTCAATGGTGTGCAGAGAAAGAAGCTCAGTTTAAGATGTGTGTGGATGGTCATAACGAAGTAGATGTGTCAGTGTACCAAGGAGAGGTAAAACAGAGCTCCTGCAGGACACTCCAACTAACATACGGACTAGAGCAGGCAGACCAGATCTACACACTGATTTGTGACACTGACGGGGACACTGTAAAGCTCAGCAAGAGTATAGGGAACATAAATGTAGCCGAAGTTGTTGTAACAGGTGAATTGTATTAAAGAGAAACAAATTTGACCAAAACCCATAATCATGGGTAGAGTGGACCGCTGCTGCAGTGTCTCTCTTTCCCAACCTAAAGGAAATGATATTAATTTGGTTGACCTTCTGCAAAATATGCAAAATGATACGAGAATGAAATCGGTCGCTCGCTTTTCCCATACTAATTTTATAATAATTTTATAATAATCCATACTTCTATATTCTTTAAATATAATTACAAACATCAACTAATCCCCCAGGAGCGGAATGTGAGAAAGGGAAGGCACGTTGTGCGGATGGAGTGCAATGTATTGAGGACAATTCTTTTTGTGATGGTTCAGCAGATTGTGAAGATGGTTCAGATGAAGATAATTGCCCAGGTTGAGTATTGATAAACTTACTTGTAAATTTTACCCTAAAACCTAAAATTCTGAAATAACATCTTACAGCTATTATAATAGTCCGATATAGCTCCCGCCATCTCATAATACCAAATGCAATAAACGCAATCATATATAAATCTACGTTTGACCAACATAAAAGTATTCATAATAAATATAAGTAATACTAATATAAGTACTAAATTCCCCGAATTTGTATCAATAAAAGGGTTCGCAACCGATATTATCGGCGATAATTTGTGAAAAAGTCATTATCGGTTATCGGCGATAATTTCTAACCGTCTAACCGTATTAAACCAATGATTAGGATGGCGTGTAGTTCGTGATGGACTCGCATGGTGGCTGCAACCAGACTATCTACCCCTACGCGAAAGATCGCTGTAGAACTGGTCACCGTAATCCTTGTTACCAATTGCTCTTCTCGGCTTTGCTACTTGGAATGATCGAGGTTTGACGAAGACAGACAAGCAGTGCTTGCTTGCTAACGACTGTGACAGGTATGACTTGGACATTATAGGGATTTAAGAGACTAAAATTTGTCAGTTTGAGGATAAGAAACTACCAGGAAATCATCGCCTCTTTTTGTTTGATCAGAAGACAGGACGTCTGACGTCATGGTGGACGGGTTTCTTAATCAACGCTCGTGTCAATCATTATTTCCGTTCATTTCATGAGATCAGTGATCGAGTTGCTTCTTTTGATTGGTCGGCGTCGACAGTAAGACTTCGTTACGGTGGCTTTCACAACGCGTCCCCATTCTCCAACTCCTGCTGCCGGAGAGAGAGACTCCCAAATTATATACCATAAATATATTAAATATAGATATCGACAACAGACTCCGAGAGTCTTGAAGTTCTGTTACCACCGCCCCTGGTGCAACCCCGCCGGGTTAACGACGGAGAGACAGGGACTTCCAGGAGAGGTCATGGCCTGCTACGTGCAACTCGTATGAGTATGCAATGTTCCTGTAACGTCACTCTGTCACTGTAGACCGCTCCTCTATCGTTGTTTTGAGTGTCCGATCCAAAACCGATCCAAAACCGAGACGTGGAAGCCTGTGAGCGTGTTAGAGTCTGTTAAGTGTTAAAGTCCTAGGGTTACACGAGACGTGGTAGCCTGTGAGCGTGTTAAATCCTAGGGTTACACGAGACGTGGTAGCCTGTGAGCGTGTTAAATCCTGGGGTTACACGAGACGTGGTAGTCTGTGAGCGTGTAGACCGCTCCTCTATCGTAGTTTTGAGTGTCCGATCCAAAACCAAATCCAGGGGTTACACGTCATGTGGGAGCCTGTGAGCGTGTTAGTTTCCTGCGGAAGGTGTTATTTGCCTGTGGGAAAAGCGGTTATGCTGCGGTTCTAAGGTTAGTAAAGGCTATTAGAGCCTTTCCTTTGTTGTAGAGATGGCTAGTCCCTTCCTTTGCATAGGTTAGAAACACCCATGCACCTCCCGTTCGAGCCACCCACCCCACACCGCGTGGAGGTTCGGTGAGGTTTTTCGTGGGGCATGATCGAGTTGCTTTCATGGACTTTTTTATTCCATCCAAGTTTGTTAACAAACCACCATGCAAAATGCGAATCGTGAACTGTTACAGTCCAACCAACCCAAAAACTTTATCAAATCCGGCTGCTACTGACCAGTTTTACTGTGAGCTTCAGGAAGCAATTATAATGTGCCTGCAAGACATGAAATCTGGATCCTAGGAGATTTCGATGCCAAACTTGGCAAAAGGTCTGATCATGACTTTCAAAATGGCCTTCATAAGAACATTGGAAGGCATGGCGTTGGAAGACGAAATGAAAATGGTGAGAGATTATTGGACTTTCTTGTTTCTAATGGTTTGTTTGCTGCAAACACTGCATTTTGTCATTCCAGTCGTCATATAACCACAAGAAATGGTTGGGTGAAAGACAAGAAGACCAAAAGAAGTTCCCCTTATTTTTCTCAGATTGATTATGTATTTATATGCCGGTCACGCAGCACTGTTTTTCTCAATGATGCAAGGGCCTATGGCCTATGCAGGAGCTAAACTACATTCTGATCATAAGATTGTAAAAGCTACCATAGACCTGAGGCAGCAAACTAAGTTATACCGAAACAGAACATCAGCTGCTAAAAGGTACAACACGACATCTCTGGTTTGTAACAAGGAACTACAAGATCAGTACCAGCAAACTGTCACTCAGCAAATTGACAGTCTTCCTCCTTCCGCTGACACTAAGACAGGATTCGAACAGCTGTTTGAAACTATCAAGTCTTCAGCCTCTAACACTGTGGGTGTCAAGAAGAAAACCCAAAGACATCATCATTCATCAGATCAGCATGTATGCAATATGTCTGACGAGAAACACAAACTTTTACAAGAACTCAACGACAATTCAGTTAGAGACAGGACAGTATTGAGAAAGCGTATCAATAAACTCAAGAACGATATCAATAAACGTCTTAAAGATCTAGAGACAGCTCTAGCCAACCAACTAGCTGACACCATCAATGCTGCAGATGACACGAAGAGGATGTTCGAGGCTACCAGAGCTCTTGCTGCCAACAAAGAGTCAGAGCCAATATCTGTCTTAAACTCTGAAAATCAGCTAGTTGCAAGTGACGATGAGAAAGCAAGTATCATTAGAGAGTGGTTTAAAAATCACTACACCAGCTCAGACCCTCCTTTGGTACCTTTCACTGGACCCCCACGTCCTCTGAATACTCCTATAACTTCCTTAGAAGTCCAATATGCTGCTTCAAAGTTGAAAAATGGGAAAGCAGTAGGTCCTGATGAGATTCCTAACGAGCTGCTGAAGTACGCACCACCTGTATTCTTCCAGCAATATGCATGTCTCATTAATCGATCATTTGAAGTACATGAGCATGTACCCTCTTTTACAGAAGGGTTTCTAACCCCTCTTCAGAAGCCAGGGCAACCAAAAGGACCTCTAAAGAGCCTCAGATCACCTCTTTGCCTTCTGGATGGAACTAGGAAACTGCTCTCCTTGATTACTCTACAGTCTACACAGAATTCAAAGACAAATTGCAGAGTACACAGGACCATGGCAAAATGCCTACAAGGCTGGTCATAGTTGTGCCAATATTGTCTGGACTCAACGAATTCTGATTTCTGTTGTGAAAGAGAAGAGATGGGAGTTCCACAAGATGGGAATCTACATGAGCTCGGCCTTCGATACCATCAAGAGATCAGTTATGTCACAATATCTTTAGATCAGTGTCTATGATAATGAAAGTTGTGTAAAAACAACAAAATTTGTTGATCATATTCATATCACAGGTGATCTTCCTCAAATGGGTTATCGTGCAATAAATATTCCATGCTTTAAGCATCATACCAGTAATACATGCTTTTTAATAACAATTTTGTAATCGACCACCTCGGTCCTGCATTTCAGTGTAAACTTTACAAGATGTGGAGGTAAATAATACCTCCGAAGATGTGAACGGTTGATATGATTACGGACCAATTGATATATAACACAGTTTTTCAACTTAGTTGATGGAGGATTGAGTGCGTTTGGAGAATGGTCAGAGTGCTCAACTTCTTGTGGAGGAGGACAACAGACCAGGGAAAGAAGCTGTAATAACCCAGCCCCAGATAATGGTGGTGCTGATTGTGAGGGAAGTTTGACAGAGGCGCAAAACTGCAACTCCGGTCCTTGTCCAGGTTCGTTTAATAACCCAAAAGTGACTACCCACACGCAACCTCTTAATAACTCACGTAATTCGTCTCCAAATTGCACCAAAATTTCAGAGATTATAGATATGGGTCAAACTTAGATTACCTGAAAGTTTCGTAAGCCACGCCTAATTACAGTGGGCGTGGCGTGACAATGCCTCTTTTTCACTATTGTCTTCATAAAATGAGAACGCTTTAAGCTAAGAACTCAAAACTTTTTGCAGACATTTGGCTTGATAATTTAAAACCTTTCCCAAAGTTTCAAGTTCATTGTTCAAAATTTGGCTGAGTTATGACCATTTCAAAATCCATCGGATACGTGATCCGAGCACTCAGTCAGTGATCTCTGCACTCAATCAGTGATCTCGTTACCCAATCTGATCAAGAGTAAGGCGTTAGCGTGTATTAATGAGGTTCATTAGGCTTTACCTAACATACTGAGGAGATGAAGATTTGATCATGATTGATTGGATACCGATAAAGATGTTTTCTTCGGTCCATTGTCCAAGTTCCATTTTTTGCATTTATAGTAAGTTTTCAGTTCTTCAAGTCTTTTAAGTAGACTTATCAGGTCTTTAGGATGTTCTTAGTAACTACTTTGGATTTGTGTAAAGTTTGATAATAATAATAAACCAATGATGACAACATTTGTTTCTTCAAAAATCATTCCCAAAAAGTTCGAAATTCCGTAAAATCATCGATCAAATTTAGCGTTATTGGACCTCTACAGCTAACCACCTTGACCTAATTCTAACCGTCCACTTTAAATCTTGATATACCTTATCGGACCATATTTGACCGGACATTAAATGAACGGACATAATTAATATTATAAACGGACATTAAAATGAACACTCGAAGGTTGTAGCGCGATGCACTACTCATGGGTCGCACCGAGCTAGGAAGGGTTGACATCGTCAATCAAGCTCGAAGGCATTCAAAACTTAACGGGTGATACTCGTAAAATATTTGTTTCAAATATTACCGGACCGTCGACGAGTCCAACTCGGCGCGCGTCCTGGTACGTAGGTTATAAACCTACAATTCAAAACAATCAAAAATCCAATATTTTCTATCTTTTTTTTTGCATTTTTAGCAGATAATTTGTAAATTAATTTTTCGTACAATAATTATTAGCAAAAAAGGCAGTCGTTAAGCAGTAAAAATGTCAAAATATCTTTAGATCAGTGTCTATGATAATGAAAGTTGTGTAAAAGCTAAAAACAACAAATACGAAATTTGATGATCATATTCATATCACAGGTGATCTTCCTCAAATGGGTTATCGTGCAATAGATATTCCATGCTTTAAGCATCATACCAGTAAATACATGCTTTTTAAAAACAATTTTGTAATCGACCACCTCGGTCCTGCATTTCAGTGTAAAAACTTTACAAGATCAAAGATGTGGAGATAAATAATACCTCCGAAGATGTGAACGGTCGATTACGGACCAATTGATATATAACACAGTTTTTCAACTTTATAGTTGATGGAGGATTGAGTGCGTTTGGAGAATGGTCAGAGTGCTCAACTTCTTGTGGAGGAGGACAACAGACCAGGGAAAGAAGCTGTAATGACCCAGCCCCAGATAATGGTGGTGCTGATTGTGAGGGAAGTTTGACAGAGGCGCAAAACTGCAACTCCGGTCCTTGTCCAGGTTCGTTTAATAACCCAAAAGTGACTACCCACACGCAACCTCTTAATAACTCACGTAATTCGTCTCCAAATTGCACCAAAATTTCAGAGATTATAGATATGGGTCAAACTTAGATTACCTGAAAGTTTCGTAAGCCACGCCTAATTACAGTGGGCGTGGCGTGACAATGCCTCTTTTTCACTATTGTCTTCATAAAATGAGAACGCTTTAAGCTAAGAACTCAAAAATTTTTGCAGACATTTGGCTTGATAATTTAAAACCTTTCCCAAAGTTTCAAGTTCATTGTTCAAAATTTGGCTGAGTTATGACCATTTCAAAATCCATCGGATACGTGATCCGAGCACTCAGTCAGTGATCTCGTCACTTGGTTAACGGCCTGACCCATATCTTACTGGTTTATTGTTCTTAAATATAAATATAAGATTTGTATCTATTCTTGGTTGACGATGTCAACCCATCAAGATCGTTGCTCTGCGAAGCAGAGCAACGATCGACGATGCGATGCGAAGCAAGAATGCTAGTTCGCACGGCGCGTCGAAGCGGCGAAGTCCTCCAATATCTATTCGTGGCAGCTTGCAATAATTAATCAAAGCCATATAAAATAGATCATGCCGATATATTTCTAGAGTGAAGGTATCTTTTACTGAATTAAATTCCCCCTTCAGAGGAAGATGAAAGTGAAGAAGAAGATAAAAGTGATCAGGGAGACAACCATAACCACTCTGATGCAGCAGCCCTGAAATTCAGCTCAATTTTCCTCGTCGTTCTTCTGTTTGCTGTAAATATGAGCATCTAAACTGCTGTGGAGTGTGGACTGGAATGGTTCTACAGTACAAAACACTATCTTAGCATGGTGTTTTATCGGGATGTGATAGAAAAAATAACAGCTCAAAACCCCGGACGAATTTTTGAATTTATAATCTATAATTAGACTTTTGATATTTAAGATTGTAATATTTTAGACAACTTTTAATGTTTCAATAAAAATTTTTAATTGTAGTTGACGAAATGAGAGTCTCCACACTGAGTGGAGACTCTCATTTCGTCAACTACAATTAAAAATAAATGATTGACCCACTCATAAGAGCAAAACAAGATTACCAGTTTCAATAAAAAAGAAAGAAAGAGACTGCGATTTAGTGATTATAGATATCACAGTGCTGGCAAGCACGACCGGTGCATTTATTGTGGGTATACTATGTACCCCCTTAACTATTATACCCCCTTTACTATTATACCCCCTTTGGTACACGTTACAAGCCTCTTTCGTGCACGCGAAGCGTGCACTCCGGCCGGAGGCGGCGGCCGAAGGCCGCCGCCTCCGGCAGGAGTTTTTCAGGCATTAAGACTCATCGGAAGTCGTTCAGCAGATTTATTTTTAGTTCAAAACATTCTAATTTGATGTCAAAGATGACAGGAATAAAAAATAGTTATGTTGAGATTTTTAAGAAATTTGCATAAAATACTCGCCAGCACTGTTATACGAAATTCGGTAAAAAACCCAAAATCGCCATATTCAGGTGCCTTAAAAACCATGCCATGTTAAAATCGAGTTAGTGATCTGAAATTTTTCAGGGCGTCTAGATGTTGACCAAATCGACTGCATAAAAAGTTTCAGGTTTCAGGAACATCGGGAAGTGGGTTTTCTAGAACCCCTGTTTTACGACAGATTGTCGTGATACATACTTACATACATAGTCATAGTACATACATATATTCAGGGATAGACGCTTTGCCAGTCAATTGTAGCCTGTATTTAATTGTCCATAGATTCAAAAGTATAAAAGATACAGCCATTTCCGACCACAGGTCTTGAAAATAATTGTTTACACTTTAGTTTACATCGTATAAACAAATTATTTGACGTCATGAACACCCCTTGATGACGTCATCAAGTTAACCGTTTTTAAAACTTGATTTTTGACAAAGTAATAACTTTTAAAAATGATTTTACACCATTAAGAAGTAATTGTATTCAAAATCTGAGGAAATTTTCACCTTAGATAATTGTTCAAGCATTCTGAAAATCTACCGGAAAGTTTTTCTAGCTTGCTCCTTCATAAAGATATTTGTCATTGAAGTTTGTGCTTTTTTGAAGAATTATTTTATAAAAACGTCAATTTTGCGATTTAGTATTCTCTGGTGTTGGGCCATGCCTTGGGTTGTGGAGCTCAGTTCTGCTTCCTATAGGTATAAATTGTGCATTAGGCTAGTTTTAAAGTTAAAAATCGAAAAGTTGCACACGTGGGGACACGCCCAAATTGATAGAAAATTGCTAAAATCACTGAAAATTGCTGTTTTCGTCATTTTCTGTCAACTTTAGAGTGCCGTTGTGATTACATTTCTTCTTGAAATACTTTGAAACTTTGCATGCTTATCAAGCTATATATAAAACACCATCGTACAAAAATTTACGGCGATTCAATATTGGATGCGCACGCAACGTCCGCTCAAAGTTTGCACGTGCGAAAGGTGACAATTTTGCTCATTCGTGATTTCCAACAAATTCTGCTTTGCCACGACAGTTTAATGTCATTATAAATGAATTTAATGCCAACTTGAATGAGTATAAAGTGGCATATTCAGTCAGTGATCGACCGATATGATTCCCTAAACACAAGGAAATGTTTTTAAAGGAAAAATTTCGAAATTGTTGAAATTCCTCCTTATTAATGAAGATATCAGTTTATATTTCGACTTTATAAAGTACCCTGACATTATAATCAATAAGAGATGATATTTGACCAAAACCCATAATCATGGGTAGAGTGGACCGCTGCCATGAGTGTCTCTCTTTCCCAAACAAAAGGAAATGATATTAATTTGATTGACCGTTCTCAAATGCAAAATGATACCGAGAATGAAATCGGTCGCTCGCTTTTCCCATTCATTTACAATTGTAATAGATTAAGAAGAACTACCCAAAGGCAGCTGTACTCGGCAATAAAGATTCAATAAACTTCAGCTAATTCAATAAGTAATAACTACCACCCTTACCCCGATATACTAGGTATCGACCCGAACGCAACCCAAAGAGATTTTTACAGCATCTGATTGATGTACCTAATCAATCGAAACCTATTACAATTCGTAAGCCGTGAATGAATGGGAAAAGCGAGCGACCGATTTCATTCTCGGTATCATTTTGCATTTGAGAACGGTCAATCAAATTAATATCATTTCCTTTTGTTTGGGAAAGAGAGACACTGGCAGCGGTCCACTCTACCCATGATTATGGGTTTTGGTCAAATTCATTATATGTTTATTAAGAATTATCCTTATTATATTTATTGTAATATAAATGTTTTCCCGATCCATGACTCTAATTGTGTCAGGACTAGGAACGTGAAATTGTTATGCATTGTTATATTATGAGATGAGTGCATCTCCATCACAGCTTACACCAAATCATCAACCACTGAGCCAAGGACCAATCTGGACTGTCACAAAATTAACCGACACAAAAGATTAAAGTTTCCAGCTGGAGGAACAAATACCGAATGATAATTAATTGATTAGAAGCAAAGTAAAAGACTGGTATCATGTTTATTGATTAAGAATGATATCACAGTGCTGGCAAGCACGACCGTTGCATTTATTGTGGGTATACTATGTACCCCATTTACTATTATACCCCCTTTACTAGTATACCCCCTTTACTATTAAACCCCCTTTACTATTATACCCCCTTTGGTACACGTTACAAGCCTCTTTCGTGCACGCGAAGCGTGCACTCCGGCCGGAGGCGGCGGCCGAAGGCCGCCGCCTCCGGCAGGAGTTTTTCAGGCATTAAGACTCATCGGAAGTCGTTCAGCAGATTTATTTTTAGTTCAAAACATTCTAATTTGGTGTCAAAGATGACAGGAATAAAAAATAGTTATGTTGAGATTTTTAAGAAATTTGCATAAAATACTCGCCAGCACTGTTATACGAAATTCGGTAAAAAACCCAAAATCGCCATATTCATGTGCCTTAAAAACCATGTTAAAATTGAGTTAGAGATCTGAAATTTTTCAGGGCGTCTAGACGTTGACCAAATCGACTGCATAAAAAGTTTCAGGTTTCAGGAGCATCGGGAAGTGGGTTTTCTATAACCCCTGTTTTACGATAGATTGTCGTGATACATCACAGTGCTGGCAAGCACGAGCGGTGTCTTTATTGGGGGTATACTATGTACCCCCTTTACTATTCTATCCCCTTTACTATTATACCCCCTTTACACCCCCTTTGGTACACGTCGGAAGCCTCTTTCGTGCACGCGAAGCGTGCACTCCGGCCGGAGGCGGCGGCCGAAGGCCGACGCCTCCGGCAGGAGTTTTTCAGGCATTAAGACTCATCGGAAGTCGTTCAGCAGATTTAGTTTTAGTCCAAAACATTCTAATTTGATGTCAAAGATGACAGAAATAAGAAATAGTGATGTTGAGATTTTTAAAAAATTTGCATAAAATACGCGCCAGCACTGTTAGTGTTATACGAAATTCGGTAAAAAACCCAAAATCGCCATATTCAGGTGCCTTAAAAACCATGTTAAAATTGAGTTAGAGATCTGAAACTTTGCAGGGCGTCTAGACGTTCACCTAATCGACTGTAAAAAAAGTTTCAAGTTTCAGGAGCATCGGGAAATGGGTTTTCTAGAACCCCTGTTTTACGACAGATTGTCGTGATATATCACAATGCTGGCAAGCATTACCGTCGCCCTTATATTCACAATACTATTTACCCCCTATACTATTATATCCCCTTTATTGTTTTCCAGGCATTAAGACTTTTTCGAAAGTAGTTCAGCAGGTACATTTAAGTTCAAAACATTCTAATTCAATGTTAAAGATGACAGGAATAAGAAATAGTTATATGGAGGTTTTTAAGAAATTTGCGCAAAATACGCGCCAGCATGTTATACGAAATTAGGTAAAAAACCCAAAATCGCCATATTCAGGTGCCTTAAAAACCATGTTAAAATTGAGTTAGAGATCTGAAACTTTGCAGGGCGTCTAGACCTTGCCCAAGTCGACAGTAAAAAAAATTTCATGTTTCAGGAGTATCGGGAAGTGGGTTTTCTGGAACCCCTGTTTTACAACAGATTGTCGTGAAGTTATATAATAACTAGTGTAACCCGGCCTACGGCCGGGATTTCACTGCCGCAGTTAAAAAGGGTAGGAGTAATTACCCGCTGAGTCAAAACCCGCATTAGGTGACCCAATAGTTTCTTAAACAATAATCTCATAATCAGTTATTTCTTGTGGATAATTAAGTCATTATTAGCCATGAGGCACCACACTCCATGATCATAAGGTCTGAACACCGAGTATTACACCTCATCACTCCCGTCTTGAACCGCTTTCTATTTTTATTTAAATCGTTATAGAAATTAACCCTTGTTAACTCCGCACCACACCCGCATATTATATTTGAAAACACGCATAACATTGTCGTATGAACTCTCTCTCTCTCTCTCTCTCTCTGCAGTCCAAACAGACCCCAAACACTTATAACAGTCCCCCCTCCCCTAATAAGCTTAAGGTATAACATTACAGCGAATCTTCCAGGCTAATCCAATTATGACGCTACTTAAATGCAGCTATAACATATTACACAGTAATGAGAGAGAGAGCAAGCCCCGTAATTCTTGCCGTTCTGCTCACGCAATTTTATGTAACATTTGTGGTACAAAACCATCAATTAAACCACTTACCATCGGCCGATTTAAAAAAAAATTTCCTATGGGCTTCATCAGAGTTTTATCGACACTATACCGAAAAAATCAGTCCCGTAACTCTTACCGTTTTTTTTGTATAA